TTTCTTTTGTGGGTGGTTGTGCGGCTCTCTTGTGGGTGTCNTTCNCCACCTTAACCCTTGCCATATTTGACCACTCGCCCTTTGTCCAAAACTGTGGTGGACCCGCGGCTTTTCTCCAATTTGTTGGCGAGAGTTTCACAAGAGACCAAATTTGGATCCGACATTCTTTCCGTGGAGGGTAAACTGTGGAACACAAAGTCTTTGGCATAAAGGTATTTAAAGATAGAACCCTCTTAATAGTTCATCAGGTTTGATTTAATCGGAATCTCTTGATTCCAGGTAAGGTTAGAGATTTTTGTTAGAAGGATTCCTTATTTTTTATGTGTACAATGACCAATTTTTAATTATATTTGTTTTGTCAAGGGTGGACTTCAGATATAGATGATGAGATGGTTATGATTCTCATCATGGATAGCTTATTAAAGGGATTTTTTGGATTATGATATGGATTGGTTAAGGAAAGCATGCCTCGGTTTAGGATACTTGAAACCATAATTATTTTTGTTTGTATTGGTGTAGGCTTCGGAGTTGGTAAAAATAGAGAATAGTTAATTTAGTTTATAAACTAAGGACTTATATATTTATAAAGGTTTGTAATATTAATCCATGTAACAATAAATTATAAACAAGCATGTGATAGAAAAGGGGAGAATTGATTTCGGCAAAATATGATTAAGTGATGACAAGATACGATGTACTAGTGACGGAGAGTTAAAGACGACACATAAATAGGTTTTGGGAGATGAAAAGATTAGATTATGTTTAATATTAGAGTAAGTTAAAGGTACAAGCTAAATTAACTTTGTATGTTAATTAACTAGTTCTTATAATAGGGATATTTACCATCTGTAGAGATAATCAATCAGTTTCAGTTTAAGTTTATGTTTATTAAAAATTTAATTGATCAGCTTTATTATACGCTTAGGGATATAATAGTTTGAGAGAAAAAGAAGTTCTTCTTCAGCAAAACACCAATAATTTACAATAAATTACATCTCTAGAAGATAGGTTAATAGAACTTAAAGAATCCTGGCACAAGATTGTGGATTCATCTCAATTATTCATTGTAAGTGAACACTAAGTTTATTTGGTTGGTTATCCTCATCAAATTCGGTTTTTAACCAATTACAAGCCCTGAATAAGGGACAGTTTAGGATAAAATAAAGAACAAAAAAAGGCACTTCAAAAATTTAAGTATTGCATTAATATATATTATATATAACTTATAGTATTTTATGAAAACCTTGAATCATTAAACTAAGGTCTTGTTTGAGGAATTATATAAATCATTTAAAATTATCATTAAGGTTTAATACCGTGCTTAAGCCCTAACTTTTTCTTCGATCATACTGAACAAGGTGACGATATCAGCAGAGAACTTTCTGATACCTTCAGCCAACTTTTCAGTAGCCATAGCATCTTCATTCATTTCGAATCTGAAAGAGGATTCATCGTTAATGAAGGTGACCTTTTCACCAGCTTCCTTCTTGGCGGATTCTGGGTCCAAGATTCTTGGGACTGGTTCGGTAGAGTTCATCAATTCATCCAATAAGTTTGGAGAGATGGTCAAGTAATCGACACCAGCCAAAGCCTTTAATTCAGCAGAGTTTCTGAAAGAAGCACCCATGACAATGGTGTTGTAACCGTACTTCTTGTAGTAGTTGTAGATAGCTCTGACAGATTGGACACCTGGGTCTTCTTCACCGGAGTAAGTCTTACCGGTCTTGGCCTTGTACCAGTCCATGATTCTACCAACGAAAGGAGAGATCAAAGTGACACCGGCTTCAGCACAAGCAACAGCTTGGGTGAAAGAGAACAATAAGGTTAAGTTACAGTGGATACCGTGTTCAGCTTCCAAGATCTTAGCAGCATGGATACCTTCCCAGGTAGAAGCGATTTTAATTAAGATTCTTTCCTTTGGAATACCTAAACTCTTGTACAAACCAATAATTTGCAAAGCCTTCTTGACAGTGGCATCGGTGTCGAAAGATAATCTGGCATCGACTTCAGTAGAGACTCTACCTGGGACGATCTTCAAAATTTCTTTACCGAATTCAACCAACAATCTGTCGACAGAGATTTCGACTTGTTCTTCGACGGTCTTACCGTGTTCCTTACCATAGGCAACAGCAACATCCATCAACTTGGCGTACTCTGGTTGCTTGGTAGCAGCCAAGATCAAAGATGGGTTGGTGGTAGAGTCTTGTGGGGTGAACTTAGCAATGGATTCGAAATCACCAGTGTCGGCGACAACGACGGTGTGGGTCTTCAATTCTTCCAAAGCGTTAGCGACCTTTTGTTTCTTTTGGTTGGCAGACATTGCGTGTATGTGTATAAAGTGTTTGTAGAGGGGGGGTTGGTTTGTAATATAAGAGTTTATTACTGGTTTTCTATTTCTATGAGAGAGAGAGAAATGAGAGAAAAAAAATTTAAGGGTAGAATATAAGAATAATTAAACAAGGGAAAAAAAAGATCTAGCAATTGGGATAAACAATAAGTCAATTGAACCATCCTTATATATATATATAATTTTTTTTTGGGTTCTAAAACGAAATCAAAAAAAATTCTGATTTGATTTGTAAAAATGAACAGAGAGAGAGAGAAAAAAAAACGGTGGTTATTAAAAAATTCCCTTTTCCCTATTCCTTGGTATTAGAATCCAAGTGAAGAATTGAGTTGAGTTGAAATTGTATAGTTGAAGCTAAGTCTGATTGAAGTTGAGTTTGATTGAAAGTTTGGACTGCGACTACATGAAATCGAGGAAAAGCGCAGACGCAGAGTAGAGTAGAGCAGAACAAAGCAAACGCAGATAGTTGGCCGTGAAAAATTTCGAAATTCGAAATTCGAAATCCCAAATCCCAAATCGAAACCGAAAACAAGACCAGGCCAAACCAAACCAAACCAAATCAAATCAAATCAAAGGAGGCAGAGAGATACCTCTGAAGGGAATATTCAGTTAATACCAAGTGGTTGTATTATAATGCTGGTGGGTTTGGTTGGATTTGGGATATAGGGAGAAGGAAGGGGTTGTTTGTGGAAGAGGAAGAGGAAGAGGAAAAGGAAAAGACGGTAAGAGAGAGAAGGAAAAAGGGAACTAAAAATGGGAAATGGGAGATTGGGAAATGGGCCATTATGGCATTGCATGCATGGCACGTAATATAGTGAGATTGGGAGGGAGTGTATGACGACACCGGGAACATAAAGCCCAGTGTATATGGATGGGAGGCAGCGAGTTATACAATTTTAGTAATTGCAGGATGGACTGCCACCCTTAAAGCTGTGAGCTTGTGTCTGGAGGGAGGGAGAGAGAGAGAGAGAGGTGTTTAACGTGTCATTTGATTAGAGAAGAGAAGAGTGTATATGGTGGTAGTTTATTGCATTAGGGAGATAGGAGATGGGATGGAACCGAAGGGAAATAAAATAAAACGAAACGAAACGAAATGGTGGTAGTTGGCTTGATTCTGCCTCCGTTAGTAATGTAATGTTGTGTTGTGTTTGTACACTGTGTGTGGACTTGATTTTTGATTTATAATATAACAACTAATGGCCAGTAAGCCAAAGTAAGAGCATTTTCAGTTGCAGTTGTGTGGACAAGTTTTCTTTTACACTAGTTGAAAATGGCCTGTAGTAGGTAAACCGTTAGTCACTTTGCCTTAATTTTTCCCTGAGGCGAGGGAACAAGGGGAGTCGATTCGGAGGGGATACGCAGGTAGTTTGAAACAGACAATTTGCTCTTGTTGGGAGTGAAGTGGAGTGAAGTGGAGTGAAACTGAAGTGAACTGACTGGGCGACGATTTCAGAAGAGGGCTACAGATCGAGAGATCTAGGGCTACAAACTTCTCTCTCTTGTTCTCTGGTGTTGGTCTTGACTTTCCGTGCATATGTGCAAGAGGGTACGGTGCGTTTTCTCGAAACCAGAATTACCGCATCGAGACAATACCACCACTGCTATTAATAATGCTGCGAATTACTACAAGCGCATGCATTAGTAAGGGGGGGAAGGAAAGAAATGCAAAACAAGCAGAGGCAGTGGCTGTTATTATGATAGAACACCACTTTTTGGTTTGCCTCTGTCTTGTCTCCCCGTGCTGATTGTTCTCTTCTCGTTGTTGTTGTTGTTTTTCGTTTTAAGGGCAGGCACATTGCCGGTGCCAGCTTTCTTGGTATCCCCGCTTCCTCCTCCGGTACTTCTTTGCACCTATCTCTGTCTCTGTCTCTGTCTCTGTCTCTTTGTCGTGTCTTGCCTTGCCGTGCCGTGCTTGTTTCGAAACCCAAATTTCCAGAGGTACTTGGATTGGTGTCTGCGTCTTTCTCTCAGGATGAGAGAAAGAACGAGCACACATTTCGAGGGCTTGTTCCCAGCGATCGAACCACCTCTACTCGCCGTCTTCGTCCGGCTAACCACACCCACATAATAGGGGTCACGCGTATACCCTATATCAGGGCGAACTATAACCCTAGGGGATGGGTCTTTGTTTGTTTGTTTGTTTGTTTGTTCGTGTGGCAGTAAAATTCACTGCTCGCTCTGGGACTCTCTGAGTGAACGGAATGGAATCGAGTTCAAGTTCAAGTTCAAGTTCGAGTCTCTCTCCTTGACACGGGGGAAAAAGGTCATAAACGGCATATGTGTAATAAACGTATGGTTCAGTAAGGGGGGCAGGCAAAAGAGAAGCACACACACACGCATACACAAAGGTTGACATACATGCGCAAAAAACTCAAAATATATCATTTTTTACTATATACCGCCGATTCAATCGAACAATTAACTGGAAAGACAAGACAAGAACAGAGACCAGGCCATATGCAAATGGAGTAATAAGTTACGATTCCACAAAAGACACACAAACAACTAAAATAAAATAAAATAAAATAAAAAAAAGATGAAAAAGAAATACCACGCACACACACGTCAATAAGAAAATTGTAATATTTCCAATTGTAACTGGAAAGGCTGGCCTAAAAGACTTCTTTTCCTTCTTTATGTTTCTATTGTATTCTATTCTGATCGCATCACATCACATCACATCACATCACATTATTTCATTGTTAACAATGTTAGGTCTTGATAAATATCACATCGTTGTTATAGTAGGTGGTTACCCTCGATCCTCCTCTCGACCTTTGGGCGCAATTTACAAATAGGTGCCATGATGAATTAGGGGTGTATCCCTAATTCATCATATCACACACATTCGTTAATGCTAATAATATTTATCTCTATTTAACTACATGTGTCTGTGGGACTAAAATCTAGCGTTGTCATACTTGCTTGCATAGTGGATAGGTGTCAGTAGTAATTGTGTTGGCCAAATGTTTAAAAATGTGAATTCTCTCTTGTTCAAATTGCTATTTGGACGATGGAATTCGGTTTCAATGGCGGATTCGAATATGGAACAAGGGAGTAATTATATTCATTTGCTTATCTGCGGTTACGACAAGAAAAATATAAATATTAAAAATTAAACAAAGGCTCGTAAATGGATTTATTCATTCATTCGGTAAATTATAAAAATCAACTTACCTTGCAAATACACACTCACGTGCTCACACATATTTTTGATTTATTTATTTCTCATTTTCCTACCACCTAAAAACCTATATACTTTTGTACGATCTTGGTATTTTGTATCACCAGTCAAGTGTTCGTTTTATTTTCACAGCTGGTCACGTGATATTGGCTGGTGAAGTAAAGTAGAGTAAAGATGGTGTGACCGGGTCACCTGACTGTTCAAGGTTGAGCTATCAGTAGGTAATTTTTTTAACACCAAGAGAGTGTGCTTGTGTACGTATGATAATTAATTTAAACGGGGGGTGAACATGTCTGTCATCCAAGATAAGCACCTCTCCAGAGATCGTATACGCTGCCATATCTTTTCCAAATCGGGTAAAGTCTTCGGAGAACGACAACCTCTGAACCAAGAGAGGAACCCCGTCTCTTTTCCTCCGCTGCCCCTTCTCTTCCCCTCTCCGCCGCTGCCCCCTACTTCCAGATATCTTCTAAATACATTTACATTGTCTACTTTTATCTCTCAATGTGTCTTGATTCTACCAAAACCGAAATAATTCTGTACTCTTTCTATGCCCAACCGTCTCTGCATGGTCTGCGCTATTTTTTTTGAACCAAACATGTCTATCTGAGTGAAAAAAAAGGATATCATATCATATCGATCCTACAAAATAAAATAAAACAAAATAAATACGCTCAGCTCAGATGGTTGGCCACATACCTGCCAGCGGACCGGAGACATGCACTACCTTACGTACGCATCTCCCATCTTCTCCCTGATCTTCTCTGTCACATGAGATGCTATTTTGCGGACTAAATGTACGGTGTACGGATTAATAACCCCTTTGTCTCCCAAATCCAGAGCTATACTTTTCCTAAACAGGTAAACAATATATATTCTGTCTCGTTTTTTCAAGCAAAAAAATTAAAATGTATTGTGTTCAATCAATGCCAATGAAATACAAAAAAAATAGCTAATACCCGTGCAGTCATTAGTCTGCATGTCTCCACCCACCGTTGTTTCCTCCCTTCCTCCGTTCTAGTTCTAGTTCTCTTCCTCGGTCAAGGGTAGCCAATTGCACACTGCCGCGCGCGTTTAGAGTCCAGACCGAGGTTTTCGTCGTCAGCTCTCGCTTCTTTTCTCTCGCCGAACTTTCTGTTGCCACCAAACATTACCCGCGCAGCTCTCGAGCACGCCGGCAGGGAGACCAGAAACAAAAGTGAATTAATTATATTCTTGGTATTTTTAAAACAAGGTAAAATGCGAGAGAAAAATAAGAAAAAAAGAAAAATTGTGATGGACAAGAAGTAAATTAAAAATAAACTAACTACGCTACATTGTCTGTTCAATCCCAATTTTAACTGAATTTAATTGATTTTAGATGAAATTAAAATTTCTTGGAAATACAGTCCTCCAAGGGTTTCTCTGCATCTGACATGTTATTTTTTTTCTTTTTCAATATATTTTTTCTACACATTTTTCAAAATTTTCATTTTAAATTTTGCAAGTGCACCTCTCTGTCTCTTTTCTTAAACGCTCCTTGTTTTTGTTTCGAATTTTCCATTTTCCATTTTTCATTTTCATTTTCATTTTATGATTTTTCTTCCTCTTTCCTTCCCCCATCTCTCTGGCAATCAATCTATCTGGCTATCTATCTATCTATCTATCTATCTTTCCGCTCTCATTACGTTACAATAAAATTCAAAACTATCAAAATTGATAGCATTATTAATAATACTTCATATATTAATTCGATTCGTCGTACTGACAGTTATCTCAAGTCTAACTTCTCCCTCTCCCTCTCTCTCTCCCTATCCCGATTACCCTTTACTCTCTACGCTATTTTTCTACATGTTATCTAGCTAGTTAACGTATTCCTAAAAGAACACTCTCACTACATCTACTACGTCTTCCCACTAACCGAAACTAAAAGTTTTCCTTTATTTCACTCTCCTTTTTCCCTTTTCGAACTTAATTTTATTATTGGCTATTAGTTAAACACATATATATTTTATTTTTCTCATCCCGTATCCCTACTCTTGCTTTCTCTCTATCTCTCCCCAAGTCTCTTCTCTCGTGTAATTTAAATTTACTATCCTTTCAAGATCTGTCCTACGTACTGCTCACTTAAAACTGTTATTACTTTCCCTTTTCTGTCCTATATTGGTTGGCCCTTTCATCTCTCTTCGGGCCTTATGCCAACAATAAGGTCGATTTTAATCATACACTACCTGAACTTCAACTTCAACTTAGTTTTAATTATACTTCTTTTTTTTTATTTAATTTTTTTTTTTAATTTAATTAATTAATTGAATTAATTTTGGTTTGGGTCTTCCTTAAATTGTAATATCCATTTATATATAAGTAACAGAGATATATTAATTAACTGGTCATTATGCCTTTCTCGTTCGTTTGGCAAGCCATCTCAAATTAAAATTATAAATATTGCTGGTTTTCTTGTCTTCATCTTCTCTAGATAGAACAGCGCATCATCGATCAAGCAACTACAAGTGTCTGGTACCCTTCCTATTGTCGATTCTAGAAAATTAAATTTATTTTTTTTAATTTTAACCAGCATTTTGTTTTGTCATAACTTATAACTTATAATTAATAATTCTAATACTAATTAATAATACCAATACTAATAATAATAATAATTTACCAGCAATGCTTTGTAACGAATACCATCAAACTCAATCTCAAGATTCAACTGTCATTTCCACCATTTTCAAGACCATATCGAACACAATTAAGCATTTGAGTAATGCCGCAAGAAACACAGCATCCTCAAACACAGTTATCGCAGATAATGAGTATATGCTATTGCAAGATTCTTCAAATTTGTCACTCTCAAACATAGAGGAGCCATTGGATAACCTAATTGCAGTGTTCATCATTTGGTTCATTGTTTTCTTCCTTCTATTATTTGTAATCATGTTGATCGTCATACTAATATTGAATTATAGAGAAGAAGAGCCATTATATGATGAAGAGAAACTATCAACAACAGCATACCAAGAAGAAAAGACCAATGATAATTGAATAGTTTCTAACACTGGTTTTTTTCCCTCTCAATTATTATTTTCCTAAGGCATCATCATAATATTTAACATTTGGCAGGTATACATTCATCTACCAATATTAATGATTTATTAATATATACACCATCCCGTTCATTCAAAATTTCATACTCATTTCTATATTTTAACGTTAATGTTTGCAAGGGTGGTCTCTCCCACGACAAGTCAAGTCAAGTCCAATCAAATCAAATCAAACTTTAAAATTGTTTGCAATGCAAGTTAATCATATTCAGTCATTTTTTCATTATATCATCTATTTAATATCTAATATCTAATTTTAATTTTTAATTATAATATTTAATTTCATCCAAACTATTAATTAATACTTCAATCTGTTCTGTTCTGTTCTACTCGGATATGACATAATCATCTAATTGTCTGAGAATGGGTATCTTGATCAGTAACAGTCCATACTTAAGTCCTACTCGATACATGAAAAGGTAGGGTAAGTGTAAGGGTTAGCACTCAAAACGTATTTCAGAGAGAAAAAAAGGGGGGCGGGTCAATATACTACTAGGAGAATGTGTTGTTCCCCCTTTCCCACGGTAGATTTGGGCGGCTAGTATCACGTGTTTACTAGAAGATTCATCCTTAGTTAAAACAGTAGAATCCTTTTAATGGTGGAACAACTTGCTACAATCTACATTTCTTGGCTCTTAAATGACACAAAGAAGAACATCATTGTTGCTGTTGCTGTTGCTACTGTTCTATCCTTGTTGTGGTCACATTTCTTTATCTCAATCGTATCTCAATCGTATCTAACCGCCCCTAGAAAATTTGAGGGAAGGAAACGAGTCAGGTTGGAGAGAAGAAAAGAAAGGGTCCATTGTCTGAATTGAATCTCAAAAATATTCGTCACTTTTAACTGCAAGTATTCAATATATATATATACATATAAAGGGGGAGGGGGTTTAGTTTCTTTCTTTGTCTCTTCTCCCTCTTTATCTCTCAACCCTCCTTCTCTTCATTAAGGTTTATGTATGTTTGCAACTCTAAGGGGAGATAAATCTTAGAAAAGAAGGAATATATATATTGTTCTGGGATTTTGTTTTGTATGTTTGAATATACGTTATATGTGTTACAAGAAGAATCAATGTTCTACTGTAGCTTTTCAATAATTATATTACGATCTGAAGACTAACTATACTGATAACCATATCTTCTTAGATGGGGGATGATTGGATTACGTACAGATTAAAAATGAAAAATAAGAATTGAGAATTGAGAAAAAAAGGGATGATTTAGTATATTTCCTTGGCGGCTAATATCTTCAGAGATAACACTACTATCTCTATGCGACGAATGGGGGGATTGTAGTTGACAGCAACAACAACAAAAAGGTTCTGACGTTATCAGAAGTTAAAGCGGTTACTAATTATACACCAAGTTTGTTCTGGTGAAATGTTACCCTGGATTTAGATCATGTGACTGGATTTACAATTTTTTGTTAGGTCACGTTTTTGAGCTTCTATGCTTTTTTTCTTTTTTTTGCCTTTTTGTCTCTTCACTTCTTAAGCACATCTAAACGGAGAGTCTCAAATTTATTGATCCAAAATTGATTATGTTTTTTTTTCACTCTCTATAGAGTAAAAGAAAAATAAAAGAATCTTTGCTTAAATTTTTGATCTCATCAATTATCATTGATCCATTTGTAAACATTACAATAAAGGGGAAAAAGAAGAGCTCTTTAACGTGGCAATCACTAAATAATATAAGATATAGTACAACTGCTACTGACATCAAGTAAATTAATTAAGATTGATCTAATAAGTTGAAACCTGTGTTACATATAATAAAAATTAAGATGTGTTAAAAGATGTCAAAGCAAATAAATAATAATAGTAAGAATAGTGCAAACACCGATGACGATTTCGAATTTTATCATGAATTTTCAAGAGAAAAAGTTAAAATTATAGTTCATATCATTACTGATGAATTAAAGACAAATGGTGTAAACGTTGAATACCTTTTTTTGCCATTTAGACCAGAACAAACAAATGAAAAATTATTAAAATTATTAAATAAATTATTCCCATTAGGTAATGAAAAAATTATCACTGATACGAAATCTATTAAAAAAACTATTTCGCATGCAGATTCTTTCACTTTATTTCAAGTCCTGAAATATATTTGGTGTAGATTACCCAATGGTGAAATTATTGGCTGGAAATCTTATTTAGAATTTAAAGCAAGGGAAAAATATGCAAACTATCCTCAAAAGGCTTTCTTGGAAATTATGCCAAAATGTTTATCATCCTCAAATCATGCTTCAATTGTATATGATTTCTTGGATTTAATAGTCACAATAGCATCAAATTCAAAAATTAATAAATTAAGTGCAAGAAAGATTTCAAAAATGTCAGCAATTTGGGCATTCAATAATAAAGAATTTCCAAGAAATCTTAGTGATGAAAACATAAATCTACCAGAATTTAACGATAATTCCATCCAAGATGGTTTCCAACAATGGATTCCAGCGTCAGATGCAATGTTTCATTTATTATTAGCCTTTTTGAAAAGTTTCTTACCGGATGATGCAAATGAAACTGATACATATAATAAACTGCCGCGTAATTTGAAAAGCTTACTGATAAATAATGAATATCCTCCAGTATTGAAATCAACTGCATACACTTCCGAAACAATATTAACTATTCCATTAGTTACATTATTCACAAATCAATTTTCCAGAAAACCTTGGGAATTATTAGAAAGATGTAATAATCTTTTGGATTTTAATGATCACAATTCTTTTGAAGCAAGGGAAGATTACGCTTTGTTGAAATCTTTGTTCAATAAAAAACATAATATAGAAGGAATAAGTAGAAAAATGTCACAAGAATCAAGAAGAATTATGAAGCTAATTCAAACCAAACATTCAACTTTCCAAGCAGGTTGGGGAAAAAGATCTTGCAGTCCAGATTCTTCAAAATCTTTGAAAGAAAACATTGAAGTTAGTAGGGTAGATATTGATGATTATTTTATATGGACTTGGCTATCTTCTTTATCAAACGAACAAACTTCTGAGAAAAAAAGACTATTTGGTAGATCATTAATAATTGAATTTGAATTCGACGGTTTGAAAAAATGGGTGGTGTTCCAAGAATGTGATATTAATTTAGTACCTAATTCTGAATCAACCAGAGGCAGATTTGAAGAAGAAGCTTCAATTCCTAATATAACTCCAGTTCAAATTATAGAACCAGAAACAAATTCAAATGATACAAACTTAATTCAACAACAGCGGGATGCATCGTCGTCTTCGGGCATCTCGAGTAATTCCAATAATAGTATGTATCATACTGTAATTAAAAAAGAAGCATTAAACAACAATAATAATAATAATCATAAAAATAATTTGCATGTATTAGAACAGAAAATTTCAAAATGGAACCCACTGAGTAAACTAAGGAAAGAAAGCAGTAATAATACCAGTTCAAGTAAAGAAGCAGGGTCTGGTTCTAACTCTTCTTTGGAGATACATGAACCTATAAAGAAGAAGGAGAAAGACAGTAATAAGACAAAGAATAAGCATAACAATAATGTTAACCCATATGTTGCAAACTCACTACCTGATAACAATGATAATATGCAGAATAAATCCCAAATTAATGTTGGTCAAACTTATAACAACAATATTGGCGATAGTTATAATCCCCCACTAAAGAACGAAAAGAGAAGTGATAGAGTTATTAGCCAATACAGCATGCTAAACCCAGAAAAATATCAGTTGCCTAATATTGAAAGAGATGAAGACGGGTTTAAAATCGATTTACCAGAAATTAATGATTATGATGAAATTTCGAGATTAGTTGTGGACCAGAAATTGAACTCAAATGCCAAGCCAAATAGTAATAGAAACTCTCCAAGGAAATCAAGATCACCTGAAAGAAATGGTTATCAGGTTCAAGAAAGTTATCAAACTACAGGACAAGATTCTAGGGTTGTTAATACTGCTCGTCCAAATACTATGGATGAGTTGAGTGTTATGGTTGAACAAATGATTGAAATTGAGAAGACAAATATTGAAGACAGTATCCCTATTTCGATCTCTAATGGTGAACCCTCAGGAGATGAATCTTATGGTTCTATAATGAAATTTGATCAATATAAGCCATCGGAACCTAAGAAGCTAGAAAGTTTGAGGAGTAAGAATTCAAGTACAAGTCTAAGTTCAAGGCCCTCTCCGCAACCTGTAGATACATATAATATCACTGGGCAGACAAATTCTTCTTTATCAGTGAACAACCCACAATACGTAACATCTGGAGAATCATCTGAATCTCCGGTTTCAAGATCACCTATAAGAAATGAAAGAGAAAGATCTCCTGTAGAGGGTGCTATTCGTGGATCTGCACAACAGAACACTAGTGGCTATTCGATATATTCTGATAACTCATCTAATCAATATTCAGGTCGTGGATATATTGACGGACAATCTCAACCTAACTCATTCACTAGTGATGATTACAGAAACCATTCACCAGAAAGAATGCCTCGTCAAAAGTCTCCTGTTAGGGCTGGTAGATACCAAGATCCGTATGTAAATGAAAGACAAGTGAACTATCAAGAGATACCAAACCTTCAAAATAATAGGAACCAAAATCAAATGGACGTCAACAGTAATAACCATAGAGAGACCTCTCCAGTGAGAAATGGGCAATTGAATAATCATGTACCTCAAGTCCCAAATGATACCAGAAAATTTCCTAGTGATCCTAGAGTAGCCAACCAACCATATAATAACGGTGAATCTAATTCTTCCAAAACTTATCTGAATGAAAGAGGAGATATCGAAAATAACAAATATGATGAGGGAAAGGGAAGGATTGATCACGTTCAACAGCAAGGATTTAATCAAGTTGGCCAACCTAGGGTAAATAAAGGACCAGTACAAAATCCTCCATCTGTGCCTGTGCCACAAATGAATGGTTATACTGGTAATACGGTAGGTGAAAGTCCTAGACAGACACAAGATACACGTCAAGCTATTCCGAATCAGAACTATCAAAATCAAGGTAGAACTCCAAACGTGGGGCCTCAACCAAATAATTTTGTACCTGGTGTAAATTCACAAATTCCAACTCAACCTTCTAGAAGTCCGCAACCTATAAACAATCCTCCAAGGCAACCTAACATGGGTAATCAACAATCGTATAATCCAAATATGATGCCTCAGGCAGATTACACACAGCAAAATTTTCAAAAGCAAGGATATCAGCAACAAGGTTTTCAACAGGCAGTACCAAATCACCATGGGCCTCCAAAAGGTTATCAACAACCTGGGCCAAAATATAATGTTCCTCAACAGGGAAATTATCAAAATGGAGGTTATCAGAAAGGCAGCTATCAGCAAGGAAATTACCCACAATCTCACAATGTACAAATGAAACCTCCTAATAACCGTCACAGTATGAACATGGCTGGAGCTATGCCAGGTCCACAGATGCAATTGAATGGAAGCCCTGGTTTTCCTAATAAAGGAGTGTCACCTCAAATGCACCCATCTCAGCAAGGAAATTTCAACCATCCAAGTGGCCCAGTGAGACAAAACCAGTTCCAACAAATGCACAATAATCCTCAAAGTGCTAACAATTTCGATGCTTACAATATTCCAAGTAATGCTAATGGTCACAACAAATTACACAGCAATAATATCAATAAAACCCAGGGTAGGAAACAGTTGTATAACGACATTAGAAGTGGTAATTTTGGAATTTAAATAATGTTACTTATTTATTTTAAATTTATCTATCTTTAATATGAGGCATGACTAGGTATATGACAAAAGGTAAAGGAGATTATATACTTCCTATTTTTATGAACAATTAAAGATCTCAAGACTTTAATGTTGTTTGATTTCTTGATTTTGTATTTTAATCTATGAGATATTGTTAGGGAGAATTATATATAATGAGATCAAGATTCCGGTATGATGTTCTCAAATGCAAAAAGCCGATGACATATTAAATAATTATGGTTGACTAAATTAAAACGAGGATGATTATGGATAGCGGCAATATCTTGCTAAATTTACAATTACAATTAATATAAATATATTAATAGGATTAAACATTAATTATTTATCTCCTTCGACGTTGTTTCTCTTTATGATTTTAAATAAGGAATTATTGTAAAATAAACCAATTAGTATTTTGAGACCTTTAAGCCCAAAAATAATAATCAAGTCTCAGTTTGGTATTAGAAGAAAGCTAATAATATTCTGGTGTTAAGTCAAATAAAACAGGAATAATATGAATGAACAACATTGTATTTAGTTCTTTAAAATTACTTCCAATATAATACCAATGATTATTTATTTAGATTTAATATTTAGATTTTTAAAATTCGTTTCGAGTAATAAAAGAAGTACAAATCATAAATTTGATAAATAAAAAAAACATCTGTAAAGTTGCACAATTGGTAAGATTATCAAAATGTTGAAGGTATATACGGGATTAACTATGTTTATCGATAAATAGCTATTCCAAATATCCAATTGGTATATTACTCTAGGCCTTGAAGTAGTAATGATCCAAAAATGAAAATCATAGACTTATGAATCAACTTGTAGAAATTATCAAGTGTCACAATTAAAAGAAGGTAGTTATCTTCAAGAGAGGACATGATGTGTAAATAAGAAAACGATTATGTATAAGTAATAATGCACCGTATTTATAAATTTATATACATTACCCAATTACATTTTAGCAATTTGTTGTTAAGGAACTGAACTAAATGATGATTAAACTATTTGGTGACTAAAGAGACATGATTGAAGAGACATTGGTATAGACAAATATTGAACTCTGGGGAAACAATGCATTCGATTGGTTAAATTATAGTTTTGATGTTCCTGCTATATTATGGATATGTTATATCATTAAGTTGGATTCACATCAGATGATGGTAATGTCACCAATTGGTGATGAGACTATTATAAAAGGAAGTTTCACCCTTGAAAACTATTTATAATTGCTAAATTCATGAATAATAAATCAAGTATGGAAATTGAATTCCTTTAAATACTTATCATCTATTATTGATAATTCATCTTTTCCAAGCCACCTTTTGTTTAGTTTCTTCAGTTTCCTACGAATCTGCGGCAGTCTTGATTCAAATAGATATATCCAAGGAATTTTGAATATTCAAACCAATTAGCTCACTATCTGTCATGTTATTGAACAATATCATAGTACGATATCGATTATTTTATATTTTTTAATAAGATATGTAATTTCAAGATCCCTAACCATATTGCACGTTAGTATGGCTTCCCTTAACCTACAATGAGAAATTTAGATAAAATCCTCATTATTGCTGGCATTTATTCCCAATCGAATTAATACAGTCTTATTATTTATCAAACTGATAGGAAATATATATTGAGTTTCTGACACGTCAATTATTACTAAGTTACTTTTAGTTATCCAAGTTGTCTAATTGAAATCAATCATTTTGTTTCATGGAAAAACTCAGGATCCATCAAGTACTCTATATCATATTATACTTACTCAAGCTATTGATTATCTAAATCGATTCGTCATACCTCCATGTACGATGACTAAATACTATGATACTATGTGTTTGAGAATGATTTGAAATCATTGCACAATTCCTTGAAACAAAATGTGTTTAATACCGTTCATGTTAATATCCCTTAGCAGAGATCACGAAATCATAACAAACTACGCCAAAATCCAATATTTCAAAACCCAAAGGGGTTTAATACTTGTGAGAAGGTGTGCTCTGTACCAAAATGGTTAAAATAAATCATCGACATTAATGATTAAAGTCCACGAAACTTCAATTCATGTATGTGATTAAAAAGACGTAATACAACATCATGAAAATCATTTTATCCTATAGTAAAGGGACCAACTAAAGAACGCTTCAAGTTGAAATTAGTGTTTTGGAAATATTCCATCCAAATGGTTTGGTCTGATCTAACTTAATCTAGTCTGATCTAATATAATCTAGTCTAATCTAGTCTAATCTGATCTGACACTCCAAATGTAACATGTGTTATTTAGTCATTGAATCAAGTTCAAACTATGCATCATCACCATCACACATATCCTTTTGTATGGCTTCGATGATTCTTCCTAAGTGAACGAAGTAGAGAAGGTTGGATCAAAACCCAAACGATTTCGTCATTTCTAGCAATTTATCATCAACCACCATCACATTAAGCTTTACCCAATCTCAAAAAAATTCCTGATCCAGTAAAAAAACCATGCAAACGCTTTTCTGTCCAAAACTTCACAGGCATGAACCCATCATCGATACTCATCACGCATACTAGAGCTAACGTTACAGCTGAATCGACCAAAGATCCAACCATTAATAAGAAATTGCGTTAAAAGATGATAAACTCAAGATCTAATAGTTCCAAAATTAGAACCTATAACCCACTCACTCATCGAAATTCGTTTCACCCTCATTAAGGAGAAATACAAGCACAGAGTTACAATATACCAATTACTGAAATTCAATGAAAGATCCTGGAAACACAGCGAGATTAAGAACTCAACTCAACCCAACCTTTCCAATATTCCTCAAAATAGAAGCAACAAGCAAGCAAGTAAGCAAGCCATTGGCGATGATATTACGTACTCAAGAGGAAAATAGCAGCAAAGTGGAATTTTAAATGAATTTGCTATTATTTTTAACAACTTAATCCATTCGAATAACGAACGCATAATGATACAAGGAAAGATAGAGAGATGCTTGCATTATTACCAACTAGGTCTTTTTCATTTTTATTCAGTTGAAAAGAGTTGCAGGGAAAGAGGGAAGGAAGAGCACTGGATTTCTTTTAATAGTATCCTCAAAAAGAGTTTTACCAGTAGTTTCGCATTGAATTCACATCGTCATAAAGAAAAAAAGAAGATCGTGGACAATTTTTCTCACAATGGTTGCTACAACTTATTTCGTTTCATAATCAGTTTTAAAATTTGTAAGACGTTTGCTTAATTTTACTTAGAAAACGTTGGGAATAGATAACTATTTTTAGAAAAAAAAAAAATACCTGTAGTTGTTGGGTCGAATTTGAAGTATACTTGAGGACTATTGACAAGCTAAGCATAACCTTCATGATACTACCTCCATCCCTTTCCATTTAAGGAGGGTCCTTTTTTACTCAAAAGGGGAATAAGAAAAGGTTTTTTTTTTCTTTCGATCTTTTGGTGAATGAATATAGGTCATATCCTTTCTTGTACGTGTGTTTCTTTTTATCTCTTTGAAATAAAGTTTTGGAGTTTGGCGTCTGTGTTGAGATGAGGAAACTGGCATTAAAGTTAAAGATCATATTGTTACCTGCATATATCCACACCCATGTCATCTTGAATGTTTCGTGTGTGTATCTTCCTTTGTTTTATCAGTTTGCGCTACAAATTCTTTTACTGAATGTCTTCGAACCGAATGTATGCTAAATTAAGAATGCTGGTACATGCCAACTGGAATTGGTTCTCATTTATTTTTTGATCTGACACCAGTTTAATAAAATTTTCGATAATAAAATGTTGCCATATATAATGGTATGGTATCTGTCACGATCTCTTGATAAGTTATTCCATTTTCATTACTTATTAAATATTGTTAAACTTTCTGTTCCGAATAAAGCAACATCCTGCTGTCAACTGATCCCGACTATCATTTAAATATTAATTATACATTAATTAATTGTTAGGGAACTAGATTTGGATATAGGCACAAAAAATAATGATTCAATTACTTCCTCTAATTTTTCTGCTAACTGCATTGTTTGATGCGGTCCTATCATCACCAATACCAAAATTAGGTGATGATTCAGTACAGTTTGTTCATGAACAAAATAAAAAACGTTATTTTGATTATGGTAACATGGGCGAGCCAATCCGTGGTGTTAACATCGGTGGTTGGTTAGTGTTAGAACCTTACATTACTCCAAGTATTTTCGAAGCCTTCCGCACAAATGATTATAACGACGACGGAATTCCTGTTGATGAATACCATTTCTGTAAGTGGTTAGGTTATGACGAAGCTCAAAATCGTTTGGTTGAACATTGGGACAGCTTTTACACTGAAGACGATTTTGCTAATGTTAAAAAATTAGGTTTCAATATGGTTAGAATTCCAATCGGTTATTGGGCTTTCGAAACTTTATCTTCTGATCCATACGTAACAGGGCTACAAGAAAGCTACTTGGACAAAGCTATTGGTTGGGCTTCCAACAATGGTTTAAAAGTCTGGGTTGATCTACATGGTGCTCCAGGTTCTCAAAATGGTTTTGATAACTCTGGTTTAAGAGGACAAATTGAATTTTTACAGGATGAAAACTTAAATGTCACAACCAAAGTCATCGATTATATTTTGAAAAAGTACTCTTGCGATGAATACTTAGACACTGTTATTGGTATCGAATTAATCAACGAACCTTTGGGTCCTGCTATTGATGTTAATAAGTTAAGAGATGATTATTATTTACCTGCATTTGACTACGCAAGAAACGATTTGAAAACTAATCAAGTTTTGGTTATCCATGATGCATTCGAGCCATATCACTTCTGGGATGATTTCTTAACTTTGACTAACAAAGAATGGGGTGTTGTCGTTGACCATCACCATTATCAAGTTTTTTCACCGGGTGAATTATCCACTACTATGGATCAAAAGATCAATATTGCATGTAACTGGGGGTCTGGTACCATTAGTGAATCTCATTGGACTGTTGCAGGTGAATTCTGTGCTGCATTGACCGATTGTACTAAATGGTTAAACGGTGTTGGTGTCGGTGCTCGTTATGACGGTAGTTATAATACAGCTGCCGGTGGCTCATACTACATTGGTTCATGTAGCAACAATGAAGATATTGACAGCTGGTCAGATGAAAGAAAGGCAAATACTAGAAAATACATTGAAGCTCAACTTGATGCATTTGAATTAAGACAAGGTTGGGTTTTCTGGTGTTTCAAGACAGAAAATAGTATTGAGTGGGATGCTCAGAAATTAGCATCTAATGGTTTATTACCACAGCCATTGACTGATAGACAATATCCAAACCAATGTGGTTTCAATTAATATATCACAAATCATATCTGAGTAATTGATACTCTTCATCACAAATTTTACCAATAATGCATTGTCTGGTTTTATTTTATTTTACCTCATTTTTTTACTTCATTAACGCATACATTTAAAATTTCTTTTTTTCACTACGTCATCATTTCCGATCCATTACATTTAAACAGAATAATGACATATCTGGGCAACTTATCGTTTTGCTAATTCATATTTTAATTACCCATAAACTTCAATTCTAAAAGGATACGTCCTTACATTGTCCAACGGTCAGCGTTGATAAAAGATGTTATAATTACATCAATTTCAAATAAACGCTAAGTTTTAAAGACGACGACGACAACAACAACAACAACAATAATAATAATATACATAAATTTGATAAATTTTTTACATAGATTTTATTTTAATATAAACGTATCATCGTTTTATCCAATTCATTACTTTGTTTACTGACGCCATTGAACTTAAATATGTGTGAGAATTTCTAGTTCAAATTTGAAACGTACCTTATGATTACGCTAGAGAGATCGGTTATTAACAATCCGAACGAGGTCTTGTTGGTAGAGAGAAACCATTGATTGATTGCTTGTTCAACCAAACTTGATTACAAATCAAAACTACAATCACTAAACAAATTAATTTGAGTTTCTTGAAACCAACACTTGTGCCTTTCAAATGATTACTAATTAGAATCTCGCTCCAAGCATATAAGAAGCAGTACTTTGGCAATACAATTAGATATATAGAAATTATAGAATATTATATCCCCCCTTTACTTGAATCTAAAAACAAACACACACACACACACACACAGTACAAGAACAAGACAATGCCAGCATTTTTGAAAAGATTAATTTTCCAAGTCGGTGATCAAGCCAGTGAAAGAACATACACATACACCTCAGTATCGAACGATGGCCATTATATTTCATTGAGACCATTGATCAGACCAAAGGACGACAAAGAAAGGGAATTCCCAGTGGAATGGGCGTTTGCAGGGTTGAACACAGACATCAGAGTTACCAAGATCGATGAATACACAGTTACACAAGACTTCAACTTTTGGATTGATATCAACAGATACTTAAAAGTACCAAACATTCATCAAGGTGAAGTTCATACCACTTGGAAGAGATGGGAATCTGAATGTCTTGAAGAAACCGGTACTGTGTATCCATTTGGACCTGACAAAGAAGGAGTGAACTTCATGGAGTTATGGCAACCATTGGACAGCAACCGAGTTGAAGATGTAGTGGCACCAATTGGAATGGACAATTCGAAAGACAGAAGCGTTGTTCTTAAGATTGATGATTCTAAATATGAAGGTTTAATGATAGTTGTTGGCAAATGGGCACAAGGGTTAATGACAAAGAAGGGTGAGTCTTCGACTGATGGAATCAATATGATCAGAAGTGTTGAGACCTCTACAAACAGTTACAAGACATTATTTAGTCAAGGTTCGAACGTTGATAAGTTTCCAAGCGCCTTCGAGAACTTATCGAAGGGAACCAAAGTCGACGTCAATGGATTTGAATGGGAGGTAATTGAATCAACATATTAGTGAAGAAGCCATTCCCCAGACTCTCGTAAGCTTATACAAACATATACATATATACATATAGATATATATACAAATTGAATAAGCAATAGTGGTATAAGTTAGTAGATGAATGAATAAGGTTGACCAAGAGTACAATAGGCCATCACCACACACGAACAACCACCACTGTCCCAAAAGGGAAAAAATTCGAAAAGACAAAAAAAATTTCGAATTCGAAAAAATTTCGAAAAATTTGGAAATTTCGAATTCGAATTTTTTGTCTTTTGTCTTTTGGGAGAGGAAGAAGAAGAAGGATTAGATGGGAAGTTGGGAAACAAAATACAGAATACAGTTTTAGAGGAGTTGTTTTAAGGATTTCGAAAGTGGGTTACGAAAGGGTAGGTTGTAGTTGTAGTTGTAGTTGTAATTGTAGTTGTAATTGTAGTTGTTGCAGGTGATTTGCTACTTTGTTCTTATCTTAAATCAATTCCACTAGTCTCTCTATTTTTATCTATCTGCTGGTGTGGAATACTTACATACTATACACACACACGCACTAAACACAATTGTATATATATATATTATTTATATATATCATTGATATTTCGGATAAGTTTTGAAGATTAAATAGACAAGACCAGAAGCTTCCATAGCGCTATTCTTTCTTTGCAGTTGATCTTTCTTAACATCTAGGGACAGAAACTGGAATACATATATATACATTGTATACATATACAGTAGATTAGGATAGAATTGAATTTACTACATTAAACAAAACAAAGCAAAAATTCATAATGGGAGACGTTTTTGTGTTCATCAGTGCAGTTGTGATCAACTGTATTAATCTATTTGGACAAGTCCATTTCACCATATTGTATGCTGATCTGGAAGCAGATTATATCAATCCAATCGAGTTATGTTCAAGAGTAAATAAACTAGTTACTCCTGAAGCTGCTATCCACACTTTGCTAACAATGTTGTTACTACTAAGTGGTAACTTCTTCACATTTTTGTTAAATTTACCATTGTTTGCCTATAACATCAAAAAATTCTATGAGAAAAACCAATTGCTTGATGCCACTGAAATTTTCAGAACTTTGAGCAAACACAAGAGAGAAAGTTTCTTGAAACTGGCATTCTACTTATTGATGTTCTTCGTCTACCTATACAAGATGATTATGTCTCTAATTGGTGAACCATAAATTCAGATTTAGTCCAAGATACATTCACATCCCCAAACACCAAATTAACCATCCATCATTACGGTAATTGATGGGGAAGGAGGGGAGGGATAACAAACACCATACAATAATCAAGCAAAATAATACAGTATTAAAATAGAACATTTAATAAACCATATAACCCATATATGTATTTGCTCTCATATACCTAAAGTAAATATATATATACATACATACATACATATATATATATATATATATATATATATATTGTAATTTAATTTTAATCTTTAATTTTACTGGAGTTCATCACTATGGCTGTGATTTTGTAATTGGGAAATGTGTGTAGGTTAGGTCAGCCTTTCACAACAATTCACAACGACGTAACAAACAATAAACTTCATGATGTCAATTTAACCTTGATAGATCGATTGCCTGTTTAATCTTATTAAAAAAACACACACACAAACACACAACCAACAAACCATATATCCATCGAACATGACACCACTATTCCACCCCCTTATATGGGATGGCATTGGGGGCTAGCCCATTGTTGCAATTAAACCAACCAACCATCCAACCATTATTAGCCAAAACGACGTTTACAGCAGTTGGTTGTTGATGTCTGCAGAGGTTTGCCTCGGTTTCATTCAAATACTTACCTGGTGGTGAACACTACTCACAAAGTCTCAGTTGTTATTCTTGTTCTTGTTGCTGCTACTGTTGCATCCATTCATTGGATTGGTCAGATAGAAAAAGGATGGATAGCTTGACAGCAGCGAGTTTGGTGGAATATCAACTCACAGTGTTCGATATGTCAACTGGCAACAGTAACTTGGAAGTCATTGTGTTAAAGGCGAGACAGATATTATGGTAGATGTCGTTTTCTTTTACAACTCCACCACCAATATACAGTCCATCCACCCCCTCAAGTGAGCTCAACTAAAGAGGCCTTGACACCATCGTTATTGTCATTGTCATCATCATTGGCATCGTCATCGTCATCAGCACCACCATCAGCACCACCCCGTATCACTCTCTTGAATTCCTCCTTTGAGGAAACCAGGTTGGTTATTTTAATGAGGTTCACTAGACTTCCAATGTGGTTGGCCTAATAGTAGGGTTAAACAAAGAGACAAACACACTCGAAAATGGAAGTGTCTGTTGTTGTCTGGACTCATTTTCATCCTCTCTTACTGGTTATGTTGCATCTATATTTCCTACCCTGCAGCCAGTATCACATAATAGGACAGAATAGCTAGATTTGGTGATGGAGTACAATACAATATAAAACTAACACCACCTACCACAGCTTGTTAAAATCGAATCCCCTTGTTTAATTAAAGGTTGAAGTTACAAATAATACTGACTTGACGAGATGTAGAGATAGATATACCGTTATATGCTTGCTTAGCGTTATTCTTAGTCTTTTTAATGTTCGATTAAAACACCACTGGCCACTACACTAACAACCACCAACTTGAGCTAACCCAATCACCCCCATCCCTCATAAGAGTTTCTTAGTTTCCATTGTCGAGGGGGTGGGGGGAGGTCTTGACTATATTGATTTCAGCATTTTAACTATTACATCCAATTCGATAATAGCACTCACTACTAATAAGTATCGATACCATGAAATACGATAATATCACCATAACGTACATTGCAATTACATTTTTGTCAGCCCTTTGTTTAACATTCTAATTGAAACCACTTCCATCTAACAATAATAGTTGTTTTCTATGTCTCTCTTTAATTAACCTCATTCCCTCTATCACATTCAACCTAAAGGGTTCTTTATATTCTCTTATTCATTAAAATAACATGGTACTTTTAATACCTTCAACTTAAAATTTATATATGTTTTGTTTTAATTTAAACAATGAAATGATAATATTGTGTGTATCATTGGGATTTTGGGTACTTTTGATTAATTACCTTAAATAAATTTGGTATATAAACAACAATAGTATCATCTACCATCAACTATTTACTAGACTAATTGTAAATTTAGTTAATTCTGCTTTGGTGAAATCTCTAATCTAAAGACAGGTTAGGCAAAATTAAGTTTAAGAACTGTTAGCTGGTACTGATTAATTAAATTAATATTTGGTTTACTTTCTTTCCTTTGATTTTTGATTTTGGATCGTTGATTTATTATTTATTTATATATTTATATTCAACAATTTAAAACATTTGTATGTTTCATACTACATAATATCCTTCTTCCCATCCCTCTCACATCTACCATCCACTTCAATAATATTACGAACAAGAACGATAACAAGTGCAATTCCAAGAAATAAGTTTTTAGTGAATAATCATAATCATAATGTCTGATGGAAACAGTACAATACCATTACCACCTTCTTCAACTATAGAAACTTCAAGTGAACCTCCAAGAACCCTTTGGATGGGCGACTTGGACCCATCGTTTGATGAGTCAACCATACAACAAATCTGGAAGTCTTTAGATAGATTAGTTACTGTTAAATTAATTAGAGCAAAGAAAAATCTATTAATACCTTGTTCTTCAACAATAAATGATTCATTTTCTAATTCCTCAAATTCATTATCACCAACCAATTCTTCAACAAGACTATCTTCAGCTGGTTCTTCAGCATCACCAACAACAGTATCCTCATCATCAGCAGAAAATAAATCTAATTCTATTACAAATAATTTGTCAACTGATCAAACAGAAGATGCTTCTATTACCTCTAATTTAGATGACGATACCAACGGTGGTAACCAAAACCTTCACAAGATTAATATTAATGGCGTCTCATTTATTGACCCTTCAACTGTGCAATTGCATCATGCTGGTTATTGTTTTGTAGAATTCCAAAATCAAGAAGATGCTCAGTATGCTTTATCTTTGAACTCAAACCCAATCCCAAATATCTTGTCTGATTCAAACAATCTATATACAAATCCTACTGGTAAGAGAAATTTTAGATTGAATTGGGCTTCTGGTGCAACTTTACAAAGTTCAATACCTGTTACTCCAGAATTCTCTTTATTTGTAGGTGATCTATCCCCTACAGCTACCGAAGCTGATCTATTATCTCTGTTCCAACAACAATATAGATCTGTTAAAACTGTCAGAGTCATGACTGATCCAATTACTGGCGCATCAAGGTGTTTTGGATTTATAAGGTTTGGTGACCAGGATGAAAGGAAAAGAGCCCTAAGTGAAATGAATGGTGTCTGGTGCCAAGGTAGACCTTTAAGAGTTGCCTATGCTACTCCAAGGAATAATAACAATATTATTTCAAATCAACAGAATACTGCTACCCAATTGTCTCATCACGGCAACAGTTACCATAACAATAGTCATAACAATGGTAACAATCGTTCAAGAAAAAATTCATCTTCCATATTAAATTATCAGAATAATTATACTGCTAATACTAATCATGGACAACCTCCACAATTATCCAAAAGCAATAGTCAAAACGAATTGGTATCTACTGTTTTCATTGGTGGCCTGTCACCCAAAATCAATGAGAGTCAAGTTAGGTCATTATTCAAGCCTTTTGGTAATATTGTGAATGTAAAACTTCCTCCTGGTAAAAATTGTGGATTTGTAAAATTTGAGAACAGAATAGATGCAGAAGCTGCAATCCAAGGGTTACAAGGCTTTATCGTTGCCGGAAATCCAATTAGATTATCATGGGGTAAAGCCTCTTCGATGACATCCGGAAATGCTAGTAATAATCACAATGTCAACGGAAACATAGATCAACTAAACAATCAGAACAATGTGAATTATCATGTCAAATCAAAACCACACTTTCAGTATCCTATGGCTAAATCTGTTCCACAACAACAGTATGTGTTATCAAACCAGCAATATCCTCAAGATGGAAGTTTTCCTTCCAATAATTATCGACACAATTTACAGCAGAATCAACAAATTCAACAAGAGTATTGGAGGAATTCTAATGGATTTGCTCAACAAACACAGAAACAACCTCCATTGCTACAACAACAATTGTTGCAACAGTCATTGCATTACCAAAACAATCCATCTGCTTTAAACCAAGTATCATATATGTACGATCCAAGCATGAACATGAATTACAGTTCATGATAATATATTGACCATTACAGTATAATAATAATAATATTATTATTATTATTTTACTAGCAATGAATGAGAGATTCCTACAAAAAAGTATACGTTTTCCTATCAACCTTTTACCACCATCTGCCTCTTCTCCACCAGTTGTTTCTACCCATTATTCCAAGTTTCAAATTGACTTTTAATTTAACTACTTTGGCATTTACCTATAGTTGGAGCAAGTATTGTTGTTGCTTTAACTAAGGTATCTTTACTTTCCCCAGCTTTTGTTTTCATTCTAATTATTCCAAATCTATTATGTTTCGTTTTTCCATTCCTTTAATCTAATATCAAACAAAACACTTCACCAATCAATTTTCCTTTTATAATTATAATCATCCTCATCCTCATCACCATTATTTTTTTTACTAATGTGTTAATATTCAAAACTCTTAATTTTAATCTCAACAAATGTTTCTAATTAATCCCTGTTATTTTAAGAATACATGATCCAAACAGTACATTCTCCATATATTCACCGACAAGTGGTATTTACATCTCCTCCAAATAATCATATCATAGTCTGTTTCTATTCTATTCTGACTTACTCTATTTTTTTATTCTATCATACCAAGGTTCCTTGGCACATTTTAGTTTTCTAAGTTTCCCCTCTTTTAATTTTAATTTACATTATTTAGTTACCTAAAGCTATAGCTTATCATCTGTTCTAATTCTTAAATATATATTCTTTTCAATCTGCTTTTCCATCAATTCATTTACTGTCATTATCATCGTCATCACCTTGTTGTATCGCTGTCTGGGCCTGATCTCTCGCTGCCTTTAAGTATTGGCTCCGAGCCTTTAAATTAACTATGACTAAAAAAATCCAGATCATTTATATAACAAGAACAAAACTGTTGCTAAAGATGCTTTAAGTGATGGTTAAAGGTGGTCAGAGGGTCCATTGAATGGAGTAGTTGCTAATATCGAGTGTTGTTGAAAGATTCTTCCAAAGAATGGTTTTGTCTTTACAACTGGCTCATAGATTAGAGGATAAAAATGTATTGCTAATTGGTGCAGGTGAAGTTGCCTTAACTAGATTGTTTAAGTTAGTACCGACAGGATGTAAAGTTACATTAATTGCTCCTGAGATCAATGCTGGTATTGTCGATAAGTTTTGTCCCTATATTCGGGATCTAGATATCGATTATGATGTTGAAGAAGAGATTATTGATCCAGAATGGGATTTATTTAAAGGGAAACATGCGTTTAAAGTTATAAAGAGTGAATTTAAAGAATCTCATTTATCAATGTATAAGATTGACCAAGACAGTGGTATTGCATTTATCATGACATGCATTCCAAACCCAGAATTAAGTGAATTTATATACCACAAATCAAAAGAATTATTTGGATCTCAACAAATGGTAAATGTTGCAGACAACCCACCGTTATGTGACTTCTACTTTGGTGCAAATTTGAACCTAGGCTCATCAATAGAATCAAATTCAACATTACAATTATTAATTTCATCAAACGGATCATCTCCAAGATTCACAGCATTAATCAAAAATGAGATTGAAAAACTGTTGAAAGACATAGACATCGAATCAAGTGTCAAAAAATTAGGACAACTCAGAACTGCAATAAGAAACAAATCAAACACTCAACAAGATCTAAAGTATAGAATGGAATGGATCAAAAACATGACAGACATATTCGGAACCCAACATTGTCACCAAATCAATATAAATCGTGTCGTAGACCTGTATGACACCATGTATAAAAACAATAAATCATTGGAGTTCCCTTCAAATAAAGAAATGATAGAACTTTACACTTCACCATCATCATAATCACATCCATCAAACTGTAAAGTATTAAATATAAACCATCATTAGTTAGTAGTATATACCATTTAATAGTTCTAATTGTTATTATTCATTACTGACATGATCTGACGGAAAGTATAAAAAGCGGAAGGATTTTAAAGGACTGGAAATCTTCTTTCCTTTCCTTTCCTTTCTATGACTTACTGGATAAGAACAAAATTTATTTTAAACAAGAATGGATGTATGTTTCATCTAGAGGCTATGATGCTTATGTATTCAAGGCAAACAGATGGTTGAAGTGCTGTTGTTTGGATATTTTTCTTGTTTTTGACAGCTTGATTCTTTATTTACAGACAGTGAAAAGTAGGATCGGCGGTTATTGTTTTTATTGGTGATTATTTGACTGAAACATATGGTTGGTTACTTTACTCTACTTTACAAGAACCGACGTGATTAAATTTACTCAACTTGACGATAGGGTATTGTGATAAAAATTGTCTCAATTTTTTATCTTTTTTTTTTATAGTTTGTTTTACTTATAAACATATTAATGAAAGAATAGCGATCATATCAGAATCTACGCATTTGCTGGTGACACCGTAACCTCAACAATAAGAGGTACTACTTCTATGAAACCTATTCACAGATTGTGGCAGTTTTGAATATCTCAATAAGACTCGCAAGAATCGTTATAAACACATTTTTTTACAAGAGCCTGTCCTCTCCTGGTGGTAGCCATTAACGCCTATACAACAATTTTGCGGTTCTGGTGGGTAAAGCTCTAGAGGTAATAACGATACATTACTCTCTTTACCCACTGGTTTAAGCTAAGTTAAAGTGGGTTGTAACATTTACGTTTGTCCCGCAATTTATTTTTATAGACCTTTCCTTTGAGACTGGTTGATATTATGTGGTTCATACACGTACGTACATGCTGAGTTGATGTTTTTTTTAAATACTGCCCTCTGTTTTCTGTTGGCTGCCACCATTTCAATCGTTCTAATTTGTTTGTTTGTTTGTCTGTGTCCGTCTGGTTTAACGAATGCACTGCACACACTCACTTCAGTTCGTTATTTGATGTGCTTTTTTGAGCTCAGCTCAGAGGAAGACAATTTAAACACATAGCTTTGTTTCTATGTGTTACGGCTGTCCGTCAAGACTAAGTAACATCCCCAATCCACTCCCGCCTTTTTTTTTTTTATCATACTTTATTGAAATTTTAATTCAAAATTGGTCTAATTTTTTGCTTACTTTCCTGATTGATTCAGTTTTGCTTTCTACGAGATGGTGCGTGAATGGCCAAGGGAAAATTTTTTTTCCCTCTTCGACTCGACTTTCCCAGCCAGCTGGCGAGTGTACGAAAATATAGCCCTTGGCTACGCTAACTTGCTATGATTTGATTTTATGGGATTAGAAAATTGATTAATGTGATCCTGAGCGAAAAACGTTTGCGAGCAAGCTGCGGGAAAGCATATGGTGAGGAATAGTAGTAGTAATAGTAATAATAATAATAATAATAATAATAATAATATCGATAACGAAAAAGATGATGGTACAAATTAATGGAACAAAAAAAAATCAACATTCAAAAATTTGATATTTATTCTTTACCCCATTATTTGTTAAAACTGTGACTAAATCAATTAGAAAAATTTTTAAGAAAAAGGAACATTATTTCGATTGTTGTCAAGTGAATAGGTTACTCCCATTTTATATATCTATAGTCCCCAAACCAGCAAGGCTTCATTTTAGAAGATTTGTTTGTATCCAAAAGAATAACTTTTTTTAAACAGATTGTTGAAGTTTATCCCTTATTCACCAAACAAAGAAAATATAGATAGATAATTTGTGTGGTTAACATTATAAGTTAATATAAAACTTTTTCTGATTTGAACTTAATCAAGAAGAAAAAAAACATGTCAACAAACATATCAAATAAAAACAGTATGTCAACTTCAGGTTCAAATAATAATACTAATAACAATAACAACAGCGGTTGTAGTAGCTCAAATTCTAGCCAGAGACATAACTCTATCGTCGAATTATTATCAACACCACCACAATTACCACATCAACATCATTTTAATAAATCACGTCAAAATTCTAATTTAAATGAATCAATGTCTGATTCTGGTGAAAGTGGTTTAAGAAGGGTCGATTCCTATTCTTCAAATGATTCTATTTCAATCTTATCAATCAACTCAGCCCACAACCATACAGATGTCGGTGATGTAATTATAAATAATGAATTGACCGCCTCTACAACTGCATCAACAGTCGGTTCTGGTAACTCAAATCAATTAACACAAACTACTTCCCAATGTATTTCATCTACCCATTCTCAAAAATGGCAACATATCCAATTAACTCAATTAATTGAACAAAACAAATTAATTACTGTCCAAGGGTCAATCTCAATTGAAGAAGCTTTCAATACATTAATGAAATATCATTTAACATCTTTGCCTGTTGAATCATATCCTGGTGATATGAATTGCTTCACATTTGATTACAATGATTTAAACTCTTATTTACTGCTAGTGTTAAATAAAATTACCGTTAATAACAGGGAAATTACACAAGACTGTCAGAATGGGAAACCTGTGCCAGTAGGTGAAATCATTAAATTGACTCCAAAGAATCCATTCTATAAACTTCCAGAAACAGAAAATTTATCCACTGTACTAGGTATTTTAGGTTCAGGAGTACACCGTGTTGCAATTACAAACACTGAAATGACAAAAATAAAGGGTATCCTATCTCAAAGACGTTTAATTAAATATTTATGGGATAATGCAAGATCATTTCCAAGTTTGGAACCATTGTTTAATTCCTCACTGCAAGAATTACAGATTGGCGTTCTAAATACTCACTCAAAACCTACCTCCAAACAATCAAGAGTAATCTCAATCCAAGGTGAAGAACCTTTAATAAATGCCCTTTATAAAATCCATGAAGAAAGAATATCCTCTATCGCAGTTGTTGATCATCAAAATAATTTAATTGGTAATATTTCAGTCACAGATGTCAAATATGTCACGAGAACTTCGCAATATCCATTGTTGCATAACACTTGTCGACACTTCATTTCTGTCATTTTGAATACTCGTGGTTTAGAAATGGGTAAAGATTCTTTCCCAATTTTCCATGTTTACCCAACAAGCTCATTGGCAAGAACCTTGGCAAAATTGGTTGCAACCAAATCTCACAGGTTATGGATTGTTCAACCTCCTGAACCATCTGACATCAACACTGGTAACACTTCAAACCCTGCCTCTAGCCATTCTCCTATGATGACAGCGGTTGATCATTCCCCATCTCAAACTCCAAACGTTTCACCAACCAACTTATTTGAAAAAGAATATAGAACTGGTAAATTGATTGGTGTAATCTCTTTAACAGATATCTTGAGTGTTCTAGCAAGAAAGCAAACTGATAATAAACAGGTTGATCCTTTGAGTGCAAGAAGACAGAGGGGTAGCGTTTCTATGTAATAATATCAGTATATAGTTTCATTACATGTATAGTTCATCATTATTGTCATTATTCAACATTTGATTTGATTTGGATAAATCAAATCAAATCAAGTCAAGTCAAATCAATCTATAAAGTGATAAATAAATAATCGTAAATACCTTCAAGTGATTTTAATCTTAATGAATTTTTTAGTTCTATCGTTACATAATATATCTAAATATAAATATATATTGGCATTAAATTGTATACTATTTCGAAACAGTTTATTCTTCTTCTTCCTTTTTAACTGTTTCATCTGTAAATAAGAATATTTTACCGCTAGAATTACCACCAGCAATCCAATTTCTTAATGGATGCCAACTTATAACTGCAGGGACTGTGGCAGTAGGTAAATGGGCTAATTGTTGACCTTGGCTATCGTAAATATCAATTGCTCGTTTCATATTTGCAATGGCAAAAACATCTTGATCTTGTTTAAACCTGGCCTTAAGAATACTAGTCCATCTACCACTCTGACAGTTATGTTTTAATGTCAATTTCGGTTGAAGATCATCAGGTAAATTGTCTGATCCAACATCAAACAATCTAATAGTATCATCATAACCGTTACAAACCAATGTGTTATCTGTTGGTGAATAAGATACAGCAGAAACACTTAATCTGGAATCATATACAGATACTATTTCACAACTATCATAATCCTCATATTGTGACCATTCAGGTTTTTTAACTAATTTCCTAATATCCCATATCTTTAAAGTTCTATCTAAGGAACCTGTCGCAATTTCATAAGGTCTATTTGGATTAATAGAGAATGAACCTATTTTTTTGTCAGATAATCTTCTTAGATTTGAGCTAATCTGTTCGCCAATTTTTTCTCTTAAATCAATATTTACAAATTCACCTGATAGTGTCGTCATTAAAAGAACGTTTGGATTTTCATAACTGAATTGGAAATCACTGATCCCCAATGGATCATCGTATTCGTTTCTGAGAGTCAAAATATCATTACTTTGTAAACTATTCAGATCTATTGATCTTAAAGATCCGTCATAGGATGCTGTTAATAATTTTGAAGTATCTGAAGTGAAACAATCAATTTTCCCTACATTTTTAGTGAAAAATTTCACTTTTGTAATATCTGGTTCAACCATTTGATCTTCTCCATTTTCAGATAATGGTTCATCTCTGACATTCCATAGACCTATATTACCAGATGTGTCACCTGCAACAATCAATTTTTTATCCAAAGAAGGATGGAAATATGTCGCTGTAATACGTTCATAAACTAATTTTATTTCATTTGGTTGGAAAACGTCATAAAGTTGAAGATCAAAATCATCTTGTAACTTTTGTAATTCTGGAGCTTTATTTTCCATTTGGCGTTTTCTAATCTCTTCAAAGAAATCACCAGAAGAGAAATTTTTATTGGCAAAAGATTTAAACTTCTCTATTAAATTCTCTTCTTTCTCATCTTTAATCAAATCGCTCAATTTCACATCACCAATAACCGGAGTGTCCTTTATCTCATCCACCAGTTCCTTATCATTAACAGAACTACCAGAAGTCCCATCCAAACTCATCTTCATCAATTGAGTGTCACTTACATTTGGTATCCCCACATTGTCAACTTTCTCACCTCTCAGACGCATCGATCTCCTAGTAGCCACAGGTGCAACCTTAGGAGAAGCACTCCTCCCTCTCGAAACACTAGGAGACTTCTTCTTCTTCACCACTGTACGATGAGTATCATCAACTCCTGCCTCTCTTTTTATCCTCGAAGCTGCACCTCCTAAATGCAATTTCTTCAAAAGATCATTATTACGTTTAATATTCTCTTGACGTCTCTTTTGAAACTCAGTTAACTCAACCATACTATAACAAAAACAGCACAATCACACAATCCCTTCAAATATATCCTACTGACCTTTATCCTAAACTCAAACCACTTCATCTCGTTGATCTAAGTTCACCTCATCTCATCTCATCATCATCCTTTTTATATCTTGATCTGTTTGAAGATACCTTCGAAGTAAAATTCCAAAAAATCCTTTACGCGTTTCGTGTATCGCTTTTTTCAGCACTTGTCAATGAATTTTTCACTTTTACAGCTATTTAAACTCTTACTAATAGTGAATGAACAGTTTAAGAAGTGTTGATTAAATGTTTTAAACTAACCTTTATCAGATCAACCATCACTTATCTGTGATCTATTTATTGATCGTAAGAAAGTGTGCTGTTGAATTTACTTTGATTTTCGTATGTCAAGCAATATTTTGTCTGTAGTGAATCCACCACCTCAAAGGGATTTAGACAATGAAGAGACTAAGGATTGTATTCCATGTCAAATTATGAGCACTATGTTCTCTATTGGGTTTGGTGCTTATTTGGTTTCTGGTAAACCATTTGAGTACACTGAGGTTGAACGTCGTAGGGGTGTGACGATGGCAGAGTTTGAGAAGAGAAATCCAAAATGGTGGAAAGGTTCTTTACGAGGACTAGGTGGTACTTTGATCATATTAGGATTTGTTAGAGGGACTGAAGGGTGGCTCTGGAATAAAGAGAAGGAATACAAAAAGTTTTAAGCCTTGTACATAGATAGATAGATTGATAAATAGAATTTGAACTTTTCTGTTTAGTGTCCCTTTTCTTCCAATAAAAAAACTCCTGAACATCTAGCAGGAACAACGATGAAATCATAAATCTAGAATTTGTATCAATATTTGTCTCTATATACAAACATACATACATAAATAGATACATACATACATTCATATAAGGATAATTATAATAATGTCATATACTACTTTAACCTGTATTTTATAAAAAATTTTGAACCAAATTTATTGCCTCGACTTGGTTACTCGAAATGTTGTTTTTATTCACCTCTTTGATACTGCAGCTGCAGCAGAACGTTCTAATTGTTTCTTCTCAAACTTCATCCTCTCGGTTTCTTCTTTCTTCAATTGCTTCTCTGATTTTATGTAATTCTTCATTTTTTTACACCAATGTTTAAATTCTTTATCATTTTCTGCTGATGAATACTTAGTAACAAAATCATGACATAACAATTCTTCTATCGATGATCTTTCTCTTTCATTTTTAACACAGCATCTATTCACAAAATCGGTGATTTCCCTTTTATACCTAGTTTCATCCAAATTCGATGGCAACCTTGGAGATGGTTCATTAACAATTCTCTGTAGTAAATCTAATATACCATCTGGAGTATCGTTAATACCACCTAATGGGAATTCACCAGTAACTAATTCTATAATCATCAAACCCAATGACCAAACGTCACCCTTTGTGGAGTATACATTACCTTGAATACGTTCTGGTGACATGTATGTAGAGGTACCGACAAAAGTGTCAGCTATTGAATTAACCATTTTCTTTGATACACCAAAATCACATATTTTCACCTGTCCTTTACTGTTAATCAGAACATTAGATGGTTTAATGTCTCTATGAATAATTTTATAATTCTTGTATAGGTAAGAAAGTGAGGTTAGAACTGCATACGATATCTTAGAAATCGCCAATTCATTAAACCATGATTTATCAGGAGATGCTTTATTCCTTTGACAAAAAGCTTTGTGTACTGATAGTATTTTATCTAACGAACCACAGTTCATATATTCTAATAGAATGACCAATTCATTATTCGATGACTGATCATAATATGCACCATAAAATTCAACTATATTTGGATGAGCCTTTACACTTCTCATAATCGTTAATTCTCTTAACAATTGATTTATTACTAATTCATTATTTGTCTCTACGGGTATCGTTTTCTTAGCAATAATTCTTGAATCTGGTACATGCAATGCCTTTATAACTGTACCTGAGTTACCTGAACCTATTTTCCCCAGTTGAACTAAATTCTGTAGTTCGATTTTGTTGTCATTAATATCCTTTTGATGTAGTAGTAAGGAATTTTTCAAATTCGATACTTTTTCTTCTGGAGTCGTTATAGAAGAATTATCATTTGTAGAACTGCTAGAAGAAATTGGATCAATGATTTCATTCTTTTGTATTATGACATTGTTACCGCTTATATTTATTCTGTTATTATCATTTGATGATATATCCAAGGTTAAATTTCGTTTGAAGTTTCTTCGCAGTGAAAAATTATTATTGTGATTTTTATTCTCATTATCATTATTATTATTATCTTTATTATTGGTCGTCCTCACATCACCGTCATTACTCTTAAAGTTGTCAACTTTGTTAATACTAATACTAATATTGTTGGCGATATTATCATCATCATTATCAATACTATTTGGTAATTTTAGTTCTACAACATGCCCAGTTTCATTTGCCTCATGACTATTATTTTCATTATTCGAAATATTAATAGTAGATTTATCCGGTATCGATGGTAATGGCATTTTCAAACTTGCATCGTTAAGTCTCAAGTGTTTCATGTTTCGTCTTTGAAGAGTCTTCTTCTGAAACAACGGTTGTTGTTGAGCCTGTATCTTTTGCATTGTCTCTCCTATTATTAAACAACCACTGCGTCTAGCGAAATAACAATTAAAATCTAAATTATATAAGCTTTTTTCTCTCGAAGTCTCAGTCACTGTCTTACTCCACAGGCAACTTGTATATTAACTATTTCACTACCAATAAACCCAACCCAAATGTATCCAAAACAATTCAATCTCTTGTACTTCTTGTTCCTATCAATACAAGATAAAGAAAGACTTAAGAACTAGTCCAAAAAAGCCAAAAAAAAAAAAAACTCAATAAATTTCTCGAAAAATAAAAAATTTATACCAACAATAAATGTTTCAATATATCCAATATTAAAACAACAAACGCAACTGTATCAGAAAACCTAACCCTTTAGTCTGTATCCCAAACTTCTCTCACAACCCAAACTCTTTAATCAAACAATTTCTGGTTCGAATTAGCTATTCAAATCTTCTTGGCCTTATTCTCCAAACCCAAAAGGAACCTTGTTATATGAAATCACACGAACAAACGAACTTATAAATACTTGAATCTAATCAACCTAATCAAATATACTAGCCATAAGCCTTCCTTCCACTATCTTGATGTCGAAACGTTTTAACATCAACTTTACTAACTGTCTATCTGGTTCGAAACTCGAAGTTCGAGATTCGAATTGTCTAAAGTTTCAGGTACTCTTTTAGGATATATTTTCAATGTCCTTCCTTCTTCCTTGGAAGATATAAGAAGAGTTGAAAAATGAAGGTCTTCCTTGTGTTGTGTCTGTACTTTGTTGTTGATCTAGCCAGAAAATGCGTCAAACAAGTTTATAGTTTGTAGTCAGTACCACTGAGCTATTGGGAATATTTTAAATTGTGGACCAGTTCCAGTTCCAGTTCCAGTTCAATGGATGGATAGATTCAATTGTAATTTCTTATTAAAAATTGATGATGTTCGCTACTATCTTTGTAATAAGATAAAATGGGAATCGATAGTTATCTTGGTCTGGTCTGTCAAGTTTACCTGACTACGATTCAATTCACAATTGATAGGCAGAGAGAGAGCTTAATCCAGTCTTATCACGAGAGTAGAGGGAAGAGGGAAGAGAGGTCTTTTTGGAAGCAAAAGCTTGGAGTTATAATTGTGTATTGTTGTCAGGTTTACTTGTCTCTTGCTCCTATCGATTGCTGTCACTACGGGATATCTTTTTTCTTGATTTTAAAACATTCTTGGACTGGTTCCCTTCCTTCGAGAGCTCTTTAAGGAGCTGTATGGAAGAATCTGGGTATCGAGATGCCATAAGAAGGGATTGGGATGGGACTGGAATCTATTTGATCCAGATTAGATTCCTAATTTGGAGTTATCTTCACAGTTTCTCTTCATTGAAATGGGATCTGTCCCTCCTTCTTCTCTTCTCCTGCTTCTAACTTTATTTGTTGGCATATAAGTCAGTCAGTCAATTCAAGAGGGCACTGATTATCTGTCTGTCTGTCTCTCTCTCCCTCTCTCTCTGAGATTGGTCAACTTGACAGTAATCAAAAACACAACACCTTAGAGACCCCGTTGTCAATTATAGAGTGGAAGTGACTCTATTTATGCTTTCGAGAAGTAATCTCTGCTTGATTCATCGCATTTGCAAATATGTACCTTCTTGATATTAAAGGGTGGGCGCCCAAACCTAAAGATCCAGGTTTCCTATAGATAACATCAACATACCTATTGTAATTCCCATCACACATTGACCCCACTACCCACCTTATCGGATTCAAGAACCCAATTCTGGCCAGTGTTCCTGACCATCTTCAACATCTTGATGATCTATCTCTTCTGTTTCTTATATCGAATGTTCCTCAAATCAAAAAACATCCTTTCCCTTGCAAACTAACTACTTTTAAGAAGCTTTAATATCAGATATTAAGAAGAATATGTTGATATTGTCCCAATACAGAGAGTCTATAATATCTTATCGGTTGGCAAGAAGGTCCATCCATTAGCTACTTTGTCTTTAGTTCATTGCTATTATCCACATCTCTTTCCAATCCAACGTACACTTTTAAATGATATTTGAGTTTGATATTGATCAACAGAGGAAATCTATCCAATTTGCCTCAACTTACTTAAAGGATAGACTACATGAACATTTTGGTGTTGATAAGTTCAAACCACGTACTTTGATTATCTGTGGTTCAGGTTTAGGTGGTATTTCAAATAGAATATCAAAGGATACTATCGAACCTTTAATTATATCTTATGCTGATATTCCAGGTTTCAAAGAAAGTACAGTGCCTGGCCATCATGGATCTATGGTCTTTGGTATGATGAACTCATCTCCAGTTGTCCTGATGAGTGGTAGATTACATGGTTATGAAGGTCATAATCTCTTTGAAACCACTTTCCCAATAAGGGTTCTTCATCATTTAAGCTCAGTAAAGAATTTGATTGTTACAAATGCTGCTGGTGGTGTTAATCCAGACTTTAAAGTATGTGATTTGATGTGTATTTATGATCATATAAATTTCCCAGGTCTTGCAGGAAACCATCCATTAAGAGGTCAAAATTTTGATGAATATGGTCCAAGATTTTTAGCATTAAGTGATGCTTATGATTTAGGCTTAAGGAAACTTTTATTCAAGAAACAAAAAGAATTGGGTATTGAAAGACCTATACATGAAGGTACTTATACCTTTGTTTCTGGTCCAACTTTCGAATCTAGGGCTGAAATCCGTATGATGCGTGTCATTGGCGGTGACGCTGTCGGTATGAGCACTGTTCCTGAGGTTATTGTCGCTAGACATTGTGGTTGGAAAGTATTGGCAATAAGTCTAATCACAAATGAATGTGTATCATCTTTACCTGCTAGTGCTCATGATCCAAATCCTGTCCCGATTGACAATGGTAAAGCCACTCATGATGAAGTCCTAGAAAATGGTAAAAAAGCATCACTAGATGTTGAAAGACTAGTTGAAGGTATCGTTGGTGAACTTTAATAAAATCATGAAGGGACATGCTTTCCCATATATATAATTGTGTAGATAGTTTAAATAAATAATAATATATTTAATAAGAATTAAACATAACTCTAACAAACTTAATGGATCTTCTTTCGTTTTTTCTTTGAAGATATCTATTATATTATATTATACAATAATTTATAATTTTAAGATTTTAACACATTTCAATTGACAGTTCTAGATAGATTAATGCATTTAATGGAACAAAAACTTGTCATCAGGTTAAATAAATTTTTCATTATTGTCCATTGATTTAAAGCTTCTGCAATATACGTATATATTGTTTGTAGTTTTGAATTTTTTTATCTTTTTTAATTTTTTGGTAACTCTTTTTACTAGTAATTTGCCAGATAAGAACCTTTCTGATGCGAAATTAAATTAAGAACGAACGATCTACTGAACTTCACCTGCAGATTCCCAAGTTCCTGCCAAATTTTCTTTCCATAAGGTAACCTTATTGTCACCACCGGAGATAGCCAAAATGTTACCTGACAAAGACCAACTAGCTCTCCATAAGACATCAGGATATTTATCTTGTTGTAGCAAAGTTTTCTTCCAAGGACCTTTATTATTTTCTTGTGTCCAGATGATACAAGTACGATCTTGAGAAACACTTGCGATGTATGAGCGCATCAAGATAGATGGAGACCAAGCAACATCTCTTACCCAATCTGAATGGCCTTCCAAAGTATCTTCAATGGTATAAGTTTGAGTCTCTGAATCATATTTCCAGATCTTCACTAAATTATCAGCACCACCGGTAACAAATCTACGTAATTGTTTTGGATTACCATTGTTATCTTCTACAGTAGCAGGGGCCCAACAGGCTGAGTTAACACCAATTGCATGAGCATCAATTAAAATTGGAGAGGTAGTACCATTCTCTTTAAATTCAACAATTGAAACTTTACCATCAGAAGAAGCAGCTAATAATAAAGCACCGTATTCATGTGGAGCCCATTGAACAGAATTAACAGATGCAGAGTGGACAGCGTGAACTGCAATTTGCTGCCATTTACCATTTTCTTCTTTCCAAATCAAAACTTTACCATCATAAGAACATGAAGCTAAGATAGTACCAAATTTTGGATGTGCCCAATCAACTCTCCAAACAGGACCTTCATGGCCCACTAAAGTTTCAACTAATTTATGAGATTCACCTTCGATTTCAAAAATCTTAATGGTTTTGTCTGAAGAACAAGTGGCCAAACGTTTACCGTAGTAATCCAAAACGGTATCATGTATTAAATCAACATGAGCATTAGCAATGGTAACCATTTTTATATTATATTATTCTTGATTTTAATTTTGGAACTATTTTTATACTGCAGTATTTGCCTTTTGTTCTTAAAGTATTATTTTTTGAACTTTAATATAATATAAAATAACGAAGTAATTCTGACTGATGAGTAAAATCTAATCAACCGCTTAGCCCACTCAATTGATTCTTTAAACCTCAACGATCACTCCCCAGATCTTGGTGTTTTAATTAACTGAACTAACCATTTTTTCAATTGAAATTAAATCAAAAATCGTTAACCTAACCCAAAGTTCAGTTTTTGAATTGATAATAATCTAAATTAAGTCACGTATAACGTGATTTAACTTCTTTAAATGATTAGGAATGATCACGTGATACAAACCCTAATGTGTACTGAACGAGTAGATGAATGTCAGCGGCAAAAATCACATGATCAAACAAGTTAAATAAACAATAACCTTTGTACTTCTTTCTGTTGCTTTAAAAGGGCCATATCCATTTTATTCAGCATCTTCTTACAAAGTAATAACTCAATACCTTTATAAATTCAAACTAAATTAACTTACTTCACTCCATTCCATCAGTAACTTAAGCCATCATGACCAACCAAAGTATACAAAAAGCTACTATTGAATTAACATAATATCATTTGAATTAACCAACTAAGACATATGTGTTTTTTGAACACTATCAATACCCTCGTCATTTATAGTAACTGCTGTTTAATCTTGTTGTCATAGGAGAAGATTGAAATCTTATTTGCTTATATACCTGTCTTCTATCTGCATTTTATGTCTTTATTAATAATTGAGGGAAGAATACTGGTAGCGTTGCGTTCTGTTCACTTGAATTAAAAGGAGGGTAACATTATTCTCTTTTAAAGCTTTAAAAGAGAATGATGAACGTTAACTAAACCTGGAAGGGTATGGACCCTAATTATTACATACAACTTACTTATTCAATTGAAAATATGGTTCGTGGTATTGTTCTTAATATATACTTTATCTATCTGTTTATCCATCTATCGTGATTATTTTTGGATAAGTGTTGAAGTTATTTTATGCATTCAAAAAAACATGAACAAATCGAAAAATGGGGACTATATCGATTTATGGAAAAGGAGTCATAAGGAAAGTTATTGAAAAAAAATCCAGATTCACCTGTTCACTCTTCATTGATATGAGCCGGTTCGGGTTGCTCAGCCCTAACATGTGCTCTTCCTTGGCGGATCGCTAACACAAATCTGATGACATATTGGATACATATTACCGTCACAATGATAAAGAGACTAGAGAATCTACCCAAAAATGCGGTCTCTGCAGATTGTTGCTGGGTATTTGAAGTAACTTTATCGACTTTATCCTTGGAAAGACTATCGCTACCTGAGTATCTGAATAAATTGATCAATTGTTTGTAGAATGGTAAGACCTTAACAATGCTTGATGACTGAGCACCGGCAATGGTAGTTTCTTCAGAACGGATTAGCCAATAATACCAGGATTTAATTTGCAGTTGCAGTAGACTGAATTTTACACCCCATAAAATATTAGGGTCAAATGTCAATGCTTCATCATAGAACCTCTTGGCAAGATGATAATCTTTCTCAACTCCTAATGCATTCTCATACATATATCCTAGATTCCATAATGCCATTGGAGAGTACTTCAATGCTGCAGATTGGTATGATGTTAATGCCCTAGGATAATCACCCATTTCAAAATATAAATTACCGGCAATTACACCTGCATCAATATTTAGTTGTCTAAAAGCTCTAGCATAATACGTCACTGCTAATCTTTTTCTTGTGGCTAACAATTCAGTAGATTTTCCATATAAATTTGGTTGCTTATACATGATATAAGCTGCTGAAACTTGAGCCGATTCATAACCTTGTTCGGCTGCTACAGCATATCCCCAAAGTGCTGATTCAGTGTCACCAAGTAATAGTCTGGCGTATGTATCCCTTAATCTGGGTGCCATCAACCAATCGTTGGATTCCACAAATAACTTATATACCAGAGCAGTATCTTCAATGTTATAGTTGTCATTAATACCATTTTCTAACATACTGGCAAATTCATAGGTAGATGGCAAATAACCTCTCATATGACCCTGTTGCATTAAAACCAGCGGGTTTCCTAGTTTCATCTCCGGATGTTCTATTGATAGTTTTGCCAATTGATAATCGGGCCCACCAGCACTTCCCCATTTGTTAAATATCTTTTTATAATATTGAACAGCCTTTGTAATATTACCATATTTGTACTGATGAATCAATCCTAAATCTTTATTCGTAGTTGTAAATATAGAGCTTAGGTTTTCCACAACTTGTAAAGAGCGATTCAAATATGTTTCAGCAGTATTTGCATCCGACGATGGTAAACCTTCACCAGTTAGATATATGTGGCCTAAAAGATCCACACATCTTCCATAAAAATGTGCCTGTAGATTATCCATCGAAGCTACACTTGAATCAAATTCTTCAAAAATAGATTCTAATAACAATCTTGCCATTTCCGGAGTCCTTCTAGTGTTGTATGTTCCTTTGAATAAATCCAATGCAGTGTAATAACTATCAACCAATTTATCCAACACATCGTCATCATTTGAACCTAGGACAGATTCATCTGAATTGAAAGATAAATAAACTTTCCCTTCGTTCATTTGAGTATAGTATATGGAGAACAAATCAGGTCTCTTTGAGGCTGATCTTTTGATTGAACTTGTGATCCTATTTAGACCTTCGCCTAATAAACCGCCATCCAAATCGGATACCCTAATATTATAGGATTCTAAAGGAGGGAATTCAATTGACCATTCTTCTGGAGTGAATCTTTCAAAAATATGTTCTGCCAATTGCCTATATAAAAACAAAGCTTTGCCACAATCTTTTGGTACATTCATCCCTACTAAATATCTATAAGCTAAAGCTTGTTTAGCTCTTAAATCACCTGAATCAGCTGCTTTCTCAAAAAATGCTAAACCCTTGGGTATATCTATTTCGGTTGTACCCAGCAAACCTGTTGTATAAAGTACACCCATATCAAATAATGCAGTTGCATTTTGATAATCTGTTAAATTATTAAACTTGTCCAAATAATGGAAACCTAAGGACTTATTATGTGGGAACCCATAATCACCATATAGATGGATTTGAGCCAACATATAAGTAGCATTTGGATTTTGATATTTATCACTAGAGATTACCAGATCATTATAAAAACTCGAATGTAGAGAATCAGGGTCCAAGGATGCCCAAAATTTATCAAATTCTTGTTTCTCTCTCTCTAAAGAATAACTCCTCCTTATATGCAATTGACACTCATCTAAAACAGTATTATTAACGTGGAAATAATCAGGCTGAAGCGTGTCTGAATACAAGTCAATTGTATTTGTGATATTATTCCATGGATCGACGTCAACTGCTAAAACCTTAATTAAATTAGCTAAAAAAATGCTATAAAGCCAAATAATCAACATATTGAACGCAGTCACTTATTCTTAACCAACTCCAAATAAACGCACCCAACTCAACTGCGACCACAACTGCGATTTCAATGAACTAACTCTATTAAAATGGTTATTATTTGTTGAAACATAATCAATCAATGTTTCCTTTGATATATAATGTTATAAGAAAGCGATTTTAAATAAAAGTCAAGTTTTTAAGAATCAGTAAATATAGACAAAGATTGACAAAGAACAGAGAGAAAACAGGTTACGGAGATCTACAAGTGTATAATAATGGATGATAATGGACCTATTCCCAAGGAGACTATTGCTAGATTGCTTGAAACCAGCTCATTTGAACATTCTAGCACACGTATAACTGAAGATGTTGTTGAAGGACTTCAGAAGTATATGGAACTATTTGTAAGAGAAGCTATTATGAGAAGCATTGAAACTAAAGCTAAACTAGAAGAAGAGAATAGTTTTACTGGTGTAAGAGTAGAGTTGACACATACAGACCTTGAAGAAATTGCAGGTTTACTCTTATTAGATATGAGTTGATGATACAACGAAGATTTGGCAACCACTGGATTGTTTTTAATGCAATCAATTGATCAGTAGTCTGTAATTTTTAGGAACTAGTATTGCTGGTGTGGACAGCATTGTTCGAATCGATGCCTTTAGTTTACCTTGAATATTGCAATTGTATTGTTTGATGCATTGTGAAGGTGAGTGTGGTTGTTATTATATGTCTTGGTTGGTCAGGTGGTTACAAAAATAAAAGTTACACGTGATTGAGTTGCAGTTATCGGGAAGATAATCCGATCCTGTGAACAGAAGAACCGTTAGTAATGGCATTGTTGAGGCTTATGATACATTCCTTAGAGGTTTCGATGGTCCCTTTGGTGTTACCATCACCAATTATTGGCCTTGTTGTCATAAAAATGTTTAAATTTGGTGTCATTTTTGCAGCTTTATTAAGAACACCTCATTTAAACTAACAAACGGGTGCAATTTAAATCAAGATGGTTGAATGAATTTATAAAATAAATGTGTCCCTTTGTACACATTTATTTTGTATATAAACAATGGAAGTTTCCCAATTGTAATTGTTTTTACATTCAAAAAAAAATATTTAGGTGCATTTCTTGGTCTTCTTTTTGAATTTGCAAACACATCTTATCGATCTCTGCTACAACAGAAAAGACAGCAAATTTAATAACGCCACATCGCAATGACATCCACTATACCTTCACCTACAGATGTTGGTGCATTAGCCAACAGGATCAATTTTGAAACAAGAGACTTCCATAATAAGGTCAGTGCCTTTATGGGGATCAGACTGGCGCTTGCATTGAAACATGGGTTTATATACAGAGAAGGGTTAGTCGTGTTCTACCATATCTTCAATACCATAGAGACAGAGATAGATTTGGTTTTAAACAACCAGGACGACTCTCAAATGAAACTTATATTATCAAGTTTCTATTTAGACGAGTTTAGAAGGAAGGATAAGATTTTGAAAGATTTGGAGTTATTGTATTATCCAGAATTTCAAAATGATAGGCCACAGTTATTAGAATTTATCAATTCAGATCGATTCACCAATGATTCAGAACAATTGCAAAACTTTGTTAAATATATACAGACGAACGCTACCGAAGATCCATGCACTCTACTAGCATATTGTCATGTTTTGTACTTGGCATTGTTTGCAGGTGGTAAAATAATGAAATCCAATGTGACGAAACACCTTGGAATTTTCCCTAAATTCGAACACTTGTCACACAAAGAGATCATTGCCAGGGGTACAAATTTTTACCAATTTACAGACTCAACAAATCCAGAGACCACAGACGTCAAATTGCGTTGGCTATACAAAAAAAATTACGAATTATCGACAAGAGATGAGCTCTTGGAACAACAAAAACTAACGGTAATCAAAACTTCAAAAGATGTTTTCGTAATGTTAGAAAACTGCATTGCAGAGGTAGGAACAAGAAATAGAAACGAATTAATGAACATATTCAGCTACAAGCTGTTTACATTCATCGTGGAAGAGTGGAAATACAATAGTTCGATATCACCATTCCTAAAGAAATCTCTAATGTTCATTCTCATTATAATCCAGTTCACATTAGCATCAGTCCTACTAAACAGATACATATAAAATAATTATAAGTAAAATAAAGTAATTCTACAAAATATAACTAATCTCTAATACATATTCTACCATCACTAACCATTTGCTGTCATCAAAGCTGACCATCAACCAGGTTAAAAGTTCCTCACCGTCATCTTAATTTAGAGGAATCACCTGACGTTACCCGGAGTTCATGAAGTTTCGTTTACTCGCTTTCCCATACAAAAGATTTCGAGCAAATTGAAGAACCTAACCAACATGCCAATACAATACTTAAAGACAATGGATCTGTTTTATAGCAGTCAGAAACATTGATTTGGCAGAGGTTTATATCAGTTAGGACCAGGCTAGACGTACAGTGGGTTTAGGACGTTATTTGGTTTATCATTGGTAAATTTAAAGGAATTTCCAGTGAACTTTTTTTGGTTTGGATTTAATTTTTCTCCTAAGAGATTATATTACAGACAGGGAAGACCTATACAGATCTAAGTTTACGAGACGACCTATACGTTGAGGAATATAAATTTATATATATACTAAGAGATAGATATTCTGGACTTTGGTTTAAAGATGTCTACTGCTGTGAAATTGCCTATGAGGCTTGGGGCGGGCAGTTATAGCCTGATACAGAAGAGATCTTTGATGGGTTTTGTTAGAAATGCTTTGGGTTTGGATCCTCCTCCTTCTCCAGACGACCCAACTCCAGAGAATAGATTCCATCCTTGGGATCAGTCACCTTGTGTCGACTTGCGTGAACGTGCTGCGAAGATTAGAACTTTGGCTAAATGTCCTGTCACTCACAAAGATATTAACTACACTTGTCCTTTATCTGGAATTCCAACTCATCATGACAAAGAAGCTTGGTTAATGGATAAAGATTACCATGAATCAAAGAGATATGAAATTTTGAAGAAGGTTAATATATATGAACATGATTTGAGAAGTGGGAGACCATTCCCTGAGTTTGATTTCCCTCAAGATCAAGATTACGATCGTTTGATTAATTTGACTAATTGGGATTTGTTCTTTTACACACGTTCTTTCTATTCAATGGATACAGAATTTCAATTAGCTGCTGTAACTAAGATGTTGAGTTACCCAATTACCATTGGTTCTTTGTTACATCAATTCTCGCCATATTCTTTGAATCCAAAGGGTCCTGTTACTTTGGAAGGTTTGAAATCTTTGGCCGCTCTTCGTTATACTCTATATCCGTATCAAAATAAATCACAAAATGTTAAAGTAAATACAAGGGATAGACCAATGAGGATTTTCATCTTGGGGGCTAGAGCAGAAGCTCAATTGCCAGGCCATGTTTGGAAACAATTCCAATATTTGTTCCCTGAACAAGAATTCGAAATCCATTTCATCGGTCCTGAATGTTACTTGAACAAAGAAAAGAACCAATATATCACATCATCTACTCCAATAGTTAAGAAAGTTGATGATACTTTGAAATTAGTTTTCCATCCTGACTACTTTCATGTTTTCCATGAAGCTCAAGATTTCTTCCCTTACGATCCATTTTTAGATGTTTTCTTTACTTTCCATCCTGGTTATGCTTACCCTGAGACTACAGAAATTTGGTTAGGTGAAACAATGAAAGCTTTGCTAGACACCAAATGTGCTATTTTCACTACTGGTTTCAGCAAACAAGATTTGTTACGTGATATTGATGTCGTCAAGAATAGGTATGGTAACGAATTAGATATGTTGATGGATCCAGTCAAGAATGTCTTTGGAAGCACCAAATGGGAATTAAATGATATGAATCCACAAGAAGTTTACCAATTCAATATGTATATTGCTGGTTTTAGGGGTAAGAGGTATCATGCAATTGAAGTTTAAATGGCATTTCCTTTAATATAAACAAATCTTAATGCTCTTTGTGCTCAGTACCTACAAGGATTTCTTCAATTACTATTAACATTCGATTAATGTGTTTATAAATACTTTTTAATATCATGTAAATAAATATCATAATGATATCGTATTCAATTTGAAAAATTCTGTAATGTTGATTAGAACTCCTTCATTCATTCTATTTTCCTTTCCTATTTCTGACATTGTTAGCCCTTCGAAACCAATGAGTTTACGGTAAAACAACATAAATAGGTAGAACATGAAATAGGAACAGCCTTACCATTCGATTGAAATTAATTTATCCATTATTAACATACGATATTAAATAATTCTAATATTTATTTTATTACATAATTGCATTGTAAAATAATACAAATTCCCTTTGACACTTTTCCCACCTTTGAGGATCGAAAAATATATAAGAACCTCTTTCACTCAACCCATCACCAGAGACTAACGGTTCTACCATTGGATCTTTAGTTAACCAAGCCTTTAACGTTTTGTGATAACGCCAATTACGTTTCCTTAACTCTAAATAAGTCAACTCTTGAATAACAGTACCTGGATGTTTATAAAAAAGATAAAAAAGAGTCTCATCTTGGAACAACGTCACACGTTGTTGATCGTTCTCTATCGAATTGAAAACAGGAGGTGTAACTTTAGACTGTAATACATTTGGAATATTTTTAAAAGATTCTGGGGTGAAAAATCTTGGTTCAACCTCACTCCTAGAGGTTTCTGCCCAAGGAGATTGAAACGTATCCAATATACGATACCTCTGATTGTCTCTAGGTATCCCCAAAGAATGTAACATTGACGACAAATCAGTACCAATTGTCATTGCATGATTATATTTTTTTGATAATTCTGTATCATCTTGCTTAATCAATGGGAGCAACGCTTCTAACCCAAATTTATCCATTTTAAACCCAAACAAGAAGTAAACCAACAACCTCAGACAACCTCAATCCAACAAGATAATCCACTTACCACCAATATAGATACCTTTGCCAATACAAATACCTTCCAATTGACATCGTTGCTTCATATACAAATTGTATATATATTTAAGCTTAAGCTAATTTTTTTTTCAATAGTGAAAAACTTCTTGATAATGAACCGTATAGCATCGAAAGATCAAAGAAAGGAACTAGTTATAAGAACAAGAGATGAGATGAGATGAGGATATTTGTTCGTTCAAGATGGTTTGTTGGTTTCTATAAGGTGAGTTAAGGTTAGTGCACGATGTTATCTCGTAGATTGAAACCTAATTTGTTAATTACAGGTACTCCTGGATGTGGGAAGTCTACTAGTTGTGAACTTCTTCAAAGAAGGTTATCAGATTACAAATATTATAATATATCTGATTTTGCTAAGGAGCATGATTGCTATGAAGGGTATGATGAGGATCGTAAGTCACATATTGTTGATGAGGACAAGTTGCTAGATGAATTGGAGCCGTTGTTGCGTGAAGGTGGCAGTATTGTCGATTGGCACGTTAATGATGTTTTCCCAGAGAGATTAATCGATTTAGTTGTTGTATTAAGATGTGATAATTCTATTTTGTACGATAGATTGCATGCCAGAAAGTATCATGATTCTAAAATCCAGGAGAATCTAGATGCTGAGATTATGGGTGTTGTTTTGCAAGACGCTCAAGAATCGTATGCTGAAGAAATTGTAGTCGAGTTACAAAGTGACACTACTGAACAAATGGAAGCAAACGTCGATAGAATAGTGGACTGGGTCGAATTATGGCTGAAACAACACAAGAAGGGTGTCACTAACGAACTGGAGGAGGGTGTGTCAAGTGATGATAACGAAAGTGATTAATATATATAACGTCATCATCCTTTGTTGTAACCTCATCGTCTAAATTATTTAAAAAAAAAGGACCCTCCCTCCAATCGTCAAGTTTTGGTGTCCTTTAAATTCTGTATAATATAATATAAATATAAAACATAAACCTGAAGGATATAAATCTATCGATATACCATTTTTCAATGGAATAAACAGGTTTCTAATCATTATAAACAATCAATTTATATATATAATTTGTTACTGTCTCTTTTTCTTATGTCTCTCTTTGTTCCTTATGTATGGCACCGTTCTCAGCTTATAAGCGATGCGATCGATGCTTTTAAAATATTGAAAAATTTTTCACTGATCTGATGAGATGAGTAGTTATAAAGATTGGTTTGGAAGGGATATAGGAGTCTAATTCGAGTTATACAGTGGTCTGTCATTGGTATTATAAGGTTCTGTACGGCTTGTTTTGTTTTTGAATATTGAAAATAGCATTGAAATTGGTTGAAAGAGGTTTTAATCGGTAGCGAAATTGCAGGAACTAGGTCAAAGCAAAGCAAAGGGCAATAAAAAAGAACATATATTTACCAAAAGGTGGAGAGCAATGTATTATATAGTGATAGAGACCGATACATTGCATAGTGTTGAGACACCTAAGGATCATACTCGAATTTCAAAGTTGTCATATCAATTTGTCGATGCAGAATCACTGGAATGCTATTATGGTAAAGATGAAGTTAAAGTTATCTCTATAGATGATGAGAGTGCAATTTCTTTTAAAGACATGATTAAACAATTGGATGAAGATATAAAGACAGTTGTGGGTGATGATGAATTTGTGTTTTGCTCGTTGAATTCTGTTTGGGACCTTCGTGTGACAATTCCAAGACAAGCTCGTGATGAAATTGTAACATTACCAGACTATCTTCAGGAGGTAAAAGTCTTCGACCTATGGAAAGAATTTAATAGATGGGCAAAGAATCATTCAGATACAGTCACTGTTAAGAAATCAAAGAATCTGAGAGATTTAGAAGAATTACTAAGAGTACTAGAGCTCACCGCTGAAAAAACGACAGTGGAGACAAAAGAAATAGAAGAAAACTCTGACAAAGAAGATGAAGTACACGCCAATACAGGTGCTGAAGAAAGCGGAAATGCTACCATAACTACCGCTGCTGATGACGATAATAATGAAGATGATTCAAAGGAAATGAAAGAAACTCCATTGGAGATTAATAGAGTAACTGAAATCTTGACTACCATCCACAAGAAATGTACTACCGAGGAAGATATAACACTGGTTTTAACAAAGCCATATGATTCTAATTCAGATTTTAAAGCGTTTAAAGAAGAGGCTTCAAAATTGTTATATATGAACAATCTACCTCCAGACACAACCCAGAGTGAATTAGAATCATGGTTTGCTCAATTTGGGTCTAAACCAGTAAGTTTTTGGACTGTTAAAAACATCGTTGAAGAAACTTCAAATGTTAATAACAATTGGAGTATGAATAACAGTCCATACGTAGAAGAACAAGATAGTATTTCAGGTTTTGTATCATTTCAATCGCATAAGGAAGCCACTGATGCTTTACTCCTAAATGGTCGTTCAATCTTATCTAACATGGCAAATACAAAGCAACCTAGAGTGGTTGAACATATTGTCGAGATCCAACCTTCTTCCGTGACAGTTTTAGAAAGAGTGCAAGATATTTCAGCACCATTCCCCCAAAGTAAGAATAAACCAAGACCTGGTGATTGGAATTGTATGTCATGTGGCTTTTCGAATTTTCAAAGAAGGACTGCGTGTTTTAGATGTTCATACCCTGCTGCTTCTAATAATTTAAATTCAAGAAAATATGTTAACAATTCAAATAATATGCATAATAATCCACTAAATGATAATGGATCAAACTTAAATATTTTGAACACCACGCCAAATCAATATAATTTTGCATTAGGTATGCAACATAATTCACAACCTCAAGGTCTACAAGCCAGGTCAAGTCCGATTAATGGCTCAACGGGATACATTGGTATGATGAACAACAACAACAACAATAATAATAATAATAATAGCAATGGCAACAATAATAACGGTAGCATGAATATTAATAATAGCATCAACAATAATAATTCATACAGATATAATAACAATAATCATAACGGTAATCGTTATAATAATCATCAAACAAATGGCAATAACAATAGTGGTTCTAATGTTCCATTCAGAGCTGGTGATTGGAAATGTATTGCATGCAGTTATCATAATTTTGCCAAAAATGTTGTATGTCTTCGTTGTGGTGGACCAAAAAGTCATATAAATTCAGGAGATATCAACTCTCCTACTATGAATAACTCTAATGGCCTGAATAATCGTCATTACTATAATAATAATAATAATAATAATAATAACAATAATAATAATAATAACAATAATAACAGTAGCAGTGGCAACTACAACAGTAACGCTTCCAAGAGTACTAATAACTACAATGGAATTGAACTACCGAATATGTCAGTGTCTACAGCTACAAGCAATGCCAGTTATAATAAGACTAGCCAAGGACTAGTTGGTAATGTTGTCGCAACTCATATCAACAACGGTAGTATCGATAGTGTTAATAATGATACTATGGTCCCTTTGAATTCTGCATAATGATGTTTTTATTTATATTGATGTCAATTTTGTTAATATGTTATACAAGTGAGTCGTTAAGATAAAATCTATATAAGATGGGTTATTAGTTTTAAATTGGTGTAATTTTATAAGGAACTAGTGGAATCTAGTTATTAAGTATTCAAATATTCAAATATTCGAAATGATATCTTAGATTATCTGTTTATGTCAGTATTAGCCTTGTCATAAATCCGTCTTATTAATATTACTTATATTTATATACATTTAGACATGTATTATCAATGTTTGGATAGAATTATTTGAAACTCAAGACGGTTCTTAAACAGTTACCGTGATGTAGCTCTTCGAAAGCATCATTAATTTCAACAAAAGGTCTTCTGTTTGTAATAAATTCATCAACTTTCAAACTACCATTTTGGTAATCTTTAATTAAACCACCCATTTCAGATCTACCTTTAATACCACCGAAGGCAGAACCTTTCCATACTCTACCAGTGACTAACTGAAATGGTCTAGTAGAGATTTCTTTACCGGCAGCAGCGACACCAATGATAATGGACTGACCCCAACCTTTATGACAAGCCTCTAAAGCATCTCTCATAACGTTGACGTTACCAGTACAATCAAAAGTAAAATCCAAACCACCATCAGTCATTTCAACTAATTTAGAAACAATATCTTGGCCTTCTGGCAACTCTGATGGATTAACGAAATCAGTTGCACCAAATTCTGCACTCCATTCTTTTTTGTCGTTGTTAATATCAACAACAATGATTTTTGAAGCACCTCTGGATTTAGCACCTTGAACTACCGATAACCCAACAGTACCAGCACCAAATACAGCAACAGTGTCACCCTTTTGGACATTTGCTGTCTTGATAGCTGCACCGTAACCGGTAGTGACACCACAACCTAATAGACAGACACTGTCTAATGGAGCTGTTGGATCAATTGCAACTACTGAAACGTCTGCTACAACAGTATATTCTGAAAATGTAGAACATCCCATGAAATGATACAAAGGTTCACCTTTCTTATTGTGAAATCTTGGTGTACCATCTGGCATCACACCTTTACCTTGAGTAGCTCTTACTGAACCACATAGATTAGTCTTACCAGATAGACAAAACTTACATTTACCACATTCTGCAGTGTACAACGCAACGACATGGTCACCAGGTTTGACAGTTGTTACGTTGTCACCTACAGATTCGACGATACCTGAACCTTCATGGCCTAAAACACATGGGAATAAACCTTCTGGATCGACACCTGATAAAGTGTAAGCATCTGTGTGACAAACTGCAGTGTTGATGATCTTAATACGAACTTCATGTGCCTTTGGTGGATCAACAACGATCTCTTCAACGACTAATGGTTTAGCTGCTTCATAAGCAACTGCTGCTTGACAAGTGATTGGTTTACCAACTGTAGACATGATTCCCAGATTTAGAGAGGTATGTGATGATGGATAGATGGGTTATGGGTTGTGTGGTAATGGAAGGTATCTGAGATATACACTTCTACAAGTACTTGATTTCATTGATATATTTATACAAGTGAGTGGGTTGTGTGAATGGGTGAGGGGGTGGAGACCCAACAATGTCAAGATGGAATTGAAACTAAATCATTGCTGCCATTGAGCAAGAGATTACATTAGTAATCATTGTTGAAGGTAAAATTGTACGGAATTAGTTGGAATTAAAATTGCGATTGCGAATGCGATTGCAATTGCAATTGGACTTGGATTTGTAGGTTCTGGGTTCCATGTCCTAGGTTCTAGGTTCTTGCGTTCTGGTACTTGGTTGGTTCCAGGTTCCAGGTTCTAGGTTCAGGTTACAGTGGTCTCATTGCCAAAAAAGAAAAAATTTTCTTGAAATTTCACTCATTCTTCTCTAGGTTCTTTCTCTTACTGGCAAAGCAATTTCTGTTCAGTTTTCAGTTCCGAATGTTCTTGTAGCATGAGTAGGAAGGGTTCTGTTACCTGTTGCGTTGTTATAGCTGCTTCCAGTAGTTTGCTCTGTTGTGCTCTGCTGTGCTTGGTTCTGCATGGTAGTTATTTCACCACCATACGATATTAATGGTAGCGCCAGGTCTATTTGTGGGACTAGCGTTTACAGTTTATAATGGATAGGAGATAGGTAAGTGTTTGTGTGTTAAGGAATATATCAATCGATCGATCCATCGAACCACAGTAATAGTATTTGGTTAGCTGGCACAGAGGTCTGTTGCATTGTCCTACTTTTAAACCACCATCAATCACATCAACCCATTGTCTCTTCTTCCACTGTGTAGAGAGACAGACACCTTCTAAACTATATCATGATGAACGACAGATGGCACACCAAAAATGAGAATTTATATCATTTTAGAGATATGTCTAATAAAACAAACCTAAAGATGATGATGATGATGATTTAACAAAGACACACTTGATTAATAACTTGGATATTCTTACAATTTGTAGTTGTTTAGAGTTGGCAACAACAAATTCTCTGGAGACTGTTCTGTTGTTGTGTCTGCTGAAATATTTGGTTTAGTTTGATTTAATTTAGTCTTAAAAAATTGGTTGGTCGTTTATACTGGTTTCTTCCCTTTAATCATTTGATATCGTTTGTTTTACAAAGACTATCCTTCATTCTCTGAATATTTAGTTCTGGTTTTGGTTCATTAGTGTTTCTGTGCTTCTTATTTTTTTCGATTGGATTCAGTTAATTGGCAACTTTATTTATTAATCCCCAGATATTATTCTGTTCCATTTTTGTTTGATTTCACAATGCTAAAGAATTTCGTCCCAAAGAGAACTGCTTTTGGTTTAACTCGTTTTTATCACCCAAATCCAAAGGAGTACGTTCCTCAGCTTACTTTACCACCTTTGCTATACGGCAAGGATTCAAAACAATATAAAATACTCTCTCATTCTCTAGATGTCTCGGTGCCAGAGTTTGGCTTTAATGAAAGGGCTATAGTTAACTCAATTAATCTATTGGGTTACCCATCTTCCATACTGTCAGTCATAGGCTCTTCAAATACTCCTTCGTTCTTACACTCTTCCACTGCTTTAATGGAATTGTTAAAATTCAATTTAGTAGCGAAGAGATACCAATTATCGGAGGATATACCTTTAGACACTCCTGTTGAGGAATTACCTTCTCTAGAAGATCTATTAATTAAGAGATTGAAAATGGACGTCCCGATCGGACCTCATCTATCTCAATTGATCGCTCAATTATCCATTCCAGGTCCTTTCTTGACTGACACTTCTTTGCCTGAATTACATAGATTAGCTGATGACATGATTTATTTCTCAAGTGAAAAAGATCATCCTGACTTTGCCTGGTACGCTAAAAGAATGGGAGTCTCAACCGCCTACATGTCAAGTAAATTATTCATGGCTCAAGATAGATCACCAGGATATGTCGATACTTTTGAATTTGCCAAAGATAAGTTAAAACGCATTATGAAATTAGGTGATTATTACAATAACGCCGAAGAATACGCTTGGTACGTTTTAATGAATTCTATTAACATGGCAAAATCAAAAGCTGCTAGAGGTTGATCCACCACTGGAAGCTGCCCCATCTCTGATCTCTTTTAATGTCCATTTCTCTTTATTTCTCCCCCCTCCAGTCCTGTTAATTTTAATGTGCTTTTTCTGAATTAAAGAAAATAAAATTTCTATTTCTTGCCATATATATATAATTTTGATGCTAATGCTACGAGAATACATACGTATATCTATATATATGAATACATATATTTAGGTAATAACATAATACTGGTTATTATTATTTTTTACTAATTATCGTCTTTTTATCTGTTAGTAAAATGCCGTCTCTTCTTTCATTCTTGCTTGTTTTCTATCTATTCTTCCACATCGTATATCTATGCTCCACCACGTCCCTTCATCAACTCATCCCTAAGCTTGTTCAATTCGGTTTGCTTGCTCTTTATATTATCCTCACATTTCTTAATCTCTGCTTCAATAAATTCCAATCTTTTCTCTACATTAGAACGAGCTTCAAATTGTTCAACAGGTAATAAAACGTTACCTGTCAACTTATAAACTTGGGTGTCTTCTTTCAACCCTTCAAACTCTTCATTGACAATCTTGTTCTCTTGTAATTGAGTCTCTAACTGTCTTCTAGCAACAATCACTTCCTCTAATTCACCTTGAATCTTTTGATACTTATTAGCTAAATCAGACATCTTGTAATATCTTGAAATTCTTCAAATCTTTTCACTCAAAACTTCAACAATCAACAGAATAATCAATTAGTTCACTAGAGCAGTCTCTGATGTCCCACTTATATAACAAATCAATTGAAATATGTATCAAACAGCTGCTCATTAAAGTGCTTTCACATCATCATCTTAATTTTTTAAAGTATTGAAAAATTAATTATCTTAACAGAGCTTAAAAATTTAAAAATCATCAATCTATAAGCACTATTAATTTAAAGGGAAGCAGAGTTATTTTTGGATAAAAGTATCATAATCACACTTCGAGACTGCTGTGATACGTTATTAATACTCTAAGATGCTGGTATGTTTTATTATAGAAGTTTAACTCTTAATTTTTACTTTGAAGATACGAATAATTACTAACTAGCTTTATTTTAACACTTAAATTTGGTTGTTTAAAATTAATTGAATAGTTTAAACAATGGAATGAATTTGTAGCTCCAAGACATGAATTGGATTCCCCAATCATTGCAAGAAATGATGATTCATTACAATTATTGAGCTTGCCTGAAGTTCACATGCCAGAAACAGATTTGTCAAAATATAAAAATGTGGTATTGACTACAAAGATTATGGATCCTTTATTCCCATCAAAATTACTATCCGCTGAAAAGATTGCAGATATTACAACTACTTTAAAAATAGATGAATCACAGGATGTAGGTGAATCAGAAAATCATTCTTGGGATTATGAAGAAAATTTCCCTAATGAAGTCGGATTTAAAAGAGACTCTAATAATCGAAGATTATTGTCTTTCTCATCCCCAATATTTGCATTTAAAGATACGATAATTATTATGATTGAAGAAAATTTTATTAAGATGTCGGCGATCTTCAGTAACGTCATTGCTGAGCAAGTCATAAATCATCTATTGATCAATGGTAATCCAGATTTAAACTTTATAGCTATTGGTACATCTGATAGAATACTTAACATTAAAAAATTAACACAAGACCATTGCTCATTAGAGCCACCTGAATTTGTCACAGGATTTATTGGCAGTATCCTAACTCAATTAATCTCTAAAGAAGTCAATGTCTTTACAGGTATATTAGCTCCTAGTGAAGGTCCGATAGGATTTGAGAAAATGACACTAGATGTGATAAAAGAATTGATTGATATTTGCCAGGAACTTTTAGATATCAAAAGTACAGAATATTCAGTCGATTGTCAGCGTATGTGGAGATTAGATGGTGCAGCCATTGGAGCTCAATCCGGTTTATATATATAATTTATAAGTAGCATTAAAATTTCTTCAAGCATTTGTCAGGTGCATAACTGAGTTTAAATATAACAATATAATATTTTAATATAAAATGAACACTTAGTGCAATATAAGTGAAAATGGGAAAAAATCTAGATCTTTATAAATCCCAATCCACTATTATCTAAATATACAGTAAATAAAATTATGATGATGGTTTTATGGATGTAGAAATCATTTTTGTTTATTATTTTTTTTTGATACTAATCTATCAGAATCGAGATGAAATTTTATTAGAATTTGATTGTTTAATCCTTCTTCTTTTTATCTTTTTTTTCTTTCTTGTCCTTTTTGTCCTTCTTTTCTTTCTTTTCCTTCTTCTCTTTCTTATCTTTCTTCTCTTTCTTATCCTTCTTTTCCTTCTTCTTTTCTTTCTTGTCTTCTTCTTCATCATCACTATCTTCTTCTAACTTTCTCTTCTTAGATGGTTTGCTAGATTCAACTGGTTCTTCAGTAGCTGGCTTGTCCTTATTGTATAGTTCCATAGCTTCATGGATAGCAACTTCGTTCTTCAAAGTTGGTGTACCAGTAGCATAGAATTCTAATCTTTGTTCGACTTGTTTCTTCAAGACAGCACCGAAAACACTAGTTGGTTCATCTGAATAGTTATCGATTCTAGAGGCCATCGAACACTTGTTAGCCAAGTATCTGGAGATTCTACCCTTGTTCTTAGCAGAAGCCTTAGAGATGAAACCACTGTGATAAATTAAACCATATTTTGGAGTGTTACCCTTGGTTTTCAAAGCTCTAAACAAAGCTTTTTCAGCACCTAAGATTTGGACGGTAGAAGCAGCTTGTTTAGATAAGTTGGTCAAAGAACCAGCGTGAGAGATCAATCTAGCACCAATAACTTCACCGATCAATTCAGATAAGTTAGGAGCGACAGTGTGCATCTTTTCACACAAGTAATCGTATAATTGTTTTCTGTAATCAGCTAAAGAAACGACTCTTTGAGCAAAGATACAGACGTTGTCCATATCAGTTTCGGATAAATCTTGACCCATGGAGATACGAGCGTTATCGATGACTCTTTCGGCGACACCAGCATCGTTGTCCAAGATAGCGGATAAATCATGTAAAGAATCTTCATTTAAAGAAGCCTTATCTTTAATGAATAAAACCAATTGAGCAAACTTGTAGTTGTCTGGAACCAATTTTGCCAATTCAGGGAAGTGCCAACCGTACCATTCTTTAACTCTCATAGCAAAAGTGTTGATATCTTTGTCTAATTGATCCAACAAAGCAATAGCTTGAATGATATGGTTATCGTTCTTTTGGACGGAGAACTTAACTTTAGCTCTTGAGTAAGCGTGACCCAAACCCAATTGAGCTCTTTCTAAATCACCGGATTGTAAACCTTTCAATAGTTTTTCACCATGCAATCTAACACCACGGATCAAATCTTGAGCTAATTCATTTGAGATACAGTCAACGTATGGGAAAACTTCTTTGATGGAAGGACCCAAGTTCTTATCAGAAATAGCCATAACAACAGATTTTTTCTCAGAACCTTTTGGTAAGTTCAAGTCCAAGACGGCTTTCAAGCTGTCGGAGACCAAACCTTCAGAGATGTCGTTAGCATTTTCCAAAGCTTCAGCAGCACCTTTGAAAGGAGCAAAAGAGACTAATTCGACCAACTTAGTGAATGAGCCGAATTCATTGATCTGTTGTTGAACTTCTTGTAATCTAGATCCAATATCGTCTTGTTGCAACTTGACCTTGAAAACAGCGTAACCAGTTGGTTCTTCAAATAATAAGTATTCGATTGGAGCCATTTTTTCTTATTGTTATTATAGTATTTTGTGTCTGTCTCTAATATATAGATATAATATGAGAATAGGCACCCACTTTCAAACTAACTTAATCTATCTGTTACTGAAAGAAAAATAAAAGTAAATATTCAATCCAAAAACAATGTAAAGATATCTTTGTCGAATCTGAAGTAATGTAAGATACACTAGTAATCGATCCAGAAGAGAATATTAAATATATATATCTATATCTATATATACCTGGTTTTGTCCGACAACTTTGAAGCAAAATACCTGATAGAAAGCGACTAGAGTAACTAAAATATAGAATGTTATTAGAGATACACTAATATCAATTGATCAGACTAACTATGTTATTGAATTAATTAGTTCACTATCCATCAAACTGTAATAGTAATAACTACCATTAGCATAACCATAACCATAACCAAAATCAAAATCTTGATGAAATTTTTCAGACCTCATCGCATTTCAAAATTTTAATTGATAGATGAGTTTTCGAATTTTTCAAATCTTTTTGGCCTGAGGTTGTCGAAGTGGAGCAAGACGAAGACGAAGAAGAATTGTAAAAAAAAAAATTTTCTTTATCTCTTCACCGGCAGTTTGTGTGGAGCTTTCTTCGCAAGCCAGTGCGAGATGGATTTTTCATTTTTTTGAACTTTTTGAATTATTTTCACGTTTCTTTTTGTGCTTTGAGCAGAAGCAAAAAAAATTTTTTTTAAAAAAAGAAAAGCGAAAAATTTTCGTTTTGTCTCATCGTTTTGTACGTGGATGGGATGGTATTGTTCGTGGATGGTGATCCTCGATGAGGATAAAAGTGGGAAAATGGGTTTTACCGGACACGACCATGGTTATGTGCTGTTCCTGGGAGATTCTGCCGGACACACTCCGATTTTTTGTCGTTTTGGTGCGTGCCAGACAACTTCCCCCTCCTCCCTCCGGCAATGCGCTACTACAATGCGCTGCTTCTCTCCCTCTTCCTTCAGCATTGTACCCTTAATGCACATACATATGACAAACTGACAACCTGCTAAACTACAATGACTAAAATTTAAACTCATCTATTCTAATCCATCTATCTATAAAACTATATATATATAACGATATTTATATATTTATAGAAGTGACTGGATACTACGGTATACTTTATTGTTGTTGTTACTGACTGCATCGACTGCCATCACCCTCATAGTAAAATATATCCACTTATCATTAAGTGGTATCTAAATCCTCGATTTAAAACTACTCCAAGACCACTCTGCTTGCTCATCTCTCTTACACTAATGTTGAACAGAAGAAGAAAATACATTTCTGAAAGTATGCTGAATAGCGAAACTCTGGTGGCTTATTCTTTTGCTGCTTCAGGCTTCACCAATTTAGAAAATGACCATTTTATTGTGTCACTGTCTCACTCTCAAGGTTTCGCCTGGAATCAAGATCTATTTGCTTCTCAATATCAACAAATGTGTAAAGTAGTCTACGATGGGCATAATGATAACATGGATAAATTGTTGGATTATATTAAATTGAAAACTGAAGAAGTAAAAAACTCCTCTACTCCAATTGAAAATACCAATCGTGAAAATGATCTGAAAAACTTCTATCATGAAAATGATAATACATCAAGTGATGTTATCGATTGTGCAATTGAAGATGATTCAAAGTCATTGGAAAGTAATGAAGTAGATACCAGACACCGTAGAAGATCAAATTCTTTCTTGATTTCAAAGATAAGGGCAGAAGTAACAAGGCCCAGAAGGAAATCAGGAAGAAGTGTGAGTTTCGTTTCAGATTCAAAAAATGGGAATTATTCTAGAAATAAAATAACTGAAATAGATATCAATGGTGAATCAAAGGAAAATTTGAAATATAAATGGTTAGCTTCTAAAAAGTAACTTTCCCCAAACTAAATATATAAAAATGGTTCCACCAATTGAAAAAAAAATACTTTAATGAATGCTCTGATATACAATTATCGAATAATATACACTTATTTGATCCTTAATGATTATACAAATTTTTAATTTATACAAATATCTATATTCTAATTTAATTTGATTTAATTTAATTTAATTTGACTCAATTAAAATTTCTTATGACTATCTTTTACATTTTCCCTCAGTCATCACCTTCATCGTCACCTTCCTCTTCATCTTCGTCGTCCCCTTTATCATCAACAGTAATAACAGTATCAGGGTTATCATTCTTGACATATTTTCTTGATATTCTAGAACTCTTACCAACTTTTTGAGCTTCACCTCTTGCTTGTTGTTTTAATGCAGTTAATTCATCAGAAAAAACTTTACGAACAGTTCTATTGGTAAAAACATCCCATAGTTTTAACCCTGTGTTAACACCACCGATAACCAAATGGCCCGCAGTTTCCATATCTGGAGCAAATGAAGAGGTTAAAACATTACCAGCATCAAAATCTCTAGACAGAACCATATTTGGACCCTTACCATTGGAAGTAGATTCAACTGGGAATTTCCACAATTTAACTGCTTTTTCACCCATTGCACCAGTACTCATCATGCCTGGAATAAACTTGTTACAATTCAATGTTGAGATACCAGCATCGTGTGCCTTTAATGTCCATACTGGTTTAGAACCTTCATTGTTTCTAATATCAAATGAGTATACATTACCAGAGTCTGTACCACACAGTATCAAGTTTTCACTTGCAAATGTGGCAGCTTCAATTTCTTCACCACCCATAACACTCCAATATTTAGACATATTACTTTCATCTGAAATTCTAACATCAGTTAATGCCAAACGACTGTCATAACCACCAGTTAACAAAATTGAACCATGAGACATGTGCCATTCAGAAGCTGAAACATTTTTGTTACTGTGAATTGATGCAATAGAACGAGCTGCTGTACCAGAGTTCAGATCCCAAAGCTTAACTGTATGATCAGCGGAAGTAGATGCTAAAACGGAACGGAAATGCTTATTATGTGCTAAAGATAAAACGGCATCGGTATGGTGAGTTGTGATATGTTGTTTACCACCCTTTGATTTCTTCTTCTTCTTACTAGATAAACTTGCCATAGAATTTTCCAATGGTTCTCCCAAAATCATATCTGGGAAAGCCTTTTCAATACAATCCAAATTCCAAATCTCGATATTTGGATCGAAAGTACCAATGGCAGCAAAATTAGCTGCATTGTCGGAGTCAGAACCTGGTCTGTAGTTCAACCATTCGACACATAATGGGAACGCTGGCAACATTAAATCATGATGAATATATAAAGAACTGTCACGAACAAAACCACGAGCAACATCTGGGTCTTGTTCATCACCTTGTTCAGCTGGAATTTCCTCACTGTGGAAACCAGCACCATCATCATAAACATATACATCCAAATAAGAAATATCGTCCTCAGTTCTTGTTGCTAAAATCATATTATCAGTTGGATAAACTTGCAATTCTCCCTTTTCTTCATTTGTATCTTGTTCAGTTGGCAGAGAAATATATGCATCTTCACCATTCTCACCTTCATGGAATTTAACATCTTCATTTGCTAAACCTGGAAACATAGCGGCTTCAACACCTTTACTACCAGATTCCTCTTCATCATAGTTTTCTAAATCATATTCTTTCAAATCGTCATCGATATCAATTTGATCTTTCAAACCATTAGTATTAACGTCTTCAGTAGCGATATCTTCATCAGCTTCTTCACCAGCTTGTTCTTCGTCGATATCAGCTTTGGCATCGTCAATATTCAATTTAGCTAATTGGTTAATTCTTTCCATTTCTTCATCATCTAGCTCGTATTTTTCTGGAAACTCAGAGGCAAATCCTCTTGGAACCCAACAAGTTGCTGAAATCATTGCTTATATACTTTAACTTGATGTAACTATTAGAGTGTCCTTCCAGATCGGTTTATAAATAGCAATCTAAACCTGTTATAACATCAATTTCAACTGCCTGATTTCTTCTATCTCATCTCATCTCATCTCATCTCATCTCATCTCATCTCATCGAAATTTCATAATTTTTCACTGAAGAAAATTTTTTAGTATGTCGTATTTAATGAGTTCCGATTTGATAGTTATAAGTGGAAAGATACCTATTAATATATGAAACTTTAATGTTGAAACACCTTTAAACTATAAAGACAAGTATATAGAAGTTATAAGGAGATATCCTGGTCCAGTTTGATTCGGGTTTGCTCATTTTTGTATTGCTTGAAGGTTACCTGGATATTTTATAAGGTTTTGAAACTCAAAGATTAGCCATGTCAGACGAACAAAAGAAATTAGAAGATCTTTTAAAGCAGTTACAGTTAAACAACGGTAATGGTCCTAAGATTAATGCTGAACCTGTGAGGGGAACTAATGATTTTAAATTTTGGAAAACGCAACCTGTGACGAGTTTGGAGGAAGAAGTTACTGAAGAAGGTCCAATTGATAAACCTAAGAAACCAGAAGATATTTCTGATAAGACGTTACCAATGTTGGCCGAGTTTGAATGGACTACAGTTGATATTGAAGATAACGAACAGTTAGAAGACGTTTTTGTACTATTGAATGAAAATTATGTCGAAGATCGTGATTCAGAATTCAGATTTAATTACACAAAAGAGTTCTTCAAATGGGCGTTGAAATGTCCAGGTTGGAATAAAGATTGGAATGTTGGTGTTAGAGTTAAGAACACTGGTAAGTTAATTGCATTTATTTCCGCAATTCCAGTCACTCTTAGAGTTAGATCTAATATTATAAAATCCGTAGAGATCAATTTCTTGTGTGTTCACAAACAACTAAGAGCTAAAAGATTAGCTCCAGTATTGATTAAAGAAATCACAAGAAGAGTCAACAAAACTGATATTTGGCAAGCATTATATACTGGTGGAGCAATTTTACCTTCTCCAATTGCAACTTGTAGATACACCCATCGTCCATTAAATTGGAATAAATTATGTGACGTTGGTTTTACCGCATTGCCAAGTAACTCTACCAATGCCGAAATGGTAGCCAAATATACTTTACCAAAAGTTACTGCCACACCAGGTTTAAGAGTAATGGAGGAAAAAGATATTGAAGAAACTTTGAGATTGTTTAACAGATATCAAGAAAGATTTGAGCTAGTTCAGAATTTTACAAAGGAAGAATTCCATCATTGGTTTTTAGGTGGCTTGGATTCTACCTCTTCAAAAGATAGCAACGTTATTTATTCCTACGTTATAGAGGATAAAGATGGAAAAATTACCGATTTCTTCTCCTTCTACTCTTTACCATTCTCTATTTTGAATCATAGTGTGCATAAAGATCTTGGTATTGGTTACCTATTTTACTATGCATCCGACGCTGATTTCAACTATGCTGAGAGATATAACGAAGAAGCAACATCTAAATTGAAAAAAAGGTTAGATTTAATCATAAGAGATGCATGTATATTAGCTAATAACTCCAAAATGGATGTGTTCAACGCTTTGACATCACAAGATAATGCATTATTTTTAGATGATTTGAAATTTGGTTCTGGTGATGGTTTCTTAAATTTCTACTTATTTAATTACAAAGCTTTCCCAATCCACGGTGGTCTCCTGTCCAACAAATCCAACGATGTAGAAAAACGTAGTAACCTAGGTATAGTAATGTTGTAAGACTTTCAAAAGAAAGATATATACATACATATTTAACTATTTTTAGAACTTAAAAGTGAATGACACCCCCCATATATCATCAAGCCTCGAAAGAATGAAATCAAAATCAAAATTTAATTACATTGCCTGAATCGTTATAATAAACAACCACAATTGCAACATTCAATCATAGGACTAAGCCCTTCCATTCGATTATTTTTTAAATTTTTCTACTTTCTACATACTTAATTTCTATATTTTTCTAAATTGTGTCTGGAATCTCGAACCGGCCTTCCATCGTTTTTAAAGGATTCATCGCGAAAAATAACCAGCTTGCTGGTCAAGTGATTATTCAAATGGATATTTTGTTCAGCAGGCTTGGCAAAATTAATCAAGGTGGCAGGTATTGCATATTTTAAAAGATGATAGATGAATGAGTTTTGTAGTTGATGTAAGTTTGTCTTTAAGGCAAGGAAGGAGCTTGGGTAATGACAAATAAAGGGTCCTAGTAATTTTTTTTATGGGTGTAAAGAATTGAGATGGCGATGATTATTTACTTCTTTTGTAGATTTTTAATTAAGCTAGGCTTAATAATTTCAAAATTGCCTTAAACTTGAATTTTTAAATGTAATGTTAAAAGTTAAAAAATAAATATATAAATACTGGATATATTTGTAAAAAGACAATTAGTTTCTTGGAAAAGTTTATTTCTATTTTATTTTACTTTAATTCTAAAATTTATGAATAGACCATCCAACAAAAGATCTAATCTATTGACTTTAATCTTCTAGTTTAAACATTTACCAACCTCATCACTTTTTATAAATACAATGAAATTTTCTACATCTGTTTTGTTAGCCAGTTCTATTGCTTTAAGCAATGCTGCTTCTGATGTCGTTTCTTCCAACACTAAGACATTGAACAACAATTTGGTTGCTGCCAGTGCAGTCGAAGGTTCAGCTGCTGTTGCTTCAGCTGCTGTCTCTGGTACTACTACAACTGAACAATATGCCATAAAGCCAAGTACTACCGTTACTACTACCGATTACTTAGGTAGAACTACTACTCAAGCATTGTGGTATATTCCAGAAGCCAACTCTGCTAAGGCTGTCACTACTACTTCTAAAACTTCTTCCAAAGCTCTTGAAACCGAATCTGCTGAAGTTACTGAATCTTCTGAATCTGCTGAATCTGCTGAAGCCACTGAAACTTCTGAAACTGCTGAAACTGCTGAAACTATTGCTTCTCAACCAACTACTACCTCTAGCACATCCACCATTTTATGGTGGACCCCATCTACTTCAACTACTTCTACTGGTAGCACAGACACCGAATCCACTAGTCCTACTACTTCTACCACTTTATGGTGGACTCCATCCACTTCATCCACCTCTACTGACAACAAAGATACTGCTTCCACCACTTCTACTAGAAACTGGGATGAAGCTATTACTACTGTTACCACTACTGACGCTGACGGTTCCTTAACTACATCTAAAGTATGGTGGTTGCCATCTACTAGCTCCAATTCTGGTGCTTCATCCAACAGCGTTAGCGTTTCATTATCCACTTCTACCTCATACAGCAAATACAAGACCACATACACCACCACCAGTGGCTCTGAAATCAAAACCATCACCACCTCCTATAGTTCTGCATACGCCAGAGTATTGTCATCTAACAGCACTATTAGCGTTTACAAAAACGATACTAATGCAGCTGGTAGATTAGAAGTTGGTTTGGGTGCTGGTGCAGTCGCATTAGTTGCCTTGATCTTATAAGATTTTTAAAATAAGAGAAGATAAGATAAAGGAAAACCAAAAGAAAAAGAAAACAACAAAATAAGTATTAAGCATTTCATTCACTATTCATTAGTTTACAATCTAAACTATTTAAATTTCATTTATAACACATTTTATAAGGCATTTTATGTACAATAGACAGTTTATTTAATAAAACAATCCATTAATTACTGACACTTTAACATTATTAGAAACATCAATTTTATTCACCTTATACGAATATATCCATTTATTTCCTGAAATGGTCGTTTTTTAGTTTTTTTCAATCAATTTTCCTCCTTGGGCCAACCTCCCTTCTCTTCCCCTATGGATGGGAGATAGAGAGGGAGATATATAGATGTAGATATAGATATAGATATTTATTTGTATATTTTTTCAGTATGTACGGGAATAAGACGAAGAAATGTGCATGGAAAGTAGTGTATAGATCTTAGTTTATGAACAGAAAAGTGACAAATTTCAATTTCAAATCTCTTGGATATAAGAACCACTTGATTCTGAATTAGCATCAACTGTTCACCTCCAAAGTATAGTGCTTAATCCAGACCAAAGTGTTTTATTCGTGATTGTGTTTGCAGGGAAGAAGATCTTTGTTCTCGAATAACGTTTTAAAAAATTTGTTTCATCATATTTTTTTCAAGTAAATTTGTGAATTGATTAAAGAATGGTACTTTGGCAAAAGAATGCACACAGCTACCCCTATGATTTCAATGCGGTATCGTTAGCCTTTTTCAATCGATATCCAAATCCGTATGCCAACCATGTAAGATCTATTGATACATTAAGTCGAGAAATCGATCATGAAGGTAATTTGAGAAGTGTTCGACTCATTAAAAAGACAGGAAAGATGCCAAGATGGGTTAAACCTGTGTTGGGAGGTATTAGTGATTCATGGATCATTGAGTATTCTGTAGTTGATTCAGCTAGACAGACGTTAAAGACGTATACCAAGAATCTTGATCATACCAAGATATTGCAAATTGAAGAGTATACCGATTACGAGTATGATTTTAACAATAGTAGTACGAAGGTCAATAGTCGAGTCAAGTTTACAAGTGCATTTCATCTTGGTATCAAGGACAGGATTGAGAATTGGTCGAGGAGTAAATTTGAAGAAAATATCAATAAGAGTCGATTAGGAATGTCATTTGTGATGCAAAGGACCCAGACGAGAGACAGGTTGAATTGAATAGATATATCTCGATGGATCTATCTGTATATTCTCACAATACTGGAAAAATATGGGGTGGAGTGGAATGAAATGGAATAGAATGAAATCAAAAGAAGAAATAAGGGAAATAGACGCAGAGACATGTGGTAATGATGCTTAATCGCAATGAATCTCTCTCTATTCAAAAATGGGGCAGGCACAGGTATATGTATATATGTATATAAAAAGACAAGAACGTGACTAGCGATATAGTAGTAAATAGACAAATTTACCCAGCCATATGTAAATAATCATAAAAGTATTTGACACTCACTAACCACGAACAAGAACAACGGTTTTGGAACGCAACACTCCAATCCAAACCTTATCTTATACAAGGGCTAAAAACGAATTAAAACAGGAAAACATAAAACAGCAACTAACTTATCGATCAGTCACCTAACAGTTGTCCGATTTGTTCCGCAGTTGAACCCTACCTACTGCTTCCTGTCTCCGGACAAAACTTTCCTTATCGGAAGCAAATTTGAACCTGATTGGCCAAACCACCACCCCGATCCGAGAACTGCTTCGAAATGACTGCCTGATAAGATTTATACATCAACATGTTAGCGTTATCAGAATAGAAAAACGTCAAAATTAACACATACCTACATACAAGAGCCACAAAACAACAGCAATAGTAGAACTACCCTCTCTGTCTTTTGTGAGAGTTACCGCAAGCGATATAGAAGTACAGAGCTACGCTACCATTTCCAAAGACGTCCTCTCTATTTCTGCGCACGGAAAACTTGCCATACGTGGGCGCCTCTGCGATACGACCTCGTTCAAGATATTTCTGCGTACGAATGGTCTTCTGTCTCTCTCTGTGTCTATCGTTTCTTCAAGGTCAAGGTCAAGGCCAAGGCCAAGTTCGGGTATTGTCTCGGTATCCCCTTCTTGCTCCTTGGCTTTGTCCCCTTCCTTCCCCTCTCCAGTCTCTCAATCTCTAGAAAGTGCTCTGAACCGAATTGCAATGAGATATGCATGTTGTGTCCACGGCTGTGCATCACTGCACACGATTCAGTTGCGAAGAGACTCTGGTTTCTGTTCCGTATGCCATTTCTGAATCACAGATGCATGGGGGACATCGGCGCACCAAGATACACACAGAGACAAGGAAGAGCAAACCAAAACAGAGCAAAAACTATTCAGAGATGAAGCTGTAGCAAACAAAAGATTAAATAAAAAAGGGGAATTCACCACAACATGAAAGACAACTATTCCTTCGCAGTGCAGAGAGCACCGAACAGCACAGTTAGGCGTATTACATACATACATACATACTAAAAGGTGGTTTCTCACTATACTTCGGTTTAGTTTTGACAGAGTACAGCGGAATTCGTTCTTCTCTTCAACTCAAATCAAACTCTGCTGCTACACACCAGAGCATATATTATAGTATTAGTTAGTACCTTGCGGCAGAAAGCTAATCAATCTTCTGTTGATTTGGGCTTTTGGATACCCATCCATGGCTTACATCTATACAAACTATACATATTAATATATATACATTTATATATATACTTTGTATATATATAAATATAGTTATTCAGTTATATAGTTATATCGATACCTTTCTCTCTTCCAAAACTTAATTTGATTTCGGTCTTTTCTCCCATTTCTTTTCTTTTCTTTTGTCTTTATCTTCTTCTGTGCGTTTCACCGTCTGTGTTATTTTAAAGTTTCTTAATTGCTGTTAATTACTGTTTGTTAATATATAAAAAGGGAGTGAGCTTAGACCCACTTTCAGATTCTCGGTCTCTCTATCTCTAAATATATACACTTGTTTGGATCGCAAAACAAACCCAAAATCACAAGATATTAAATATATATATATATATATATTATAGTATATCATTACTATACTATACTATACTATACTATACGATACGATACTGCAATATATATTATATCGAAATATTCAATACTACAAATCTGTCTTCTATCGTGAATTCTATACACTTGAGCCTGGTTATATACTTACTTAGTGTTACACTCATTCATCTTTAAGTGGTAAGGCCTGTCCTAGATACCTTTGTACTATTCTTTCTCATTTTCAGTATACTTTGATCTGTATTTACCGTTGCATTACATTACATTACATTTTATTTTTTTTATTTCTATTTTTATCAACAGTAAAGTACACATCCCTCATCATCTCCTTTTCACTATTCCTATCACTCAACTCAAAACTCAAATCTCAGAACTGACTGTTTTATCATCATCATTTATTCATTTATTTACTTATTTATTTACATCTTCATTACCACTCTAGGATTTACAAAACAGGAATTACCCGCACTTGAGTTTCTAGATTTTTTTCCAGGTTTTCGAATTTGTTTCATTTTATTTTTTTTGAATTTTTTTGAATTTTGAATTCTTCATTCGCCTTTAATTTGGATTTTTCGAATTTTTCAATTTTTCGAACTTTTTATCCTTTTTTATTTTTGTGGTTTTTCATTTTTGCAAAAGGCTCGGCGGTTACTTATCCATCTACACCGCTCTCCTTTAACTAAACTAATCTAAGCTAGATTAAACAAGAAATACAAGAACTAGAACTAGAACAACTACAATTACAACTACAACTACAACTACAACTACAATTACAATTACAATTACAACTGCAACAACACCATGACTGTACTTTCTTCAGAACCTTTTGATCCCTTACAGGAGTCCTATGAAGGTGGTGCTCCAATGCAACTAGACTCATCGGTATCCCACAACAATGTATCATGGTCAAACGTTATCCCTGATAAAGTAGGTTTATACGACCCAGATTATGAAAAAGATGCATGTGGTGTGGGTTTCGTATCAAATATCAAAGGCTTGCAATCCCATAAAATTGTAGCAGATGCAAGATTCTTATTATGCAACATGACACATAGAGGTGCTGTCTCTTCAGATGGCAACGGTGACGGTGCCGGTATTTTGGTGGGCATCCCTCACGAATTCATGAAAAGAGAATTCAAGTTGGATCTCGGTATAGACATTCCAGAAAGAGGTAGCTACGCAGTGGGGAATGTATTCTTTAAAAAAGATGCCCCAAACACTTACCTATGCGCAAGCAAAAAAATCTTCGAAGATATGGCTTCTCAATTGAACTTGAAAGTCTTGGGTTGGAGAAAAGTTCCTTGTGATTCAAGCATTTTGGGTCAAGTTGCATTATCTCGTGAACCTACCATACTACAACCTTTGGTGGTCACAAATGACATCGATTTTTCTTCTTCCTCTTTGGATTTTCAAACTTCCCTATATTTATTGAGAAAAAGAGCAACTTCATCCATAGGAATCTCAAATGGGTTTTACGTTTGTTCTTTGAGTAATACAACTATCGTATACAAGGGTCAATTGACCCCGGCACAAGTATACAATTATTACCCAGATTTGACTAACGCCTACTTCAAATCCCACATGGCTTTGGTACACTCAAGATTCTCCACAAATACTTTCCCATCTTGGGATAGAGCTCAACCTCTAAGATGGTTGGCTCACAATGGTGAAATTAACACTTTGAGAGGTAACAAAAATTGGATGAGAGCAAGAGAAGGTGTCATGTTCTCAGAAACATTTAAAGAAAAAATCGATCAACTATACCCAATTATTGAAGAAGGTGGCTCGGATTCCGCCGCTTTAGATAACGTATTGGAATTGTTAACCATTAACGGTGTACTTTCTTTACCAGAGGCTATCATGTTATTAGTACCAGAAGCTTACCATAAAGATATGGATTCAAACTTAAAAGCCTGGTTCGACTGGGCTGCTTGCTTAATGGAGCCTTGGGATGGTCCTGCATTGTTGACTTTCACAGACGGTCGTTACATTGGTGCTATGCTAGACAGAAATGGTTTGAGACCATGTCGTTACTATGTAACCAATGATGATCGTGTTATTTGTGCTTCTGAAGTTGGTGTCATTCCAATAGAAAACTCTCTAGTGGTCCAAAAAGGTAAATTGAAGCCAGGTGATCTATTCTTAGTCGATACCCAAGTTGGTGAGATTGTTGATACTAAAAAATTAAAATTACAATTTTCCAAAAAGAAGGACTTTAAATCTTGGTTATCTAAAGTTATCAAATTAGAGGATATATTAGAAAAACTAACCGATGTTATTCCTACACAATTTTTGAGCGACAATGAGCTAACCGATTCCTTGAAGGTCAATTCGGATCCACGTTTGTTAGCTAATGGTTACACTTTTGAACAAGTTTCAATGTTATTGACCCCGATGGCTCTGACCGGTAAAGAAGCCTTAGGTTCAATGGGTAATGACGCTCCATTGGCATGCTTAAATGAAGATCCTGTATTAGTTTATGATTATTTCAGGCAGTTATTTGCACAAGTCACTAATCCACCAATTGATCCTATTCGTGAAGCTAACGTTATGTCTTTAGAGTGTTATGTAGGTCCTCAAGGTAATTTACTAGAGATGAACTCCTCACAATGTAACAGATTGTTTTTAAAGTCTCCTATTTTACATTGGAATGAATTCAGTGCAATTAAAAATATTGAAAAAGTTCATCCATCTTGGCAAATTGGTAACATCGATATCACTTTTGACAAATCATTAGGTTTATTAGGTTACACTGACACAATCGAGCGTATTACCCAAGAGGCTACTGATTATTTGGATGAGGGTAAAAAAATCATTGTCATATCAGATAGAAGCTTGGGACCAAACCGTGTTGCTATTTCTTCTCTAATTGCAGTAGGTGCCATTCATCACCACTTAGTAAGAAATAAACAACGTTCTCATGTTGCATTAATTTTAGAAACTGCTGAAGCAAAGGAAATCCACCATTTCTGTGTTTTGTTAGGTTATGGTTGTGATGGTATCTTCCCGTACTTGGCAATGGAAACCTTGGTCAGAATGAATAACGAAGGTTTAGTTCGTAATGTAGAAAATGACAATAAGGACATTGATAACAGAACTTTATTAGAAAATTACAAACATGCTATCGATAGTGGTATTTTGAAAGTTATGTCAAAGATGGGTATATCCACCTTGGCTTCTTACAAAGGTGCCCAAATTTTTGAAGCCCTAGGTTTAGATAACTCAGTAGTTGATTTATGTTTTGCTGGTACTGCTTCAAGAATTAAGGGTGTTACTTTTGAATACATTGCTCAAGATGCCTTTTCTTTACATGAAAGAGGTTGGCCATCTAGAAGCATCATTTCTAAATCTATTAATTTACCTGAAAGTGGTGAATATCACTTCAGAGATGGTGGTTACAAACATATTAATGAACCAACCGCAATTGCATCACTACAAGACTCTGTAAGAAATAAAAATGAAGATGCTTGGGCTATGTACGTTAGAAAGGAAATGGAAGCAATCAGAGATTGTACTTTAAGAGGTCTATTAGAACTAGATTTTGAGAATTCTTCCCCAATTCCATTAGAACAAGTTGAGCCTTGGACTGAAATTGCAAGAAGATTTGCAACTGGTGCCATGTCTTATGGTTCTATTTCTATGGAAGCTCATTCTACTTTAGCAATTGCTATGAACCGTTTGGGTGCCAAATCAAATTGTGGTGAAGGTGGTGAAGATGCTGAGCGTTCTATCGTCAGTCCAAATGGTGACACAATGAGATCTGCAATTAAGCAAGTTGCCTCTGCAAGGTTTGGTGTCACATCCTTCTATTTATCAGACGCTGATGAAATCCAAATTAAGGTTGCTCAAGGTGCTAAGCCTGGTGAAGGTGGTGAATTACCTGCTCATAAGGTGTCTAAAGAAATTGCCAAGACAAGACATTCAACACCATATGTAGGTTTAATTTCGCCTCCACCACATCATGATATTTATTCTATTGAAGATTTGAAACAATTAATTTATGATTTGAAGTGTTCTAACCCAAGAGCCGGTATTTCTGTGAAATTAGTCTCAGAAGTTGGTGTTGGTATTGTTGCTTCTGGTGTCGCTAAAGCAAAAGCTGATCATATTTTAGTTTCTGGTCATGATGGTGGTACTGGTGCTGCTAGATGGACTAGTGTTAAATATGCTGGTTTGCCATGGGAATTAGGTCTTGCAGAAACTCATCAAACTTTGGTCTTAAATGATTTAAGACGTAATGTAATTGTTCAAACTGATGGTCAATTAAGAACTGGTTTTGATATTGCCGTTGCTGTTCTACTTGGTGCCGAATCATTTACCTTGGCAACTATTCCTTTAATCGCTATGGGTTGTGTTATGTTGAGAAGATGTCACTTAAACTCTTGTGCTGTTGGTATTGCTACTCAAGATCCGTACCTAAGATCTAAATTTAAGGGTCAACCAGAACATGTTATTAACTTTTTCTACTATTTAATTCAAGACTTAAGAAAGATAATGGCTAAACTAGGTTACCGTACTATTGATGAAATGGTTGGTCACTCTGAAAAGTTAAGAAAGAGAGAAGATGTAAGCACAAAAGCTATCAATATTGATTTATCTCCAATTCTTACCGCTGCTCATACCATTCGTCCGGGTGTTCCTACAAGATTTACAAAGAAACAAGATATGAAATTACATACTCGTTTAGATAACAAATTGATTGACGAATCCGAAGTCACCTTAGATCGTGGCCTACCTGTTAATATTGATGCGTCAATTATTAACACTGATCGTGCTTTAGGTGCTACGTTGTCTTATAGAGTTTCAAAGAAATTTGGTGAAAATGGTTTACCAAGAGATACTATTGTAGTTAACATTTCTGGATCTGCTGGTCAATCATTTGGTGCATTTTTAGCTTCTGGTGTAACCTTCATTTTGGATGGTGACGCGAACGATTATGTCGGTAAAGGTTTATCTGGTGGTATAATTGTTATTAGACCACCTGCCACTTCAAATTACAGAAGTGATGAAAACGTTATCGTTGGTAACACATGTTTCTATGGTGCTACATCTGGTAAGGCATTTATTTCTGGTAGTGCGGGTGAACGGTTTGCTGTTCGTAATTCAGGTGCTACTATTGTCATTGAAAGAATTAAAGGTAATAATGCCTTTGAATATATGACTGGTGGTAGAGCTGTTGTTCTATCTCAAATGGAATCGTTAAATGCATTCTCAGGTGCTACTGGTGGTATTGCTTACTGTTTGACTTCTGACTACGATGATTTTGAGGGTAAGATCAATAAAGAAACGGTATGCCTAGAAACTTTGAAGGACCCAGTCGAAATTGCATTTGTTAAGAATCTAATTCAAGAGCACTATAACTTTACTAAATCGAAATTGGCTTCTAAAATCTTGAATAACTTCAACCATTACTTAAAAGATTTTGTTAAGGTTATTCCAACCGATTACAAGAAGGTGTTAGAAAAAGAAGCAGAAGAAAAGGTTAAAGAAAAACAGTTGAAGACTGCTGAATTTTTGAAAAGATTCGAAAGATCTCCAAATGAAAATATCGTTGATGCCACTAATGGTGAAATTGACGAAATTCTATCTGCTAAACAAAAGAAGTATACCGTTTCTCACAAGTCAACCTTACATGAACCTAAACTATTAGATCTTGAAGATTCTGTCCCTGATGCTAAGCAACTAGAAAAGAATGTTGAAAAAGTCGAAAAGGTTCGTGGTTTCATGAAGTACAAGGTTCGTCATGAAGCTTACAGAAAACCTTCATCTAGAACCAAGGATTGGAAAGAAATATCCGATTCTATAACAAAGAAAGATGCCAAATATCAAACTGCAAGATGTATGGATTGTGGTACTCCATTCTGTTTATCTGATACAGGTTGTCCAATTTCCAATATTATTCCTAAGTTCAACGAACTGGTATTCAAAAACCAGTGGAAGTTGGCCTTAGATAAGTTATCTGAAACAAATAACTTCCCTGAATTTACAGGTAGAGTTTGTCCAGCTCCTTGTCAAGGTGCTTGTACTTTAGGTATTATTGAAGATCCTGTTGGGATTAAATCTGTCGAAAGGTTGATTATCGACAACGCATTTAAAGAAGGATGGATTAAGCCATGTCCACCTGAAGTTCGTACCAATCGCTCAATTGCTATCATTGGTTCTGGTCCTGCAGGTTTAGCTTGTGCTGACCAATTAAATAAGGCAGGTCATAATGTAACTGTATATGAGAGGGCTGATCGTTGTGGTGGTTTACTAATGTATGGTATTCCAAATATGAAATTAGATAAATCCATCGTTCAACGTCGTGTTGATTTATTGGCTGCTGAAGGTATTAATTTTGTTGTTAACACTGAAATTGGTAAAGATATAACCACGGATCAACTAAAGCAACAATATGATTCTGTAGTTTATGCAATTGGTTCTACAATTCCAAGGGATTTGAATATTAAAGGTCGTGAGTTGAAGAATATCGATTTTGCAATGACTTTATTGAAATCTAACACAGAAGCATTATTGAACCAAGACTTAGAAACTATTCGTAAGACTATCGAAGGTAAGAAGGTAGTTGTAATTGGTGGTGGTGATACCGGTAATGATTGTTTGGGTACTGCTGTTAGACATGGAGCTTCATCAGTATTGAACTTTGAATTATTACCTCAACCTCCAAAGGAACGTGCTAAGGATAATCCTTGGCCACAATGGCCTCGTGTTATGAGGGTTGACTATGGTCATGCTGAAGTCAAAGAACATTATGGTAGGGATCCACGTGAATATTGTATCTTATCTAAGGAATTTATTGGGAATGAAGAAGGTGAAGTAACTGCTATTAAGACTGTTCGTGTCGAATGGAAGAAATCTGAAAGTGGTGTTTGGCAAATGATTGAATTACCTGGATCTGAGGAAATTATCGAGGCTGACATTGTTTTATTATCTATGGGTTTCGTTGGACCGGAATTATTCGATGATCCAAATGTAGCAAAGACTAAGAGAGGTACTATTGCCACTATCAATGATTCATCGTATTTGATCGAGGATAATGTTTTTGCTACTGGTGATTGTAGAAGAGGTCAATCATTAATTGTTTGGGCTATCCAAGAAGGTAGAAAATGTGCTGCATCAATTGATCAACATTTGATGGGAAATACATACTTGCCAAGTAATGGTGGTATTGTTAAACGTGATTTCAATTTATTGGAAGAACTAGCATCAAAAATCAATTAGGAAAAAGAAATTATAATTATTTGTACAATATTATTGTAAATTATTTATTTATTATTTATTTATGTATGTATTCACTTATTTATTTATTAATGTTTAAACATGTAATTTTATTCGTTTAAATTAATGGAACAGAGTAATGAAATTTTAGAGTACAATATATATTAAATATTACTTATTAGAGGATGACTAAAATAAAATAAAATGCAAAAGACTTGTTGGATGGGCGTTTAATAATCATGAAATTTTAGTTAATAGTTTTTGAGTTGTCATTAAGAGAATACATTTAAGAAAGAATACCATTTCTTTTTCTTTTTCTTGTTTTTACTTTCATTAGCAGATTTTCTACTATTCGAAGGAGATAGAATATTACCAGCTCCACCTCTACCGATGACAATAGTAGGAGGTTGCCTATCAGTGTTGCTAGTTCTACTAGAAGATCTTGAAGTTACAGATTTTGACAATTTTGGCATTTGTGGATTACTCATACTTTTTGACCGTATATTCGAGATTGGAGCATTTAAACTATCATCATTATTAAGTTGTAAGGGCGTGATCCCATGTTCTTCCATCAAAGCACTATCTACTTCAATTTCATCTTCAAATTCCAAGATTTCATCAACATCTTGTGCACGTCTTGTTAATTTTGGATCAACATTTTTCCTCATGTTACCTGCACCACCTCTACCAGTACTGTAGACCGGTTGGATAATACTTGGGGTTTGAGAACCTTGAGGAATAATTTTGGAGATGCTTTAGAATCCGATTTGTGAATGTTTCCAACACCACCTCTCCCTGTCGAGATAGAATACTGTCCAGTCATAATTTAATTATGTTATTAAGAATAATGTTTTGTGTATATTTCTAGCAAAGTGTTTTGCAGGATATCCCACGAATGTAATTTCTTATCAATTTTTAAGTTGGTGGGTGTCTCAAACTCAACCTGCTTTTAATAGCCCTATAGTATATCTATCTATTCCTTCTATTTGCCTTTCAGTTAACACTGATTGCTTCCTTTCCACTAGCTTAAGCTGAAAAATAATTTTATCTGAAAAGGACTACTACCACTGACCAGTATACTGGGGATCACAGAACCAACAAAGGTATAGAATTCTTTAATCCTGATGCAATGATATCTACTAAATCCAACCATAACTATATCCATGAGTTCATATTTTCAATTTATATATACATATATATATATATGAATTATAAATCGAAGATGTTAATTACTATGCATCATAATCAAGAAGCGGTATCCTGGAGTGGCAGTTATAAGAAAACTCAGCTGGACCTGCAGTCTGAGTAATAAGGTTAAAGAAAAATTCAAAATTTCAAGTCAAAAGCAGTACAGTGGTAATATCCACACACTTTGACATAAAATAATACCAAAAACGCTGTTAGTCTCCTAAACTAAAGAAACTGAATACGAACAAAGAAGTGAAGCTGAAGTCTCTTCCAATAAATTATGACGACTACTACCACCACCACCAAAGCTTTTTTTGCAAATTGCATGACCTCTCGATCATTCATTTAACAGCTTTGCAATAATACAATGACCCAGGTTCTTGGAAAGCCTTGCGCATAGAATAGCAACTATCGCATAGCAGACATATGGTATTAGTACCATTAGTATTTAGTTACAATGACCGTTGGTTGTCCATTGCGTTGTATAATGGTTAAGATGTATTTGGTGGTTGCTTAAAAGTTTGCTTGCTGTAGAGGGAAAGAGGAGGGGGGGGGGGACAATTGGGCAGCGAACTGGATGGGTCGACGGTAGTGGGGGGAGGAAGAGAGAGGGAGAGGAAAAAGAAACGGCAGCAGTTGATATTTTGTTCTTTTGGTGTTATTTTCGGCAGTTTGCATATTTCCCGTATTAGGAAACTGAGACAGTTGGGCAGCAACTGTGAACATACTGCAGTACAGATCTGGTCGACCTACATTCTCAGCAAAAAAAAAAATAAAAAACACAAAAAGAAAAATTTACACAACAAAAGAACACGTGAATATGTTGCACGTGCATACGTCAAAGGTGATAGTATTCTAAGTAATTTCAGTTAAAGGTTCTTCTCTAGGTATTTTTTCTTTGATTTGGAGAAAGATGAAGAATAACCACACAGAGAACAAGGGAAGGGAAAGGAAGACACAGCATATTCAAGTGTGTACTCGGTTTCTTTCCCTTCCGTTTTATCTCTGGTACATCCGCGGCTAAGAGAAAATGAATGTATTTATGTAACATACCTGAAAAGCAAAGTTGGACGATTTACATCTTGTTTCAAAAAATTGGATGATTTTATTATTTGGTGTAAAAAGGAGGATACACTAGGAGAGATGATTACAGTTTCCTACATTCTTGAATAAAAGTAAAGTTGGGAATGTTTCACCGTTTCTTTTGTTTCTGTTTTTGTGTCAGATAATAAACTAATTTAAGTTAAACTTGAAATTTTTTTATTTTTATTTTTGTGTCTCTTACATGATAAGAACAAACGTCAGAAAAGAAAAGAAAAGAAAAATTACAGTACAGAAGAATGCATTAAGAATTTTTAATACTTTTAATAAATACAATTGTGTCCGATGCATCCCCTTATGTATCACCTCAGATGACTTATGAAGCAGCTGTTAATGTCATTAGCCTATTTCTCATGAAACTACGGATTCATTTAAGACTCTCTCTCTCTCTCTATATATATATGCTGATACAAACGCCTTTTTGTTACTATAGTTATTCCGAATTCGGATCGTTTTCTATATTATTAGTCCAATCACGTCATTATAATCCTCTTCCCTCTTCCCTCTCTCTGTATCTCCAGGAATCATATTATATAAATTATATTTATCAACATTTGGAACTTTTTCCGTGCTCTTTTACAATGAGTGATTTATTATTCGATTTTTTGAAAATTACTTGACTCTTAAACCTTAGATTTTAACTGGTCAAGACGCAAGCGTGGATCCCTCCTTTCCCTACCGTAAACTAGATTCGCATACCAATCTTCCGAACAAGACAAAACAAGACAATACATTACAAAGAGAAAACGACTAACAAGCATTCCAAGAAACTTTGATGTGGAGATACAGAAATCATAATACATTCAATTACACAGAACAAATTACATCATTGTTCCATTAACTAATTTTACATATATATCGGGGCAACAATTGTCACTTAAAGCTTTCCTTGAATCATTGTCAATCTTCAATTTTTGCTTTATTTAAATGTGGGAATATCCATTGTGCCTTATTTTTTCTTTATCATTTGAATCTTACTCATATCAACTGATAAAGTCTGTATCGATATGTTCAAATTGAACAGAAATTCTATTTATAGAGGTAGTTTGCTATTGAAGCATTTGAAAAATCAACCAAAGAACAAATTATGTCCGCCCAGGTTTTACGCAACGAGCAATCAACCATTGAAAGCCAATAAACCGAATTCTAAATACTGGGAATTAATCAACTACACTATTATAGCCTTTGTTGGTATTGCTGCGGTGAAATTAATCATTAGCAAAGAACCAAAAATTGAAAAAACAGTTACTGTATATAACAGTTTTAATAACGATGGTTCAACATTGTCCTTATCAGATTTGAAGTCACCCGAATACTGTACTGATCCAAAAAAATTAAAAGAGGTTGTTAGTCAATTAAAACAAATTTTAGATAACGATGCAAACCATTATTCTCAAACAAAATCCGAATTAGATGATCATTCTGATACTTATTTCAATACCCACCATCCTGACAAAAACCAAAGACCATTTATTATATTATATCCAAGAACCACTGAAGATGTTTCAAAAATAATGAAATTGTGCCATGATAATGAAGTACCAGTTATCCCTTATTCTGGTGGTACTTCATTAGAAGGTCATTACTTACCAACAAGACCCAATTGCTGTGTTGTCATTGATGTATCAAAATATATGAGCAGAATTGTAACTTTACATAAGGATGATCTAGATGTTGTTGTACAAGCTGGTTTACCTTGGGAAGATTTAAATGCTTATCTGAATGAAAATGGTTTATTATTAGGTATCGATCCAGGTCCAGGTGCTCAAATTGGTGGTTGTATCGCTGATTCTTGTTCCGGTACAAATGCTTACAAGTATGGTACTATGAAGGAAAATATTGTTAATGTAACTATGGTCTTACCAGATGGCACTGTCGTCAAAACTAAGCGTAGACCAAGAAAGTCCAGCGCTGGTTACAACTTAAATGGTTTAATTGTCGGTTCTGAAGGTACTTTAGGTATTGTTACTGAAGCCACTTTAAAATGTCATGTCAAACCAGCAATCGAAACTGTTGCCGTTGTCTCATTCCCAAGCGTTGGTCATGCAGCTGCATGTGCATCCAATATTACACAATCTGGTATTCAATTAAATGCAATGGAACTGTTAGATAATGATATGATGAAGTTGATTAATGTAAGTGGCAGTACGTTCAGATCTGATTGGCCTGAATTCCCAACTATGTTCTTTAAAATTGGTGGCAGAAATCAGGTTATTGTAGATGAATTGATTTCAGAAGTGCAAACAATTGCTCAGAAACATCAATGTAAAAAATTCGAGTTTGCCAACGATGATGATGAAAAGGTTGAATTATGGCAAGCGAGAAAGGTAGCGTTGTGGACAGTCATAGACTCAGGTAAGGCAATCAATAAAAATGCAAACGTTTGGACTACAGACGTTGCCGTCCCATTATCTAAATTCGCTGATGTTATCGAAGCCACCAAACTAGACTTGAAAGAAACCAATTTGTTGAACGCTATTGTAGGCCATGCTGGTGATGGTAATTTCCATTCATTAATTGTCTACAATGGTGAGGAAGAAAGAGCAAAATGTGAAGATGTTGTTGCCAAAATGGTAAGACGTGCCTTGGAAAACGATGGTACATGTACAGGTGAACATGGTGTTGGTGTAGGAAAAAGAGACTATTTAACTGAAGAATTAGATGAAAACACTATTGATTTAATGAGAAATATCAAGCTTGCCATTGACCCTAAAAGAATCATGAATCCAGATAAAATATTCAAGATAGACCCTAACGAACCTCATTTGTATAAATAATTTGATTGAAAGAATGTGCCATATTATGTACATTTGAATATATTTTTTTGACATAAGTCAACACATATTAAAAATTTAAATAAGATGATAAATATTCATATAAACAGGAGGGCGATAGATGCATTATGCTTTTATATAGTTGTAAATTTCTTGCTGAGTTTCCTGACGACAACAGAATTATGCTTTATATTTCATATGAGAATAATAGAATGTTAGTACAAGATCATGGATACATTATTACAGATTCATTGAAAAGAGAAAAAATGTAAGATATAATTATTCTTGAATGTTTTCAATCTTATTTTTTCTCTCAATGATTTCCAAATAATTACCTGGAACATATCCAATCTGTCCACTTTTAGTTCTAACTTTCCACCATTCAGAATCATTACCAGAAGGATCCTTTTTACTAATAATGGCCATTAATTCCCCTTTTTTTAACATTACTTCAACATTTGGATTTTCTGGAGTAAAATCAAACATTGCTCTTGCAAAGATTAGCTTAGAGAAATCAATAGAATCTGTCAAATTCTTCTTTTGGTTTATTTCAATTTTGGCAATTAATTTATTCAAAACAAATGGAAAACCAACTGCAGAGATAATGAAGAATAAAAATGGTTTCCAAGCAATCCTTGGTCTTTTACCCTGTTGATTATTCCCAGACTGAAATTTTTCAAATTCATCTACCATTAATCTTGATTTACTATTTAGTAATCTTTTAGATGTTGGAGGTAGACCCAATTTTCCTTTTGTAATTACGTATAATATTTTCTTGAGAAATTTCATTACAGTAAAGATGCCAAGTGCTGATCCTAAAACATCTTTTAAGTACCTAAATTGTTCAGCTATCGAAATCAATGTAAAGAATGAATTGTGAGTAGCCATATAAGTAGATTCTAACATTTGAGCAAAACCAGCTACGGCTCCTATTAAACTTTCAATAAGTTGGAAAGTAGCCTGTGTAGAGCTCCCTACATTGTTATTACCCATATTATTTGGATACATCCCACCATAACCTCCACCATACATGGATCCAAATCCTGACCCATACATGGATCCAAATCCGTTTCCAGCACCCATACTATAAGGGAACCCATAACTATTCCCAGCATATGATCTATTCATACCATCCATTGAAGAATAACTCTGATTATTATCAAACACAGAGTTTATTCCACTATTACCAGATAATGGTTTTGGTATTTCAGGAGGTGATTCATTATTATAACCATTAGCATTATCCACTAAATCTGCGCCAAATATCACTGTTGGATCTCCAGAAGTAGAACTAGCACTGCCTGTAGGTAAAAGAATATCTGCAAAATCATTTGAACCAGAATTTTGACCTCCCCATGATGCTGGCTGATAATTTGAAGCGCTAATTGAAGACATTTAAATAAAATATGCTTTTTCCTTCCACCCTTTGGACTCAAAGAGATGTATAAATTTCCCTCAGAATAACAATAAACAATCACTGAATACTTCTAAAACTACTTCAATCAATAATCTTTGGGACCTAGCCATAAAAGAACTTCTTAAACCCATCATTGTTTCAACTTGTTCCTTTAAATAATCATCTTTCCAATTTTTATTTCAGCTTTTTTTACATGTTTGATCTCTTCTTAGCTATGGCGAATACGAACGTCATAATTAAGGATGATTAAAATCGATGAGGTTGAAGTCAATACAAGGTGACTTAACTCTGATTGACACGATAATTAAGTCTATTAGGAGCTATATATATGCATATATATATATGTAATTGTATATCGAATGGTATTTATATGATGGCATTAATTATTTTGAATGTTTTTGGTTTTGATTGTTTCCTTTCTAAACTGGTTAGGAACGGTAGAAAGGATAATTGTTCATAGAATATGTTTACAACGTTAAAGTTTATTATTATTATTATTATTATTATTATTATTGTTATTGTTATTATTATTACAGTAGTTTATTTTTCAAATTGTAGATTTAGATGAAATCCTACTTTCTTTTTTGATCCGATCGTTGATTCTCTTTTAAGTGATTTATGACGTTCTAATGTATTTTCACTATCTTTGGTGATGAATGTTATATTTGACATGTCGTTTAAGTCATTTATTCTGCTTAAATTCTCTAATAACTCTTCTTCATCTTCTAATTCTTCGTCTTCATCATTCTCATCATCCTCATCTAGTTCGGATGATGATGATCCTGAAGATGCAGAGTCTTGGATTCTTTGTAAGTCAGCGTCAGAAATACGTGATATTCTAGTTCTTACAGAGCTTGTTTCGTCAATATTACCGTATTGATTGTTATTATTGCTGCTGTTATGATGTACACTTATCGAAGAGTGCATATCTACTAGTTTGTTCATCATTGATCTATAACGGTCAATTTTTTTCTCTAATCTATCAACTTTATTTTGCATATTTTTCTTCTTATGATGTCTTACATGGTATCCATCTGAATTTGGAGACATAGCCTTTTCTGTCTTTTCTGTTACCAATAGTGAATGAATTAGTTTTTCATTTTGTAATTTCAATTCTCCTATCTCTAATTCTAGTCTTTTGATTCTCAATTCATTTTTAATTGATTCATCACTTTCTGATTTAGATGGTGCAGGAAATCTTGGTGATTGTTGATGTAATTGAACTGTTTGCTGCTGTTGAAGTTGATTGTACCAGTCAATTTCGAAGTCAGTAGATGCGGATGAAATAAAACTATATCTATTACCTTTGTTATTTAATTGAACAAACCCATTTCTATCAGTTGGCAAACAGTCGACATTAATCTCTTGTGGGATGTCATCGAATTCCATTTGATTAATGTTTCCAGCTGAGCCATGTGAGACAATTCTGTTGTTTTGTTTAGATGCTTGGGTAACTGGTATTTCTTGCTGTATTTTTTGTTCCAGCTTTAAAGGTTCTGGTTCAATGTTATTACTGATATTATCATTTAAAGTAGATCCACTTAATGTACTATCAGTGTTTGATACGTTACGAAACTTTTCTGTCCTTTCATCTTGAAATTTCCTGCTTGACATTTCTGGAATTTCTTTGGTTTGATACCTTTGTTTTTGAACATTTATCTGCTCTAAGGTTTCCTTTATAGTCATTCTCGATTGGAATGGATTTGCCTCGCTATTGCTGGGTGGGGGAATGCTGTTATTATTTTGGTTACTGGATGTCTTCTGTTGATTATTTGATTGTGACATATTTTTTGTATTTTTAGATGAATGCTTCATTAAGGTTGATAGCAATGGTAATGCTGATGCTTGTGGTGCTGCAATATATTCTGGTTTTAACATTTTTGGAGCAATATTGTTCATTAACGGAAATCTGATTGGAGAAGTTGATCTGAAAGTGTCTGAATTTCTCCTCTGACTTGAACGCCCAGTTCTTGTCATTTCGTTCAATTTCGATAATGATGTTCTGTAAACTGATGAATTTCCAACAGGGTCCAATTTCAATTTTGTGGGTGACAATAGTAATTGTTGAATATTGTTTTTACTATCATCCAAATAGAATGACATTGGGGACATCATTGGAGATTGAGGATCTGGTTTAAACGTTGGTGAATACATTTTTGATTAAGCCCCCAAAAGAGAAAATAAAGTACAATTAATAACAGTTGACTCTAAGCTTAGAATAAATTGAGTAGAATTAGCAAATGAAATAAAGCAAAGTGAATGAATAGTAGTTGGTTATCAGCTTGAATGATCAATAAAACAATTGAAAAGAGAATATATTATGTCTTGCCTATCCCTACTAGTATGATATTACCAGCACTTGTCAGTTTTGATCACCTATCAGTATTAATATATAAATCCAATTGGAATGGTTCCAATATATGTGATTTTGGTATTCTTAGGAAAAGAGCTTAAAACTAAACTTTCTAAAATTCCAAGAGTTGAAACTGTTAACTAAATTTTTGCTCAATGAATTTTTAGCAAACAAAGCAAACCAAAGCTAAAAATAAAATGTTAAAAAGCTTTAGAAGTAGTATCAGCTAAAATTCATCCAATGAAGTGCAAAGTGAAAGTTTTGCAAAATCTGAGGAACGATACAACTACTGTTCCAACACCTTTCGAAATATCGAATTAGAGTTCACTAACTCATCTTTGATTTGGATCAATATTTACCAATGTTGTTGACATTTGCTCGAATCGGTATAATACCTCATTGGGCATTCTTACTGATTTATTTACGAATTACTGTATTCGGAACAGTCATGTCCCAAAACGGAAACAACCATATTGGTCTCACTGTGCCATAGTAACAAATCAATAAACCTTGAATAAGAGATATAATGAGATCTTTGGTAATACCACTAATGATGGATACGACAACTTTGGATGATATGTGATTTAAATGCCACCTTTAGTTTCTCCTTTTGCTAATCAACTTCCAAGTTTTTTGTTTCATTCTCCACAATGTTTAGTATACCAACCGAAAGTATATGTATTTAACTCAAACAAAATGAGAGAATTGATCGACGGCACCTTAGAATGGGGATCTCTTCATATTATTTCTTGTAAATATTACCGTTAAACATAGTTTCAAACCTCGTTCTGACCTTTGTTTAATATTATTTAATTCTGCATTCCATAAAATAAACCTATGGCTATATTAACCTTTAGCTGATTAAGCCATTTCTCCACCTCTATCATTTACATCAAGTCAGCAACTAGTTTAACTACAGCTTCACATCAATAATAACAGTATTTAGACGTTACTTACTCTATCACGGTCTCTTGTTAATTTATACTATCCCAAAGAATCGTAAATCATTCTTGTTAAATGACTCCTAATAATAATTCGTTGAGAAAGAACAAGAATAATAACAACAAGGATACTTTGTAAACCATGGAAATGATTGATGTTATATAGCAAGTGTGATTTAGATATTTACAAGGACAGTAATGATTACTAGTTGTTTGTTGTTGCTGCCCTTAAGGGCTTTGTTCATTTTATGGCACTTTCTTTACGTTAACTGACATCGTTAATTAGTTATTGGGAGGCTATAGACAGTTTCATGAAAGATTTGGGTCCAAAACTGTGATTATAGACTAGATTACAAGAGTTGATAAACTGTCAATTAATTGATGGATAACTAGCTCCATGATCAGTGATGTTTTCTGGTTTAGAAAGTTTTTGGTATATTATCACTAATCTCCTACTATGTTGTACGGATTTTTCTGAGACCAGCAGGGTAATGATTCAATCAATTACGGTGAAAATTTAGACAATAATCGACTCAACAACGACGCTTTAACCTCGAACGTTTGCAAATGAACAAACCACTTTCGATTACGGTTCAAGTTTTACTCATTTAACTTACAATTCTATGACGAATTAAGCTCTTTTGAGATGAGTTTAGTACAATTTAAGTTTATCTGGAACTTATTGAAACGGATTATTAAGAGAATTTTACTATTGAAGCTTAAAAGTTTTCAATAAGTGGATTCTTTTGGTATACATTATTTTAAGTGAAACACTACAGATAGTTGTTACGAGGTTATTTCTTATTGAAGTTCTGGTCTCTGTATCTTTACATCTAGAAGGTGCAAAACTTTAATCTTCATATAATAGAAGCTAGTTATATAGGAGGTAAGCTTTTATAAAGTTTTGAATTATATTGCTGCTTTTTTTTCAATTGAAATTTAGATAGACTCATCACAGAAATAACTAATATATCGATATTACCATGATGAACAGCATCTTATTGACAAGTAGGTCTTGTCAACCTGCTTTGAAATTGCAATTAAGTACTTTTAAGCATTCAAAGGTATTGTCATCAACTTTAAGTAGACTACATTCTCAATTAAAATTGGATGAATTACAAACTGATAATACTCCAGATTATGTTAGATTGATATTACGATCATCTGTTTATGATGTTATGGATGAGTCACCAATAAGCTATGGTGTTGGTTTATCTTCAAAATTAAATACCAACGTTCAATTAAAAAGAGAAGATTTGTTGCCTGTTTTCTCTTTCAAGTTGCGTGGTGCTTACAATATGATGGCAAAACTTGACGATTCTCAAAAGAACCAAGGTGTCATTGCCTGTTCTGCTGGTAATCATGCTCAAGGTATTGCTTATGCTGCCAAACATTTAAATATCCCTGCTACTATCGTCATGCCGGTCTCTACACCTTCAATCAAGTATCAAAATGTTTCCAGATTAGGTTCTCAAGTAGTATTATATGGTAATGATTTCGATGAAGCCAAAGCTGAATGTGCTAGGTTAGCTGAAGAACGTGGCTTAACCAATATCCCTCCTTTTGATCATCCCTATGTTATTGCTGGCCAAGGTACCGTCGCAATGGAAATTTTAAGACAGGTTCACAAAGCCAACAAGATTGGTGCTGTTTTCGTTCCAGTTGGCGGTGGTGGTTTAATTGCCGGTGTTGGTGCTTATTTGAAGAGAATTGCTCCACATATCAAAATTATTGGTGTTGAAACTTTTGATGCAAATTGTTTGTACACTTCATTACAAAGCGGTAAAAGAGTACCATTATCATCTGTAGGCACTTTTGCTGATGGTACTGCAGTTCGTTTAATTGGTGAAGAAACCTTCAGAGTTTGCCAAGAAGTCGTCGATGAAGTCGTTTTAGTTAATACCGATGAAATTTGTGCTGCTGTTAAAGATGTATTTGAAGACACCAGAAGTATTGTTGAACCATCTGGTGCTTTGTCCGTAGCAGGTATGAAGAAATATGTATCTACATTACATCCTGAAATTGATCACTCCAAACACACCTATGTTCCAATTTTGTCAGGTGCCAACATGAATTTTGATAGATTAAGATTTGTATCTGAACGTGCTGTTTTAGGTGAAGGTAAGGAAGTCTTTATGTTAGTTACAATCCCAGATGTCCCAGGTTCATTCAAGAAATTACAGAATGTTATCCATCCTAGATCAGTCACTGAATTTTCCTATCGTTACAATGAACATCGTCACGAGTCAACTAGTGAAGTACCAAAGGCATATATTTATACTTCATTTAGTGTAGTTGACCGTGAAAAGGAAATTAAACAAGTTATGCAACAAATCCATGCATTAGGTTTTGAAGCTGTAGATATTTCTGAAAATGAAATGGCTAAATCTCATGGTAGATACTTAGTAGGTGGTGCATCTAAAGTTCCAAACGAAAGAATCATAGCCTTTGAATTCCCAGAGAGACCAGGTGCACTAACTAAGTTTTTAAGTGGTTTAAGTGAATCATGGAATTTAACATTATTCCATTACAGAAACCATGGTGCTGATATTGGTAAGATCTTAGCCGGTATTTCAGTGCCACCAAGAGAAAACTTGACTTTCCAAAAATTTTTGGAAGATCTAGGATACAAATACCATGATGAAACAGATAACATGGTTTACCAAAAATTCTTAAAATTCTAAAAGGGATTCGACTATTAATTTATGATCCGATTCCAAAATTAATATCGTCATTACAACATATATTCTATTTTCGAGTAAAGTTTGATATCGATGATATAAACGTTATTTCTATTTAACCTCTGAGAGGCTGATCTTTGACCATTATGTATATAAGAAACCTGCTGGTAAGCGATATGGATACATAAAGAGAAATATGTACAGTAATATGAAAATTTGTGAATCATGGTGTAATTTTAACATTCAATATTGGCTTTTAAAAAAAAAAAGATAACCGAAATGTCTGTAGTTTAATTTTTCTTTTTTTTCGAATTCACCAGATCTTAGGATCAAATTTACATACTTCTTCCAGCATTGATTAATTTAATATAATCCTAAATTTATAAATACAAAGGTTTTTCGATGGAAGACAATATATTAATGAAATTAATCAATTCTTTTATTTAAAACCTAGAAACTTTTAAAAAATACTTCTTTTTTTACTTCTATTAAAAATATGTGGATTAAATCTACTTGAAATATGTACGATTATATATAGATAAAAGCAGAAAGCAAAAAATTGAGAGGTAGAGAGAAAAGAAAGGATTTTGTATTGACTAAACCAATGATGGCCAGCAATCATTGACCTGTAAATCTATATCAGACCAAGATTATGCAATTACTTCAAAAAAAAAATCTAAAAATCATATTTTAGAATAACATCACAGTGCAATTGCATTCTTGTTAAAACCACACCACCATACTAAAGTTTCTCAATAACTCACAATTTAAGCTTTCGAATAATTAATCAATTGATGTTTCTTGTATTTAAAAAGCTTTGCTGGTAACTTTAGCAATTACGTGTAAAGCAACTACAGAAAAGATGAAACCAACAGCTAAAAATAAAACAACCAAAGGATCAACTCTCAAACCATTGGCTTCTTCAGAATAGATTTTAAAGATGGAACTACCTTCGTTACTTGGAGTAGCCTTAGATTGTTTATCCTTAGCTGATTGAGCTTGTCTTCTTTTCTGTAAAGTACGTTGACCACCTGGAGGAGTTGACATTATAGCAATTGTTGAGATACACACTGTATTTAAACTGATTCAAAAGAAATAGGATCAAAAACAAATACACAATTAGAAAACATATTTTTTAGATACCAATTACAATTAAACAATTAACTTATCTTTTAAACGTTATTATTAAACTGCCACATCAATCAAAATCGTTTCGAATTTTTCACTTTTCTTACGCTGGATCAAAATTTGTCCATATTGTGACTTTTATTATATATGGTGATTTAAGTGATAGATAGATAAATCTAGGTGCTCTAGAGTTAACATTTGAACTTAGTTCATAATTCTGCATGTTGAAAGCGTTATAGTGATTATGTTGATAGAATATATAGCAAATGTTATTCTTTGATGGTAATAAACGGTTCAAAATTGATTAATTTTGCTTATTTGGTTAATATAAAAAGTAGTATTACCCGGATATCCGAAATCTATATTCAAATTTAAGGGAAGCATCTCCCTCAATGAATAAACTTACTTATTAGGCACTATAAAAGTATACAATCATAGATTTAGTTTCAATTAGAGGTTACTATTAGATTAATAAAAGATTTTTTGATCGGTTATTGACGATAAACATTAGAGGTTACGTTTCTGTGTTCCCCGAACTCGATAATTATGATTTTAAGAGATTTTGCACAATTTTTGCTTGCCTTCCCTAATTTAAATGTCAATCAAGATTCTTTTGGACTAGAACCTTATTCGAATGATAAATGTCCAATTGATATCCCATTGACGTGTCGAAATCAGACCACTATTGGCGATACATGTTGCTTTGAATACCCTGGAGGAGTTTTTCTGCAAACTCAATTTTGGAATTATAGACCATCTAAAAAAGATTTAGATAGAGATGGTATTGAAAATGAATTAGGTCCTTTGGAATCATTCACTATCCATGGATTATGGCCTGATAACTGCGATGGTGGATTTGAACAATTCTGTAGATCAGATTTAGCCATTGATGATGTAGATTATTTATTGCGTTCAGATCAATTTAACAACAAAACCAATTTGGATATTTCAGGAGAGGAATTACTATTTGAATTGAATAAGTTGTGGAAGAGTAATAATGGGAATCACGAGTCCCTTTGGATTCATGAGTTTAACAAACACGGTACTTGTATCAAAACTATTAGACCTGACTGTTATTCTCGTTGGGGTCAATTAGATTCAAGTAATGATGAGGACAAGAAACAGGCAGTCTATGATTATTTTAGAATTGCTTACAAGTTATTCAAGAAACTGGACACTTTTGAATTCTTAAAAGAAAGCGGAATTGTTCCAAGTGTTAATAAAACATATACGAGAGAAGAAATACAAAAGGCTTTGCAGAAGAAATTTAATGGGAACAATGTTTACATTGGCTGTGACAATAGAAATGCCTTGAATGAGATTTGGTATTTCAACTTATTAAAGGGATCATTATTATCGGAAGAATTCATTCCTATACCATCATTCAAAAGTTTCGGTAGATGCAAAGCGGATGGAATTAAATTTTATCCCAAGGGTCATATTCCAACGACAGGTGGGGGAGGAGGAGGTGGAAATAATGATGGTCCCTCTATGAGAGGTATTATAAGATTAAGTGGTTATGAGGGTCATTTGATAAGGAATGGACATTGGACAATCAAAGGTACAGAGGCTAATTTTCAATTGATGAAAGCACCTTTTGGTAGTTATTATTTAAAATCTCGTAATGGTTACTGCACTGTCGCCGATTCTAATTTATTAGTTTGCAATAAAAACAGAAATACTGCTGGTCAGTTTGAATATGATGATAAAACTGGTTACTTGAGTTACTCAGAAAATTTGAATTGGTCCTCAAATGAATATCCTCGTGGTAACAAACAAAGTTTAGTTTATCATGGTGCAAGTGACAACAAATACCAATTTAAATTGAAATTTATTAAAATTTAGGTAATTTTACATTTTTTCTTTAGGTAATCTATATTTTATTAATTGCGAATTTTTTATGTACTATTTAGGGTTTGATAACTGTATTAGTCTAGTGGTGCTATCTTCCATTGTGGAATAACTCTGGTATGAATATGAATTATTGATATTATTCATATTTGAACTATTAGAATACGAACTATGGCTTGAACTAGATGGTGCAGTTAAGGAATGTGTTCGCCAGGCCGATCTTTTTGGGATATTTTCAATTTCTGTCGTCGAATAATTTGAACGATTAGTATCAAATATATCATTACCAGGATATTCACCATATGGTTGTTTACTTCCTCTCATATTTAACTCTACTTGTCTAATATGTGCCTCCAATCTGTGAATTTTGGATTGTAATTCATAGCTCATAGATCGTTGAACCTGAAGATCTTGGCTGAGATCCCTGATCATTGCACGCTGTTCTTGTATAATGTTCTTCATTGACCTTACTTCATTTACCAAAATCAAGGTATCTGTTATGGTTTCTTTCCCCAAAGGAGCTGGAGTATTTTCAACAGTATTTGTTGTAACTCTACTACTTCTCAACTCTCTTCGTAGCTTCTCGTCAATATCTGATGGTCTAGTAGGTTTGGGCGGTTTTTGTTTTGGAATAGAGGGAACTTTAAATTCTTCTGTATTTGCAGGCGATTGTTTCATCATAACTAACTTCTGTAGATTTTTCTTAGATTCTAAATATTGCTTTCTAATATTTTGTAGAGTATCATCCACTTCTTGTCTATCAAAAAACTCTTTTGTTAAAGATATTTCATCCATTTTGATCAACTTTCAAATTTTAAATAATGTCCTATGATCTTATATACAAATAAACAAAATAATCAATTGCGTCTATACCAAATGACAATACATGAAATATAGATGTTAACACTCTTCAATCAATAGCTATCCCAATGATGAATGTTATTGATATAATAGTTACTTGTAGTTATAAATATCTATATGTGTACAAAAGTCGCGTTAACATTCAAATCTTTAAAATTTCGCGTATCAAACTTAAGGATGATGATGATAGTAATAATGATAAATATGAATTAGATTACTATCAAGATTATTAATATATAAGTATCTATTAGTTTATTTATGAGTATGCTTTGTGGAATTGGTTTGTTTAAGATGATGGTGTAGGTGTGATAGATAAGAAAATTTGTAGACTTTCCATTAATTTTCTGTCAATAGTATTCAAAAATTCTTGATAACGTGTAGTGCCTAGATGAGATTCTAAAAATTGTAAAGTTTGCGAAATGAATTCTTTTAAACTAATACCATGGACAGCGTCGTTATTTTTTTGTAATTCGTGTTGTCTAAACTGTTCTGGAGTCAATTGATAAAATTCTAAAGATTGATCAGTAATAATATCATTTAAATGATACTTTTCACAGTCACCACCATTAGTTTCATTAATTTCTTCCAACATGTCAACCCACAAGGCCACGATTGTTGAGAATTCTTTTAGGATTGAGACTGAACCTGTGCGGAGAAGACTGGATAAACCGAGAATATGGACTTTTTTAATCTTTGGATCAAACAAATCTCTAAAACAGAGAACCCAACTATTAATTAACTTGGTTAGCATTTGATCAAATGGTAGGTCGCTAGAGATAAGTTTGCGTTCCTCCATTGGTAACATCATATTTTGCTGCATTGGTGGTAACTGGGAATGATATAACGTCATAAATTCCATTAAACCATTTGGATTGATATATGCAATTCTAGCAATAATTTGTAATAATTGACCACATTGATAGTTGGATAATGATTCTTCTAAAAAGATAGAATTGAAAATTGTACTTAAGATTGATGTATCATAGAATTTTTGAAGCAATATAGTTTCATAGCTAGATTCACTGTTCAGAATCAAAATTTCCCAGATTTCAAGCATCAAATAAAATGAATCATCTCTTAATTTCAACAATATCTTAGTAAGATGAGAAAAAATTTCCATAAGAGGTTCTGAATTAAAAAAATCCTGTGCATTTATTATTAAAGCATAACTCTTAACAATTTCTAATAATGTAGGTAGAATTTCAGTGTGAGTATCTACACCATATGCTAAAAGTGGTAATGCTTCAATAAATCTTGGGTCTAGCTTTTGGTCCTTTTCAGAATAATTTTGTAATAAATAACTCCAAAGCTCGAAACCATCTTCATTTAATAATTGGTAATTGGCTGATGATGGATCGCAAGATGTTCCAAAAATTGGAATAGTGATATCCCAAGTCAAATACGATTGTGCACCCAATGATGAGACCAAATGTTTTAATAATCTTAATAACCCATTAGACAAGATACCTTCGGATAAATTGTTTGTTGAAACTTCCCATAATTCTGGAACAACATGTAATATCTCAATTAATAATTCTCTACTAACTAATGGTTTAGTTTGGATGATAATATCACTCATTGTATTCAAAACATATAATCTAGTTTCTGTTAATGATACTGAAGGAAGTATCTTTCTTAGTAGATATGATACTATATCTTTCAAATATGGTTGGAAAGTTTTCTTGTTGAAATTCCAGTCACCAACCATAGTTCTTATTGATTGAACTACAGTCAACAATACAACTTTGTCAGACTCTTTAGCAAGAATAGAACCAAAGAGTTCGTAACATAGCTTCTTACTATCTTCTGAACATTTTACTATCGACCACTCATTTATAATCAATGCTACCCTTCTCCTAATAATCTTTAATTGATCTGAAGGTGTTGACTCATTGGTTGCTTCAGGCAAGAATACTTGAACTAATAGTCTATCAAAATCAACCATTTCACTAATTGAAGCAGCACCAAGTTGGAAACTAGAATAAATAGCATCCTTCATTAAAAAATCATCAAGTGAATTTGGTAATTGTGCAGCTTCATTTTCAATCTTATTTAGAAGATATGGAGCCAAAATTGTAGAGAATGTATTTATTAAATCTTGAAAGAAGTTTTCAGCACATGGTCTAATTTGATATTCGTAACTGGTAATCATTTGTTCATTAATCCATTCTTCTGGGTCCATGAACCAACTTTCTAACTCTGAGGGTCTCAACTTTAAGTACCACTTCATTAGAGTATCAACTAAATTTTTGATTAATTGTTCGTTCAAAAATTCTATGTTTAACTTGTTGATAGCAGCTTCTATGTTTGCTTTGTCACCACGTTCCTTTAAAGTAATTGCTCCTTTTTTATAGATGAAATTGATTACTCTTTTCAATATCAATATGCCCCTGATGACAGTTTGTTCCCAAAAATCACCTGTAACTTCTGAATTTTCATTATACACATCACTAGCCCTTTCAAATAAAATCTTCGTATATGTGATCAAAATTTGACTAGAACATGGAAGTAAAATAAAATTTGCAGGTAATCCAGTAATTAAATTATGATATAATTTTCCATAACATCTTATAAATTTTTCGTAAAGATCGAATTTTCTGAAATTATCATAATTGTGCATTAATAACTCGAAATGATTAATAGTTAATCCCATAAATTCGCATACTGATTCATCCTTTGGTGGTTTTTCATATCCTTCTACCACAATTCTTCTTAGAACTTTTAAAGATATGTATGAAACTTGCAATTTTGTCATGATGGTATCATCGACACTTGAAGTGGAGGTCCACTTGTTAAAATTTTGTAAATAAACCCTAACTATTGAATTAAAGATCAATGGAACTTTTGACTGCATAGCTGGTCTGCATCTTCCAATTCGGGCTGCACCTAAAATTTTCATAATTTGATTAATATGTAATAAAATATTGTATATCTTTACATCATTTCTTAATACAGTTTCATTTGATAGCAGTGATTCCAATTGTTCAAATAAATTTGGCCAATCAACAGGAAAATCAAGTCTAGCAATTTTAGCAGCAGCCTGTGAATTTTGTATAGCTAGCTGATTATTTTGTTCGTCTATCAACTCAAATAAACGTGCTCTAATGGAAGCTTTTTCATCCTTCTTAATAGCATTAGTTCTAGAGGATCTCCAAAATTTTTCTATACCATTTTTAAATTGAATTACTGCCATCCATCTAATTTGTAATGAATTTGATAGATCCAGATATATGGTTTGCAATAGATAATGGTAGCCAGGCTGAATTTCCCATTCTTTTAACTGTTGTTCTGCCAATTTTTGAACATCAGAGCCAATATTTTTAGGATCACTTACTTGTTCCAATACTTGTTTTAAATTCAATTCACTTAGACTGGACATTGATAAATTGATATAATCGAACTTGTTCCTATTTCATAGACCTAAACGTATAGAAAAAATCGTGATAATGACAAAAAAAACAATTATCTGTCGTAACCAATTAAAATGAATCCCAAATAGCAAACTCCTCTAACTAAGAATAAATTCAGATAAATTTTTCAAAAAATACAGACTTAAAGAACGATTTGTCTGGTACTATAGAGTTTCAATATTCAGGTTATCCTTAAGTAATCGATACGCTGATGGGTTTCAGTACTACTGATACTAACGGATTCTTAATTTTCTAAAAATATGAGAATCTATCAATAGTCTAGAATTAAAATTGATATAATACAGAGGGTCTAGAGGTCTGTAATATCGTTCAATCGACATCAATTCAAAAGCTCTTGAATTCGATGATGCTTTCTTTTATATATCAGTTAAGATGGGATATAGTAAATTTAAAGGTTCGTTCACAATTACAAACATACCTTAAGTATAAGGAGGGTAACTGATGACAATATATTACTTATAAAGAAAGACCTTAATTTATTTAATACCGGAATCACTCCCAATGAACAGTATCATCATATTCTGGTACATATCCTATTTAATTTGTTAGAAGTTAGATAAAATACCTTATATAATTGTTATTTAACACCATTTCCTTGTTAGAAATTAGAAGGAATAAGTTAATTTGAAAGACTGTAAGAAATAAATGTCACAGCGGTATAGCTAAAGAATTGGAATTCAATTGTTGCATAAGTTGTGATAATATGGATATCATATTTTGTGATTCTATTAGCAGAATATATTATTTTGACATTTTGTATGACTTTGGTGTCAAAAAATATTTTTCTGCTACATATTTTGCAAGATTCTATTTACATTCTTTGCACATGACAAAGTTGCTACTGATAAATAATAACTACAAAGATTTGAATCAAAAGACACAATTCAATAGATAGGTTGTGTGATTCAACTGGTATCTTTTTTCCTAAATTCAATCTCAGCCATGGATGTTCATTTGTAGCACAACCAGTTTCTCAAGCCTTTGTACATATATTGGCTACTTTTTTTTGTTTATCACATATATTTATGATATAAGTTTAATGAAAAGGACATGTAGGTTTGCAACGATCAACTAAATACATATGTAAATTGTTTCAATGTAGTTGGATAATGTAAAGTTACTGATTTACGTATGTTATTGGCTAATCTGTGTCTAGAACACTACACGCTGACTAGGTTATCCATGCAAACCCTATATGGATAATGTCCGAATTGGGAAATATCATCACTAGGGTTTGTACCAATCGTCAATAATGAAGAAAGTTCCAATATGTAATTACAAGCCCTAATGCTTTAGTGAATTGAGGTCATTGAAATTTAAAAGTCGATTCAACTATAATATAAGAATAACGTTGGATCAACAACATGAAGTTTTAAGGCATTATAAGGATATTAATAGGTAGTTTGAGAGTGTCGACTGAATTCGTTAGTAGTTTTGTGCAGTTCTCATTTATTTCCATTTAATTTGGTTGGTTTCTTCTGGTGATTTCAAAAATTGTATCATATCCTTTGCCTACTCTTCTTTGTCTCCTTTGAATCACCTTCATTAGAAGTTAAAAGTTACTTATTCAATAAGAATATTAGGTCAAGAGGGGCACATTTATGTGATTTAGAAAGTGTCGTATGTATATTTTTAATTGAAGAAATTAATAGAAGAGGACATTAAAAATAGGATTGAGTATATTGAAAGTTTTGGATTTGGTTTTTTAACATTTTCCTAATTGCCGTAATTCTAACTAGATTAATTAAACGATTCCATCCAATTGATATACAATCCTGCGGTGGGAAATGACATTTAGGGTTAATGTTCCTTTTACAAAGGGAACTGATGATCTTTCCGGTTTTCCAGTTGAAATCCAGACAGCATTGTCTTCGTTGAGTCTGCTAGATAATATATCAAATCAATTATTGGTAATGTTATTATCAGATACGTTCACTCCAGATATGTATTCCATACTTTCAGAGCCAAACACATTTTTAGATACACCATCGATAAAGACATTTCATAAATTGTTAAAATTATTCAAGTATCTGTTAGAGTTTTATAATGTTGATTTTTTACTAAACGTATGTGATTTAGTTCCAGGTATGTGGTATCCTGATTCACCTGTGCTGAATATAATGAAAAAATATGAATCCTATATTATCTCTACTGTTAGAAAAACGAATTTAACAGTTTACCTTTTATCTTATATTGGTTGCATTCATGCACCTCTAAATCAGCTACAAGAAAAGTTTTTTGATATTTTTCTACCAAATACAATGTTTTCGAATTCTTTGTTAAATACAAATGAACAATTGCTGAGATCTCAATGGTTACTTTACTTAGATATGAAGACTCAGGTTTATATAAATAGTCTGAAAACTTTGAAAAGATCTGATACTTACAAGGAAAATAATGATTTGATAGAAAACAATGATAGACATAATTTATTAAACTCAATTTTTTCCAAAGCTTTTGCTAATGAATTGGTTTTAAGAAGAACACGTACTACAGCAGACCAAACTTTGATAACACGCTATGAAACAGAATTTGCCCAAAGGCATAATACAAGAAAAGAAGATTTATACACATATACAAGTTTACTGAAATTAAAACAAGATCACAGCGAAGAATCATTTATAAGAAGTGTATTTGATTACGCAAGCAAAAACATGTCATTAATAATATGGGGTACTAAACATCGTAATAGTAAATCACCTTTGTATACGGCAGAATCCAGAGATTTTGAACCACAGATTTTATTTGCAACTGACGCTAAACTATTGTTTGATGTTTTACTCGCTGTTAATAATTCGCATCCACGATACGTTACTCCCGATTTAGATAACCATGTCTATGACTCTGATTTAGTTATTGATACTTTTCATCAAAATACCAGGAGACATCGCCCAAATAATAATGTGCTTGAACATTCATTATCTGTAGGCACTTCAAAAGATATTGCAGACGCTGCATTAAATGTAAATAACAGTTCGACCACAAGGAAAAATAGAACAAAACGGACTTGGTCTAAAATGGAAGAAGATGCATTGATAGAAGGTTTGAAATCATTTGGTCCCTCATGGTCAAAAATTTTGAATTTATATGGTGCTGGTGGGAAATATACTGAAATTTTGAAAAATAGAACTCAGGTCCAATTAAAGGATAAAGCTAGAAACTGGAAACTACAATGTTTAAAAAATGGTACTCCACTACCAAGTTATCTACTAAGGGTTACTGGCAGTATTGAAAGAGCTACAAAATCACACCGCAAGAATCATATAAATGTACATAGCACATCAGCGCGTTCTAACAACAATAACATCAACAATCATAGTATTTCTCAGCAAAACACAAATGTAACAAGATCTTTGGGGTCTCAAACCACTACCGAGTTATTTGGAGCCAGTACTAATAATTCAAATGAGATCGGTGGATTTGATCCAAACTTAACTTCAGGCATATAAGTCATTTCAATTTTATATTTGGAATGACTCTTTATTTATAGATATTTAAACTTCAGTTGAGTTCATATGTAATGTACTTTAGTATCTATGTATGATTGTAATATTAAAAAAAATGAATTGAACGATAAAATTGATGTTAATGCATATAATTAATTTTAAATAAATACTATATTTTAATTGTTTAATTTAGACATAAAGTCGGTTATTTCTTCCAACAAATCGTTTGGAAATTGGCTTACATCCATTTTAAATGTTTCATTTATTGGGTTGTTGTTTAGTTCGCTCTTTATAGCAGGGTGTTGTAAAACCTTATCCACAATTTCTGAGACAACATCTTCGTCCATTGTAGGGAGTTTTTTTAACCATTTACTCACAGCAACAACATTATATTCTTCAGTTGTTTCTTGAGATATTGCGTGCGATATATCAAAATGCATTTTTAATTTATCCTGAAGCTCAGGTATATGGACTGGTACTTTGATATTAAAATCAATGGCATATTCAGCATATGAAAAGATCAATTTGTGGTTTAAAGAAAATTGACCACCATTGAATATAAATTGACAAGCTATTTTACAATCAAATTGACCCCAACCTTCTTCCTCTAACCGAAATGGAGGATTTTTAAAACTTCTAATAGGATTTGTAAAACTTGAATGCAAGTAGTAAGCACAAGACTGTATTATATCCGCTGTAACTTCCTTACCATTCTTATCCAACATGCATACCTCAAATGACCACCTTCGAAGTGGGAAACCTTCAATACACTCATCTGCTATCTTATCTTGTCTAGTTTTAACTCTTATTGTTACATTTATAAATGGCTAGATGATATAATGATTAATGTTAGTAATTTTGATGCAGGAACTAGAGATGTATATTTTCAAAACAAAAAACTAATAAAACGTATTTCGAATTATTTCAATTTGACAAGTAATACATACAATATCTGCCATGTCTATCTTTCTACTCAATTGGACATGTCTATTATGATTATAGCATCTTCATTAATTATCATTTGATCAATAATTCGTGAATTTATCTTTTACATCACATCGGCTTTTAAACCATTGAAGCTTTAACAATTAGAGAATCAAATTTAAGTTTAACCATATATAGTCAAACAAAAATGATGTAAATTTGGATATTACATTGTACAATTACAAATTTATATATTGACAGTTTATATATCAGGTGTGTTTCTATATATCATCTGAAGTTGAAGGGATGAGAGTGGGTGAGCTAAAGGGCCTGCTTTGCTTATTCGGTATTCTTCGTAATATACTCCCATAAACTTTTCAATAGACCTTCAGGGAGACTAAATAAATCTATAACAAATTCTCCATCTTCCACATTGTTTACAACATCCATTTCTGGTGTTCTATTATCTGTAATCATTTGTACAATTGTTACCAGATCATCTTCTTTCAATTTAGTTAAACTGAATGCTAATTGTTGAATGTCAACCGAACCTTTAACTGTTGGTGTTACAGAAGCTTTACCCTTCTTAGGTTTTGGTTCAGTTGTTGATGTGGTAGATTCATTTTTCCTTTTAGTTGGAGGTTCTTCAACATGTCCACTTTTGGCTAATTCGGTTCTTAATAACGGTTTATTTAAAGGCACTTGAATAACATGGTCAACCTGGTACTCTTCTTTTATGAAATTTAAATCATGCACTACCTTTCTTTCACCACCCTTCTCTAATAAAAATAAACTGATGTTCAAAGCAAATCCACCCCAACCTTGTTCTTCGATTTTAAAAGGTGGTTCAGTGAATGTCCTATTTGGATTAGCAAAAGTTGGATGTAAATGATAAACTACCTTATCGAAAAGAGTAGCTGTGATTTCTTTACCATCAGCATCCAAAACAAATATTTCGATTGCCCATTTCCTCATAGGAAAATTCTCCACTGGTGGAAGATCTGGTAATACATGTTGAGTAGTTTTTATACGTACTGTCCTCTTAGTTGTCTATTGAAACAGTAATAGAAGAAATTAATTGATAGTTAGTATAAAAAGATTAGACAAACAAGATAAAAAAAATTCCAAAAAATATCATACGGCTACCATTATGTAAATATCAAACGTGAATTGATTCAATACTGTCCTCTTTGGACTATTAATGCTAATTAAAACAAGCTTAATAACAATAAAATACTCTTGTTTTATTCATCTTCACTTTTTTAATATAGTTAATGCGCCTCGTGTTTTAACGTCCCAATTGATATCTCACGTGAACCAAACAAAAATACCAACTATAACAATATCACAGTTAAATACCTGATGTACCTATATTATTACATTAAGTTGAAAGGTAAATTTTTTTAAAATAGTATACAACATTTCAGTACAGTTATAGTGCAACTCCAAAAACCTCTTTTGAGAAGCCGTTAATTTTTCTAGTATCAATTATATATTATCGATATATGAGAAGTTTAATTCAATAACTAATCATGTAATTACTAACAATCAGATTATTGATTGTTTGCAAAACTGTAGAACATTCTAGAAAGAAAATAAAAAGAATATTATTGGTAAATTACCAATGAACTAAAATACTTGAGTGAGAGTGAAAGGAATTGTTAGAATAAATGATTAGTAATTATAAGATTGTGAGATCGAAGATTAAACGTATAATTACGGACACTAATCCCAAGATTAGGATCATTTGATTTCCAAGATTACCTTTACATATTTATATTATTATTTTATATTATATATAAAATCCTCACGGAGAAATATAATTAAATAAATATGTCACCTATTAAAAATGATCAACAATTTCAACATTTAACCCACTGTACTTCTTAGAAAATAACAAATTTTAAATAAATTACACAATTGTTTTAAATTACAAATGTGGATAATTGGCCATTAATAGTAAACCAAGTATTTCGATAAAACGTTTCATGTCAGATGGTCAATTAGCAATTAACAAGGCGCCATAGTTACTAATACTGAAAATATTTTGTAATTTCTTAGACACTAGATGTAGCCACACTAAGGTATACAATTATTAAAATAAATTTGTGTAGAGAATTATGTTGTGATTTTTCTACCGAATCATTCATAGTAATAGATTCTTTATTTATTTCCAAGGACATTCTTAATAAGTTGATATTGATCCGGTGTATTAAAGTATATAATATACACATGGGAATATAATTAACATGACAAGTGTCGATTAAGATCTTGTCATTTCTTATATAAAGTGTTGGAAAGGTTTTCAACGTCAGTAATAACACTTTCGTGTAAAGTAACATTTCTTTATCCTATATGAATAATGTCGTAATACTGTATTATTTCAAGGTTACATCGTACGAACCTTGATAATGTCGGGATGTAATTCGTTACAATAAATGGTGTCATATTATCAATATTGCTATTTAAAGAGATCATTGTACATTATTGTATATTATTGTATATTATTTAGTATCTTACTTTGTACATAAAAGAATATAGAAATTTATTATTATTAACAAGTATATTTACTTTAACCTACAGATCGCCACCCTTAAGATCCTATAGAATAAACGCCTACCAGCCTTCATTCTAACGTATACTAAATTCAATATACAACTAAATAATAATAAAGGCCAAATAATACAATACGTTTATATCACGTGTTACCTCATAATTCTGACAGATATATAATATAATAGCTTATTCTACATAACGTATTGTATTGATTACTATTCTACACGACATTGTCCTGAAGAATAATAGTCTCATTAAATAAAATATAACCGGTACAAACAATACAAATCATGATCACATCTTGTTGAATTATATATCTCTATCTTCTTTAAAAATCAACGTTGCCGCTTCAGTAGCTCAGTCGGAAGAGCGTCAGTCTCATAATCTGAAGGTCGAGAGTTCGAACCTCCCCTGGAGCATTTTGTTTTTAAAAATTATATTTTTTTGTATGAGAAACTATTTCAATGTTCAATTAATAATTTCAATAGAGTTTTTATTATTAAATATATAGCAGAGTGACCAATTTGTAGTATATTGATTTATAAAAATACATAGTTACATTCAAATAATTCTAACATTATTCTTTAATAAAATACCTGTACCCAAACACTTTCCTAATTGGGTAATAGTCACGTGAAATATTTAATTTCATAGTCTTCGCAATATTTTTCATCATTAGAAACTTTGAAAATATTGTTTTCTTTTATTTAAAAGATACATACAATAATATATATACAAATAACATTAACTTTTTATTAAAGTTCTTGAATCAAAGGGCTAAAGATTGCATTGACGTAGATTAGAGGTCGTGTGCTTGGAATTGAGAAACTTGGACATATAATAGATAATTTTCCAAGCGAATTTATACTTATCTATGTCATTTACCAATCAAATCAGTCACTTCGTGACGCAATGCAACGATGCTAATTCATCAATACAGACTAAGCATTCAGCATTATCTGAAATATGTGATATTATTGAGTTGCTGAATATGTCTGAAGATTATGAAGGATTCCTTACTGCTGTTATACCCGTATTAATAAAAGAATTGGAAAATATTCCAATTTCATTTAATGGTAACTCACCGGAACAGAAGTTAAGAAACTTAATATTGGATGTCTTAAATAGATGTCCAATGAATCAATTATTCGAACCTCATGTAATTAATATTTTAGATATTCTTTTAAGAATGTTACCTGATGAAAATGAAGAAAATGGTATTCTCTGTATGAAAGTTTTAACCGCATTATTTAAATCATATAAATCTTTGTTACAAGAGAAAGTTGAACAATTTATTCAAATTGTTTTCCAGGTTTATCAAAACACTCCCGAATTGGTAAAACAGACATTTGATGAAGACGCTGCTGATGAGAATATTCTTTCCGCTGATGAAGATAATAATGATGATCAGTTTATTTCTGATAATATAGATCAGTCTCAAACACAAAATACAAATGAATTGAGAAATGAAGGTTCAATTTCTCCTAAAAATCCTCAAAGAGGTAAAAAATTAAAAGGTACAATGGAATCTTTTAAAATTTTGGCTGAATGCCCAATCACAATGGTAACCTTATATTCTTCGTATAAACAATTAATTACAAGCTCGTTGCCAGAATTTTCACCTTTAGTGATGAATTTATTAACTATTCAGGTAGAACAACAAATGAAAGCCCGTGAAGAAGCTGAAGTTTCTGGTAAAAGATATACCCAGGTTTCACCAAATATAAAGAATAGAGCAGCCTTCTGTGAATTTGTTTTAGCACAAATTAAAGCAATATCATTTTTAGCATATGTATTCATTCGTGGATATGCTTCAGAGTTTTTACGACGTTATATAGATTTTGTTCCCGATCTAATTATAAGATTGTTACAAGATTGTCCGTCAGAATTATCATCGGCAAGAAAAGAATTACTCCACGCGACAAGACATATTTTGTCAACAAATTACAAAAAATTGTTCCTACCAAAGTTATCCTATTTATTCGACGAGAATGTGCTAATTGGATCTGGTTTTACCGCCCATGAAACTCTAAGACCTTTGGCGTATAGTACAGTAGCTGATTTCATTCACAATGTTAGAGCAGAGTTGCAGCTCAACGATATAGAAAAAACAATTACTATGTATTCAGGTTATCTTTTAGATCAATCGCTGGCATTAACTGTGCAAATAATGAGTGCCAAATTATTACTGAATCTGGTCGAAAGAATATTGAAATTAGGTAAAGAAAATCCAAAGGATGCTCCAAGAGCTAAAAAATTGTTAATGATAATCATTGACGTTTATATGAATAGATGTAAACTTTTGAATAGGCAATACGACACAATTATGAAATACCATAAAAAATATGAAGATTCTAAAACCGACAAGGCTACGCAATTAAAAGAAGCCAACTCTATGGATAATAAAACTTCAGAAGAGTTCATGCAAAAATTATTTGCTATTGAGACGCTAAATCAAAATAATGATATCACTGAAATCGGAAAGATTTCAGAAACTAAGAAGGAAGATAACATAGCCGAAGATGCAAAGATGGAAATTGATACAGAATTGCATTCAGAATTAGATTTATTCGATCTTAAAAATTATGCACCTATTTTACTCTCTCCACCCCCATCTAATGACCCTATTAAAGATGCATTTTACTTATATCGTACTTTGATGTCGTTTTTGAAAACAATAATTCATGATTTAAAGGTGTTTAATCCTCCGCCAAATGAGTATACAGTTGCCAATCCAAAACTTTGGGCATCTGTCTCTAGAGTTTTTTCATATGAAGAAGTATTGGTATTTAAACAATTATTCCATGAATGTATTATTGGATTAAGATATTTTTCAAGTAGTGATAGTAAAACAAAAGCTACAACCAAGAGACATTTTGATATTACTATGCCAAGTTTACCTGTTTCTGCCACCAAAGATGGACGTGAATTGATGGATTATTTGGCTATTATTTTTATGCAAATGGACAGTGCAACTTTTAATGAAATTGTCGAATCTGAAATAAATTTTATGTATGAGTCCATGTTAGAGGATTCGGCTTTATTATATGTCGCACAATCTTTTTTAACAAGCGAAATAACATCACCTAATTTTGCTGGAATACTACTAAGATTTCTAAAATCAAAATTAAAGGACTTAGGAAACATTGATTTCAATCAATCAAATGTTTTAATTCGTCTATTCAAATTGTCCTTTATGTCTGTTAATTTGTTCCCAAATATTAATGAAATTGTACTATTACCGCATTTAAATGACTTAATTTTAGATTCTGTGGAGTATTCTACAACTGCAGAGGAGCCTTTAGTCTACTTTTATTTAATCAGAACATTATTCAGAAGTATTGGTGGTGGTAGATTTGAGAATCTTTATAGATCTATTAAACCGATTCTTCAATTTTTATTACAATCTCTTAATGAAATGATAATGACTGCACGCCTACCACATGAGCGCGAGCTTTACGTTGAATTGTGTATTACTGTCCCAGTGAGACTAAGCGTCTTGGCTCCATATTTGCCATACTTAATGAAACCTTTAGTTTATGCTCTTCAAGGATACCCTGATTTAATATCTCAAGGTTTACGAACAATGGAGT